CCATTTTTTTCTTTTCTGGGTTGACAGAAGTCTTTGTTTGGCACCATTACCTTGTGGAAGTGATTGTAAGTAGGAATGAAAAAAAAAAGTAATTTGTAATAGCTGAGCTAAGTGGTTTAGTGCAGAAAAGTGTTATAATAAATTGAAAAAGTAAATAAGAAATGAAGAGTGAATGGGTTTAATACTCAGCTAAACAATGCTGTTATGATTGTATTGCATGTAGCTAAAAGAAAATCTCTGAACTATATTTATTGTTCCTTTGAGTTATGCTGTTGGCAGTAGAGGGCTGAATCCTGCATAAGTTTTGTTTTGTTGAAGTTTCACTTAAACAATGAGCTGGTGTCCAAAAAAGAGCTCGACTGGCAGCATTTTTCCTCCCTTTGTTCTGTCCTGTGTGGTCATAGGACCTTTCTCGTGAGCCTTGTGTAACATGCAGAATTCTGAGCAACTCCTAAACACACAAGATAGGAAATACAAAATAATGTAGTCATTTTGCTTTTACAGTGATCATCTGCTACCAGTGTATTTTCTTTATTAGCCAACCTGACGATATACTACTGACTGTTTGTTTAATGAAGTTTTATTTTTTATCTGTCTTAATTAGTTAATTCAGCAGTTAGGACAGTGCCCTGGTATGATAAACTCTTTATAGGATAGTAAACAGGATCACATCGGCGAATGCCTGCTTCTGATGACAAGTTTGATAATTACATCACTGCACTTTGCCTTCTTGGAGTTCATTCACCTGATGATAGCCTCTGATTTCCTTTTGAATACTCTGCAAAACCAAAATGTAGTTGTGTTGCCTCCTTTTAAAAATCATTAACGTTTAAGTAAAGATAAGTGGGATGATAACATAGCAACTTCCAACTAAAGAATCCTTAGTCATACTCAAAGTATTATGTAGATTTTATTTAATTACTATGAGAAATAATATTAAACATTCTCTAAAGGAGGGAATAATAGTGTGGAAGAAGTTAAGGAATGACTAGTGGGTGTTGTTTTGTGTAGCCTGGTGAGTGCAGGATAATTTTGCCTTGCAAGTTTTTTGAACTGCTGGCTACTAATGTTGAACGTGTTGAATATGACTGCCAATAATTAAGGCTTTTTCCTATGGCTTGCAGCTGTCTTGTCTTTGGAGTTTAGTCTTCTTTTCTGCAGTTACAAGTAATCAGATGAAAAACAAGGCTTTTTTTTTTTCATTTTTTTTTTTTAAATTGTGTGTGTATATGAAATGTGGCCCCTTCTGTGTAACACGGAGCAGGTGAAGGCTCTTGCTTGTGGGAAGCTGCAAGCACCTGTCAGCAGATTGGAAAAACTGGGTACTGCATTTCCAAAGTGTTTAGCACTGATTTCTAGAAGGCTGGGGTTAGAAGGGGTGATGCTACTGTGTGGCCACTCGTGGAAATATAAAATCTGATGTTTCAAGGGTTGGCTGTTGGGGTTACCAGCTTCAGACCTGGCTGACTCCTGGCTGTAGGTGAAACCTCCGTGAGTTTTCTGCTTCACGTTGGAAGAAGCCTTAGTTGTGGAGTCCAAAAGGAGCTAGCAACTTGTAATCAACTGCCTTAATCTTTAATGTGTGTTCAATACATATGTATAAATTCAGATGTGGAAGATTGCTAATCTCGGCCTCCTTTGGAAGCATATTTCAGGTGAGTTCAAGACTTGCTGTATTTGGCGGTGCTGCTTCTCAGATGTGTTGCCTGCATGTGAATAGTTTTCCTTCCTAGCATTCAGGAACTGTGTCCTCTGTCAACACTGTAGTGAAACTTGTTGAAAGTAGGTTGAATTTAGATAGAGGCACATGGAGAAAGACACTGATAACGAATGATCTGTAGTGAGCAAATGGGTATCCTTTATGCGAAAAATAGGATTTGTCATTCGTTTCCATTCAAATCTGTACTTTTCCCAGTTTGTGTTCATGTGATACATGTTTTAATCACTGAAGGCATTCTTTCAGTGCTTCAATAAAGGGCTGTTGCCTGTTCTTAAAGGACTTGTCTCAGGGAGTTGCACTCGTACTGCTTTGTTTCTGCTCATCTCAAAATGCTGAGCTGCAAACCAGCTATGCAAGAGCTGGCTCAGGAACAGGCTTCATGCAGCAGTCTCAAGGGCAGGGGCATCTACATCAGATGGGAAGGTAGATAGTAGATCAGGTATGGCCTGAAAGGTTTCAGCTTCCAATTATAATATGCTGCCAGAAGCCTGTCAGATCCCTAACTAATAGAGACATGGACTGGTGCTGAAAAGGGAATGTTACAGCCGCTGGTTTGGGGCTGCTTCCCAGGCAGAAGATTGTATTTCTTAAAAGTAATTATGTCATGAATAACTACTAAATTTTCATTTAGATGCCTTCAGCCATTGGGTTCTGACATGCTTGCAAAGCCTCAAGTATTTTTCTTAAACCTGCATTTTGCTGGACGTGGTGGAATTCACTCGTTGCTCTGTCTTTCGAGAGGATTTTTTAGCTCACGACATTCCCCTATCATTACTTGTTAATAAAGCATGAAGCAGGCTTTAGGAACATGCAAGAATGCAAAAGCCCATGCCAGCGAACAAAGGAGAAGCCTCCAGATACCAACTGGAGGGATTGGATTCACATCGCAGCAGAAATGTTGGCAGCGGTGTCAGGGTTTTTTCCTTGTGCAGCACGGTTATGCCCAGAGAGCTGGCCACGCTGCCTTGTTTTTAGTGGCTGTGCGGCGTATTTCTCAAGTTCCAATTTGAAGTAGCATTTTAAAAGCAAATGACAGGCTTGCGAAGAAATGAAGGCCTGGCTGTATTCAGAAATAAACTCTGACGTTGTGCAGCTACACCCATCGTGGCACTGGTGCTCAGTGGCCAGGCCCAGCTGGAAAAAGGTAACCCCAGAGCTGTGGTGTGTCTGGGGCCTGATTTACAGTTGAAATGAAGAAGAAATGACCAAGTGCCATTGACTGCAGTTGTTATTTCACAGGATGTGTCCTGTGCTGCTGGCAGCACGTGCTAAGGATGATTGGGGCTTGCAGCGGTTGTGCGATGTGGCAAGAGGTTTGGAGGCAACAGAAACAAATGGGATGCTCGAGGGGTAGCACAGAAGCTTTCTGTGAGCAGCTAAAATAAGCTAATGTGCCCTCAAAAAATAAAATGCAAAGTTTCCTGTATTAAATATATATATATAATATATATATATATTATATATATATTTAAACTAGCATGAATTGCATGAATAGCACACACTAGAAACATATGTTTAAATCTTTGTTACCTTCATACATCCTGAACTGCATGTGGGGAGGGAAAGTTAACTGGGTAATTGAGTACATTTAAACAGATCAATGCTGAATGAAGTACCCTGTAACAAGCTTTTCCAAGTCTCTTCTCTTCATTTAAAAAAAATTTGACTTTGCACTCCGAGGTCTTTTCTCTAAAATTACTTCAATCCTCTGCCATTTAACACTGAAGTTAATAGCAGATCGCTGTATGCTCTGACAACTTCACTGGTGTTGAGACCAGCAGCATTCCCCAGGCGATCGCAGCAAGGCTTTGCTTTCTCTTCAGACCTTTCTGAATTCCTTGGAGGCAGCACAAAGCAGGTCATGGGAAGCATGTCCTGACAAATCCTCTGTGAGACTGAGAGTGTCCTTTTCTGCTTGCAGCTGTACAGCTTCCTGGTGGGACGATGATTTTTGTTTCCCTTGCTACTGTTTGTGAGAAAAGGATCTGCAAACTCTTCACTGGTTGTGAGAAATTGTGCAGCTCCTTTCTCCTTCAGCTGCAAGGAATAGGAAAATGGGGGGCATGTTTCCCATCTTAGGGTTTTGCTGCTGGTGTTTTCATTCCTGCTTGGCAGGCTCATTTGATTTGTGCTGGGAGGGGCAAGTTACACCTTAGTGATGTGAGGAACTTTTTGCAAGTTTGGGAATCACTAAAACACGTCACAGGTACGTGAATCAGTTGTGGAGGGGAGTGAGAAATGGCCAGAAGTTAGCCTTTCAAGCTGCTTGGACTCCCTATTCTCATTAGGGTAAGGACTCTAAAGTAGGTTTCAAAAAAAAGGACGAATTCAGCGTATTTAAAATGGCACTGTTGGCCATTCACAATGTGCCAGTCCTGGCAGCTTTCCTGGTTGGCTCAATGAGCTTTGCACGCAATCAAATACTCTTTTTAATTGGGAACTTAGCTGCATAGCTAGAGGAGCCCAAGGTTTGAATGACTTGGCCTTGGCATCTATTTCACTTGTGCGCCGTAGGTTCCATTTAATCTAAAACTAATTTCATGTCATGTTTTAATAGAAAAAAAGGTCAATGTTTCTTAAGAGGCAGGGTTTTAATGGTACTGTATTGGAGGCCAGTGTCTTAAAAGCTTATAGTGTGATCAATCAATATATTTATTTATAGGAAATATACAGTAAGTGTTATTTAAGAGCCACGTGCCCAGCCATGTGAAAAGTGTGCGCACATTCACTTCTCTCAAATAACAGCAGATTACATTGCTGCTCACCTTATGGGAGATGTGCCCATTACAGAAATTCAGGTATTTGCACTGCCGAATCAGGTACAGACAGACATCTGTTAGTCCCACGAGCCATATCTGTATGTGTGTGTCCATATGGCTGCATGTAAGCACTAAGAGTGCTAGCACACAGATTTAGCTTTGAGTCCATCCTGTACTTCTGTTTTAATCACATCAGTCCCCTTTTTGGTTCACAAGTTGGGGAAATTGGACAAAGAGCTGTAGAGAGTAGTCTGTGGACCACCCACAATTATCTGTCCTCGAATCTTCTTCATACCCCAGTCCGAGGGAGGAGTCCTCTCTAAGCGAAGTGTCACAGGATGGAAGAAGGCTGGAAGAATTTGTCCTGACAGGCTGGCTCCAGTCTGTGCTCTGGCTGCTTCCACCCTGAATAACAGAAATAAACATAGTAACCTAAAGTCTGTGTAGTAAACCCTGATAGCTTACTACATTTGTATACAAACTGGTTTTCTTATTTTTTATACATATATTTTTTGTTACAGGAAATACTGGATAGATCCCACAATGGAGGACGGGAAGCCCGTTTGGGCTCCACACCCAACTGATGGGTTTCAGATGGGCGTGATTGCGGACATTGGTACTGAATACTTAACTATTGAGCCTCTGAATCAGAAAGGCAAGGTAAGTGTCTGACAAGTGAGAAAAACCTTACAAAAATATTTTACCTGTAGGCCAAATCTTTGCAGATATCCGCCATTACATGCAGGCTGAACGAGTGGCGAAAAAAAATACTGCTCTGTTGTTTGGCTAAGGAACTTTGTTTAGCTTTAACTTGCCTTGCAAATGAAATATCCCACTGATAAGAAGCACATGCTTTCTGTCAATTATCTGCATCTGTGTATGTGCTCATGAAAGAGAAGACAACTGAATCTCCATAGCCATTTGTTTCAATACTGTATACTTTATTTTTCTAAATTTGAGACTGTTGAGAGTCTGTTGTTGAGATTAGCTTCTCTCTTCTCCCTTAGATGCACAGAGACTACTATAGTAGTGTCCTAGGCTCTATCTTAGATTAGACACGTTTCTGTTAGACTGCTGATTGAGTGATGAATCCTCTTACTTCAAGCACTTTGAAACATAAGAATGTCAAACAAAGGTCCCATGGAATTACTACAGCAAATTAAAGGCAAAATAAAAGCAGCTTTTAAAGTGAAGTCATAATTAGTGTGTTCAAACTGCTTCATTTATCATGACATCTTTTGGATTTAGCACATCTTAATTAAATGTCAGATTTTACAGGAAGTGCCCTGTAACTATTAATTATCCTAATTCAGATGGTCAGCATCCTGGGTTTTACTCCCTGGAATAAGATTATACACCATTTTAAAAGTTGTGATTTGGACTTTGTGAATATGTCATATGCTGGTTCTAGCTGTTGTGTTTTCAGATATGGAAAAGCAAATTTATTTTGTTAAAACTTTTTTTTTTCTTCATGTCTACAATAATAGAGAATGCTTTGTCACAGATCAAAAGGTTATGCAGCAGTTCTTCCTTTGGGAGGAATGTTTATAGACTTTTTTTTTTTTTTTAAGTCTTGTAGAGGAAGTTGATTTTTCTTTCATTAGAAATAAAAAGATCTGATATCTGTGTCTGTGAGATAAGGTCTTTAGGTTTAGTATGCATTCTTCAGTCTGTGAAAGAACAAAATTATTCAGACGAGAATATGTTAAATATTCTAAACCCATGTTTAAGTGATCTTTTACTGACTTAACTGATGTTGACCCCAGTGCTGTTTCTGTTTATATCCCCAAATGGTTCTGATGTGTTAAGAGCAAAAGTTCATATATTAGAAACAGAAATAGATGATAAGGAGATACTTGAATCACTATTTATTTCTAATATATATGCCTTCCTCTAACCTACTTTTTTTTTTTAATAAAACAAACAAGAAAAAGCACCCTAAAATACAGAGATTTTTGGTTGGTGGTTCACAGTGCACAATCTGTGTTGCCTACAAAGTTTGTTACTTTGCTTATGGCTGTCTAGAATTAAGCAAATCAGTTAAGGGCCTGCAGTTCATTTCTGAAAGGGACCGAACACTTCACAGTTAGGTGTTTAAATACACCAGAGATTATGGTCCTGCATTTCTAACTATCAAACTTCCTTATATTAATAAAGGTGGAGTAAAACATTTTGCTGATTACCTTCTCAGTCTTTTCAAGGTGGCATTGATTTCCTTTTGTAGCGAAATGCTTCTCATTGCTTCTTGACTTTTTTGTGCATTTAGACCATTACTTTGAAGCACTCAGCGTTTATACCCATTATTATCAACTCTGTTTACTCCAAATGACAGTTCAAAAGTGCTCTTTAGTAAGAAGGAGTGATCTAGCAGCTCCAGAGTTGCCCACGATAATTACAGGGAGGAGATGAGTAATTCGATCTTGTAAACATACCCGGGCAGTGTAACTTATTATTATTTTTTAATCTGGGTCATTAACATGTCATATGTACTCCCGGTAAGGTACCAGCTTCTACAGGAGATCACAGGACTGAAAAGGAAATGTGTGTGTGTGTGCATTTCTTGATTGTTGCCTTTTATACCACTTAATGGTTAATTAAAATAAGTCGTTAATAACTGCAGTGAATGCTGCAAGGCAGCAGTTTCATGCTGTCTCAGAGGCCTTCCTCCCTTCCCTGCCCGTAGCTAGCTGTGGTGTGGCAGCGCGGCACCCTCTCAGCTGTGCTGGCAAGCTGATGAGGCACAGCAAACTAGGTCAGAGGATGGATCCACCTTAACAGTGAATACATGGAAAATTTTAAGGATGGCAGCAAGCAGCAGCAAGAGGAAGGAGGACCTAGGGCAAGCATGGTCAAAGATTTCTTCATGTTGTGAAACCAAGTTACCCAGTCCAGACTGGGCGAAGGTAGTTGGCCAACATACCGATTTACTTACAAAGCATCAGTAGCATTTTTGGGTACCACAGCCCATCCAGAGTTAACAACAGCATTTACATAGCTGTGCCGAAGCTGGGTGCCTGAAGAGAGGTGGGGATCTGAGTCACCGAGACTGCCTTGTATAGGAAGGAGTAATGCAAGCACTGAGAGCTTGTTATCAGAACAAGGGATGTGTTATGTGACAGGAGTTGCTCCCAAGAGCTAGATCATGGGCTTGCAAGGTTGAAATGCCACAACTACGAAGAAAATGGGGAAACTGGAGAGTGGTTTGCTAATGAGCATGGTCCCCCTTAGGGATAGAGCTCTTCCCTGAGGATGAGCTCTGAATCTGAGCAGAGGGAACGGGGCGCAGCCCCGCAGCTATGTCCTGCCAGCAGTCCCACAGTGGTGTGCCAGGAAGGAGACGGATAGAAAGACAGCCCATTGTTAGATGCAGCTAATGTTTCATTCACACATCAGAATGTACTTTTTGGAGCTTATCAGAAATCCTGACCTTGAGAAAATAGCTTTTATGTTTTATTGCTTGATGCTACAACAGGGAGAAGGCAGATCTCAGTGAAACTGTCAAATGGGGAATTTATTCTTTTCCTGGAGGTAGCGAATCTGAATTTAGTGACTAGGGAGAGATACACCCTGAGATACCTTTCTGGGACCCTTGCAGCTAATGAACTTCTCTAGTGATCAGTTCCTAGCAGGACAGGGGAGGCACATATTGCTGCAGACACCAGTCCATACCCCTGCTGCAGTTGCCTGAGAAGCACCATATGGCTCTGAGAAAGGCTCTGAAAGGTCCTGGAAAGCTTTATCGGACCCCTGTTCCAGTATGTTCTGAATAACCAGCATGGCATTTCCACAGGTTAAGTCTAAATAGATAAATGTATTCTGAAAGTAAGGATCAGAACATCCAAAGTTCAGTGTTTCCAAGCAAAGGCATTATTTTAGCAGTGAGTGCAGCTTGCTTGAGCAAAAGAGAGAGGTTCTTGTCCATCACAAGAACAGTTTATGTTGCTTTTGGCTGTTCTGTAGAATGCAGCTGGGAGTAGGGATGTCTCTGTGGCTGTATCTAGAAGATATAAAGGAAGGCACGGTTACACGTATTTGATTACATGGTCGAAAGAAGATCCTGCTTGAACGGAAAGATATCTTTTTTCACTCATCTTGTTTCTGGGAGAACAGTTAAGATTGCCATTGGATTTCAAGGGCTGCTTCATTACAAAAAGGAAAAAAAAACAAAAAAAAACAAAAAAAAACCAAAAAAACCAAACCCTCTGTTTTGCCTCCTGAGACCACTTTCATAAGTGGTTCATAAGATCAGTATCCCGTCCCTTTTTTAGAATTAGTTTGACCTAAGCTATGCCTTAATGTAAGTGTCTTTGACCAAATGCCTGAAGGGTTTTCTCCTTACAGTCAATGTGTTTCAAAATACGGGGCAATGGAGTAAATAACTGGATAATTTTTAAATGGCAGATATGAGATAGCTTGCCCATTTTTCTGTTTAATATATTCAATTTTAATAGTATTTGGCAATATTCAGAGCCCTACACATCTAGGAAATGTACCTAGCTATATGATAAGTAATTACCTTAAACATAAAGCAGTAGAGTAACTGGGACAGGTGTAACATTCTTGGTTGATACAGTTTAAACTAGGCTTCATGTTCCCATCTGATCTAAAAAAGTCCATCAGAAACACAGTTGCTAAGTTGTTTTTATATTGCTTACTTGTTTTATGACTCAGGAAATAGTGAGCTGTGATACTGTACTAAATTACAGAAGGTAGGAAGGACTTGAAGAAGGACATCCAATTTGCCACAAGCTGACTGTCCCTGCAGCATATCTAACATTGCAATTATTTCACAATTCCCACTGTGTGAAAAAAATGAAGGAGGACAAAATCAGTATCAATTTTCCTTAATTTTTCACTGATCTTTGATCAGAGGCTGAGTGGTGAGGACAGTGGAAAGGCTCTCCCTTCCTCTTCTGAGGTAGATCTGGTATAGCTGGGTTTAGAGCTGTGAAATGTTGATGTCAAAACTTTCTGAAGAGTGTTACCGAACAGCTGGACATCATGTTCATTCTCTCTTGTGGGGAAAAAAATAATCTGTATTTGTTAGTGGTTAAACTTGAATTGCACATCAGCAAGCAAGAAGAACTGAAGTCAGATTTTTGTGAAGTAAGTCAAGCATTTTTTTAAGCTTTTCCACTTCTGCATGCAGAATGAACTGGGAAACTGTTATGGGAATTATGGGAAACTGTTGTTCAAATATGTCTTTATGCAGTGCAAACCACCTTTATTGTTGGCAAACTTGGGGAGAAAATTCTGGTAAGATGTTCCAACTGCAGTGTTTTGAGAGGGAGGGAAAGAGGGGGCTCTTTACCATGCTAAAACTTGGAGGTAGGTAATGTTCAAATCCCCTGCGGCTCCAGCGTGCTCTGATGAAGGATGTTGTGGCAGAGGTTGGTCTGACAGATGTTCAGTAGTTCCAAAGTCATCATGCAGATGCTTTAACTACAGAAGTTTTTTTATGCACTTTTTTTCTGCATTGAATCCTGATAAGGAGATAGCAAAGTATAATTTATGACTATAATTAGCATATAGCATGGTAACTCTGTAGGGAAGGGATATTACAGACTTAATGTTTTCCAACCAGCAGCAATTATTTTGTCTCAGGGATGTTTTTGATCCTTGCCACTTTAAAGGGAGTTGGAATTTGGCTGTTCACAATGGTCTAAGTTGCAAAATCACATTTATTGTGTCTTTTTGTATGGAAGCAAAGATGAAAAAAGTTGCTGTATTTCTTCTAAACATCCATGTGAGATGCTTTTCATGATACTGTCTTGCTGGGTGCAATGTTAATTAAGCAAGCAAACTTGTTTATTTATTAGGGTCATTCTTTTAGATCTAGTTGGTTGTCTTTTAAAGTAGAGACAGAATTAAGTAGGCTTCTTGTCTTCATTTCCATGGGGAAAAGGCCTGTAGTAGCATGTAGTAGCAGCTCTGTCACGTTTAATTGGTACAACAATGTTTCTGTTCATTCCTAGGTAGCTCAGACAACCTATTACTGCTGTAAATAAAAAGTATAATTAAGAGCCTAGTTCTTACAATATGCAGTAGCTTTGCACAGATGCTATAATACAGTTCTGTAAGCTTTTTTTTTCTTTTTTTAAAAACAGAAGTTATAGGATATTTCTTCATCTTCACAATATTAATTAAAATTTAGAGGATAAACAAAGTTTGGTTTGTTATTAATTTTTCCAGTTGGGTATGAACAGTTGCTAAATGGCTGTTTTGTGTTACTGGAGTACAGGGGTTGAAGGAAAGTCTTGTTTTACTTTGATACTGGCTTGTCGAAGGAAAAAAAAAAAAAAGAACACTCAGTTACAGAATTTGGAGATATAGAAAATACTGTATATTGAATATTTATGTTTTAAGTGAGAATGTTTTAAAACAATATATGATGACGACAATACAGTCCTTTCACTGAACTAATAATTTTTTTTTGTTATTTTTGCTTCTTTGCAAAGCTGAGGAAATTGTGTGTCCTTTATAGATCTGTTCCCTTCGCAGTATTGTTGCTTTTCTAATCATTTTTGGTGTTGTCTGTTGTTCTATGCCAATGGTTATATGCAATTTTCAAAACACATCAAATATTTTTATGATAAGAATATATATTATAGGAATTGGTTTTTGTAATGTAATGCAAATATTGCAGTTCCTTATCTGCACCTGGTAGCTCAGTAACATTTCCCGTGCTGAGATACAAAGCTAGAAACTTAATTTTTAACTGTGCATGATGATGGTGCGTTTAGTTGCAACATGACATAAGATATCTTTGGACTCTCTATTTTTATGGAATTACGACAATTTTAGTATTTTTCATCTAACAGACTTTTCAGGCTGCTATCAATCAAGTGTTTCCTGCTGAAGAGGACAGCAAAAAGGATGTGGAAGATAATTGTAAGTTATGAATTTTAAAATAAGTTATGCATTTGAAAAAAATAGTTTGGGGAAGAATATTATTTCTTTACAAGCTCCCTGTTTTTTTCTTATAGTCCTTTTTGTTTTCTTTGCTTGAGTTTACTGATCCTGGAAACTTATTAAATTAAACCTGTTTTAAATATCATTGATTGTGTTTTTTAATTTTCAGCTGAACACTTTAGAGGAATTCATGACTACATGAGTTATTCCCACATACAGCTGTTACTTGTCTAACTTCACATATATATAAGATGCTACTTACCTGCATTTTGATCAACTGAATTGAGCATTTCGGCGCTAACTAAATCTCTCAGCAAAAGAATAAGTTGCCTTATCAGCAGCTCTATTGTACTGCATTTTCCTGCATGTAACCCACTTCTCAGACAGCATTCCTGTGGAAGTATAGGTAGTTGAAAAAAAAAATTAAGATAACATTTCTAAAACTGGAGACAGGAATCTGGACCCACTGAGGCCACTGGAAAGGGAAATGGGTTATAGTGAATTAGACCAGAGGACTGCTGGGGAAGGACCTTTGAAGTGAACTCGTAATACACATTGTGTTGATATGCAGGGGTTTTATTTTGTTAAATATATTATAGTTAGATCTGTGGAAACAAATCAAGTATGCAAATCTAAAGTGAGGAGAGAGAGTACCAAGACTAGGTGAGAAAGGACCAGCTTTTGTAGAACTAATAGAATATAGAACTGAATATTTTGCTACTGTTGCTGTTTGTGACCAGATCTATTCAGAGAGACTATCCTATCTAGAAGATCTGATGAGGGAAATTATTTTAAATATTTCTGACCGGGATTACTGCTTGGCCAAATACTAGTAACTTTGTAAATGGTGGGCAAAAGTAGCTTCTGTTGTTCTTCCTCTAAAATAAATAGCAGGTAGGACTTTGAAAGTTGTTGATGATTTAAGAAACAAAGTTTATATTGTGGGGGATGGCATTTATATCCCATGGCAGGAAGTACAGCTGTTACAACTGCTCTGGTAAGGAACAAGAAAAAGCTTGTGGCAAGGCTTGAGGCTTCTGCTTTTACTTAGACGGAGCAGTGTTGATGGTGCAGTGTTGATGGTGCAGTGTTGTCAGAGGTGGAACCAAGCTGGCAGCTTTGTTACCAGTTGCTGGCATTTGTACCTGTCTTCTCTGCACAAGATGATAGCTAGGGACATGCATTTAGTCTGTGTGTGTCTGTCACAGCGACCTTATTGAGATGTCTTGGCACCTCTGTGTCCCAGTCAGGGAACTGAAATTTGGAATGAGATACTGGAAGTCATTTGAGATTTTAGTAAAGTGCTATTCAATTAAGTTAAAACAGTCATCCTATGGGAGAAAATGTCTTCTTCGGCTTACTGGCTAAAATATAAAACTTAAAAATATTTTGTCCAGCAATCCCTTCTGTTTCAAATATTATTTTGAGGCTTTTCCAATATATTTCCACTTTACGCTCAGCAGTTGATGTTCGTCTCTAGCATGTGTGAAACCAAGTTCAGTTTCCTTCTCTCACAGAGAGGATTTGTGCTGATCATCAAAGATCTTTAAGAATAATTATTATATAAATATAATTCACTTTACAAACTACTGGGTGTTTTCCATCTCTCCTTATAATGCCGTTTTCAAAAATCCCGAAGGTCTAGTTAATAATACACTTACCATTCCAACCTGTGCTTAGTGATTAACTCCTTCCTGGGGTGTAATTTGCTAAGTATTGCTTTTTTTCCCCCCCACTACTCTTGGTCTTCTATATCCCAAATGCACTGGCTGCAAGAAAGACCTTTTTGAGAATCTAGCCCTTCCTCAAGTATGAATTTTTAGTAAATGCTGCAAGTGGTACAGAGACAAAAGATTTACCTTTCCTTGTGATTCACACTCCTCTTTCACTCAGGTTTCAGTGTCTGTCACTATATGTGGACAAAAAAACAAACCAGAACTTCTTGATTTTGAGGTGAAACAATTTTTAAAAAGAAAAGAAGGGGATAGGTTATCAGATAAGAATTGTAAAAAATAAAATAAAATTCAGAAGAGACAGTGTGTGTAAATATGGCATTGGAATTTCCCGACTTTAAGTGCTTGAATTGACTTCCGTGAACTCTGTGTGTGTGTGTATGCAAATAATTATGTGGACTATGAAATGCACATACTGCTGGTTATAGTTATGAATGATCCATATGAATATGCAGAATTCTCCCTCTGGTTACTTCCTGTGGCTCTGGATAGGAGTGCCACTTTTAAGGGATTTATTCTAGAGAAGATACATTTTGAAATTGCAGATTTAAGCCTTAGTCTTGTCTTGAGGCAGCACTGTTTCTCCTGGAGCAGGCTCCTGTTCTGCACTGAGTCTCTTGCTTCAGGCTGGTCTGGTGCACGTGGTGTGAGGCAGAGCCATTCTCTGTCCTACTGCCAAAGGAAGGCTATAGGATGGAAAAAGACAACATCTGTGCTCTTGAGAAGCTCCCGTTGTCTTTTGCCAGTATTGTTTGGGTCAGCAGGAGGAGGGTGGAGGGAGAAGTTAAGCTTCTTGCTGGGCTTCAGGCTTCCTTGCTGGGTGAGGTGTCTGGGAAGAAGGACTTCAAGTAATAAGAGTTGGCAGTCTCTCTTGCACATCTGTGGCAATGAGCTAGAACGTTTTTCTCTGCAAGGGCCCTTGAGGAAGGGCATTGGTCCCATTTGGCCCAAATTCAGAAACTGACACCAGCTTTCTACACTTCACTGGTCATTGTACACTGATCATTCATCCCTTGTGTGAGGGAGGGGGTAGCAGTTAGCATTAAGTGCTTATTTCATCTGCAACTTCCTAAGTGCCACTAATCTGTAAGGCTTACCAGTATGGCAGGCAATCTGTTGTAACAAGACAAAATAGTGTTGTGCACTTAAATTTTAGGCAGATAGAGGATTCTGCATATTTGCATATCGAGGCTGTGTAATAAGTAGTGCCTTCACTTCTCTCTAATTAAGGCTGCCAACACCTTCTGGTGTCTTAAACATCATGTTTCTGAAAACAGGGCCTAGATTTGCCAGCATGTTGAAACTCTGTGTGTGTGCCCGCTCTCTGCCTTGGGATGCCTTTTGCTAACTTGTTGGCAAAGTTAGTTCAGCTATTTTATGTTAACAGGGTAAGAAAATAGCTCATTTCTCTTGTGTTAACATCCCCCCCAATAGTTTGTTTCCAGAGGCCTACTAGCAACAAGATGGTGTTACCCTGTGGATGTTGTTGCAGAGAGGAGATGGAAGGAAAAAACGTTGGTTTAAGGATTTTGATAGGCACTGGTTTCCACACTTTTGGGACAGCATGGAGGTTTGTCATAAAAAAGGACCTTAAAACTGACAATTTATACTGTGCACAATGTGTTGAGGGTCCTGTCATCTATTTCTTTGTTCAGCAACTTTCTTTAACTTAGGTTGCACGATAAGGAGTAGGTCTACAATTTTTAAAGCATGTATTGAGTCAGCAGTTCTTCTGCCTCGACACAGTGCAAGGGAATGATAGGATTAAACTGTAATCAAAGAGAGGGGAAGCAAAATGCTCCTTAATCCTAAGACTTAGTTGCTTGGCTGTACATTAAGGTTCTTCTGTGCTCTTAATGGTATATGATTGTTTTTTTTTATTTGCAGGTTCCCTGATGTATTTAAATGAAGCCACTCTCCTTCACAATATCAAGGTTCGGTACAGTAAGGACAGAATTTATGTAAGTATTACCTGTCATATCAACCGGTCTGACAATAAATATCCTTTCAAAACACACAAAACAACAACAAAATTTTTTCCTCTATCACAGAAAATCAGCAGGAATAGTACCACCAGAAGGTTAGGAGGTTTTAGGCGTTTTTTGCTATCTTGCTTGAGACCTGAATCAAATTGATGCTTGCTATTTTTTTAATCAGGCAGGGCAATAGATTTTTCTCTACTTGACTGCTCAGTTGCAACTACAGCACAGCATTTGTATCACAAAGGTCTGTTCCTGTAGGGAACTTACCTACCAGTGGAGTAGCTTTTAACAAAGTGGTTCTTTCTTCATTATTTTTGAACGAAGCAAACAGGTGCCGTCTCTGACACCTCCTAGCTCAGATGTCCATCTTAATCTTTTATATTGCTATCAAATTGCCTAATTGTACTTAATGAATTCTGACTAAATTACATTTTGTCCTTGCCATCTGCCCTGACACTGACAGCTGTGAAACAGAAGAAAGATAAGAATTTTCTTTCTTATTTTTTTCCTAGTAGAAAGCTGGCTAGTGATAGTGTAAAATAATTCTACACAATTTCTAAGTGTCGGTGTTCAAATAATCAATTTCTGTGTTAATCTGCGGTTCTAAAATGAATTGATTTAGTGTTATACCCTTTTATTTATACAGAAAAAAGTATAGTTGTTTTCCTTTGTTGCAGTTAACTTTACACAGCTATAAATTCTTTATAGGCTCAAGATAAGCACCAGCTTTAAAATAAATAAATAAAAGTGGCAATTTGTATGCTGTCCTGGAAAAATAGTAATAAAACACACATGCACACAAAAACCCCAATGCAATAAAATAAATTCTGAAACTGAACTGGTCATGAGGGAGGACAGTATTTAGTTTCACAAACCTTTTCTTCATTTTAAACTACTGCTACTAATATGTTGCCCTGAGTGGGTATATTTTCTTTCTTTATTTTATTATTATTATTATTTAGAGCTGGTTAACAGCATTTGCATTCTTATTAAGAGGAAAACTAATATTAGAACTTGCAGCTCATGAGGAACTCTGTGCATGAATTTTCCATCAGAGAAATAAGTGATGAAAATAGAAGCATCTAAGAAAATTAATATATTGCACATGCCCAGCCTTCTGTCAACATGTCATGATAGTGTCCAAAATTCAGTCGTGGGATATGCTTAGTAACAATCAACCAAATAAGTTATTCAGGCTGAGGTTTTATCTGATTTTCTCCAGACCTTTTCCATCAAATCTGCTTTTTTCTGTGCTGCAGACATCTGTTCATCCTTGTATGTGATCTGGCCATTAAAACCAAAGTATGAAAGGTTTTTCAGAAATGTTAACTACAATGTATCTTTGGCTTCCTTATTGTACAAAACGTTTTAGTTTTCCTTATGGTCAAAAACTAAAAGGCAGACCTTGGTTGAGATTTTTCTCAAATTCCTTCTCTATTACAGAGCATTTGTATTCTGTATTTCTCACTGTGGAAACAGCCATAGCTAATTTCTCGCAGTTGAATGATTTTATTGCCTGACTCAAGCTTGTTCCCAGCAGTCCTTCCTGCTGAGTTGCTTCCATTTGATAGTGAAAAATTAATGTCATTGGAGGAGACTGCATTGTGCTAGCAAAGAGTTTAGTTTAGAGGAGGAAGTAGTGATGTTTTATCCGTGATCCAACAAGTCATACAATAGGAAATCATTTAAAAGAAGAGGGAAAAAGGTCAAATTCAGGACATACTCCACAGCTCAGTGGTTAGGAAATTCTCCTGAGAAATGCGTTTTCACAGAAGTCCTGAGAAGATAATTAGAGGAACTCTGAAAACATATCCCTTCTTGTACCTATTAGCTAGAGAGAATTGTAATTGTTATACTTCAGCTGTACTCTTCAATAATAATAGAAAATTGCTGTTAACCACTTGGCTGGATACTAGCTAATTGTTTGCTGTTAATTGTTTTCTTCACAGACATACGTAGCCAACATTCTCATTGCAGTGAATCCGTATTTTGATATACCCAAGTTTTATACTTCAGATACTATTAAAAAGTACCAGGGTAGATCACTTGGGACGTTGCCACCACATGTTTTTGCTATTGGTATGTATTGAGTCTGGGTTTTGTCGTTTACAGAACAAGAATTAAATACTTTGCAGCTATATGCAAACTGCAGCTCTGTAACTGTAACTTTAAGCTATTAGCAAATAAAAAGCAATTGCTAAAATTGCAAATTTTCTCATCCTTGATATGCAGTTGGAAGAATCTGGCAACTAATTATGATTGTTCTGTACATCCAGTGTTTTATGTCTAAGCAGTTTTAATATAATTTACAATCATAAAATTAAAAAAAAATCAAATTTTAGAAGTGAAGAATGACAATTAAAACTGGGAAAATATAATGATTTCATTTGGTCTTTATAACCAAATCACATGCGCTGTTTCTTTTTTAGATGATTATGTTGTAGGCAGAAAATGTATTTAAATATTATTATTGGGATAAAGCTTATTTTAAGTCACTTGGAAAGTAATCATGTTTAAGAAAAATTCTATGAATACAGCATTTGATTGGAATACAGCCTTCTAAGAGTGCTAAACTTTGTTTTGTAATCAAACAATTGTTGAAGTCTAAACAGCTGTTTTATTCAGTACGTGCTGCATAACAACAACAACAAAAATATATTAAAATACACAAATATGTTTCCAAGTGTCCTTGGCTCAGATTTTGCTTTGCAAAGTGCAACTGAAAGTTTCCCTTTAAAAAAACTATTGAAGTAAGCTTGATTTTCAGCTGTTTTGTGAATGCATTTAACAGAAGAGATTTATTTCTAGGTGGTTGCTTTGTTTTATTTTGTTCTGAAAAGTTGATTAGGTTTTTGTTTCCAAGGACCTTAAGCTCTAACATGTTGGAGGAAGGGCAGCTATAATATAGTTTAAAGAGAAACTTTACAGCTGAGTCTATTACAATTTAAAGATTTGCTTTTTATTCTTGAAAATGTTAAATTTTCCTGTTTGTATTGTGATTAATTTTTGTTTTAACATTCAGGAGAGATGAAAACATAATTTTTGTCATGTCTCATGTATTCTTTTATTTAAGCTGATAAAGCATACCGTGATATGAAAGTACTCAAGATGAGTCAGTCCATCATAGTTTCTGGAGAATCAGGAGCTGGCAAGACAGAAAACACTAAATTTGTTTTAAGGTATGTACTTTTGGACCAAAGTTATTCAGTGATTTTCTTTTGTTGTTGTGTTTGTCTGACATACACAGTTAATTGTAAGGTAATCAGTCAGTAACGTAACATTAAGACCCAATTCAGTAAGTTATGTGCATCCTTCTACATACACTTTAATACAAGAAATTCACAGGGTTAAACATAAATGCTGACATGGTAACATATGGCAATGTCTGCATATTCACAGAAACCAGAACTCGGTTGTAGTGACATCACATAGTTATTATGGTTTATGATGCAGTCATTTTGGTATCGTGCATCTGGTACTGTGGTTGATAAAATTTAAATTAGGCACTTTAATTGTGCCTTGCAAGACACACTTGTTTTTGCCATAACTGTGCATGTGTCTGTTTTCCCTGTCTTTGTTTCTTCAGTTTACTTGAGTATTCATTTTAACTATTGATTTTTGAGACAACTGCAGGAATTCCATAATATACTTCTACCCTAATTTGCTGAATAAGTACTGAATAATGGGATTTATCTATTTATTGATGTTTGGGTATGACAGATACTAAATCAAGCATAAATAAACTATCTGGAGGCCATATTGCTGATATATACTAGTCTTCCTTCCATACATGTTTTTAATGATTTTGACCATATTTGTGTCATAATTTAACTGCTTTATACATGTATCACTCTGGAGCACTGTAGCTGGAGAGCACTGCTGCATAAAATTCGCCTACAATACAAATACAAATTATACAAAATTATACAAATTATTAAATACAAATTATTTAGGGAAGCACAGTGCAGGCAGTGTGAATGCTTTCCCTTCCCCCCTTATCGTTGTTTCTCTGTGTAAATCTTGAACTCCCTTTTCTCTTGCATCACGTATGTATGTACAGCAGTGGTGTTATCTTCCCACATCCCAGGAAGACTTGTCATGGTTGGCCATCCGTCCTTCATACTCCTCTTCCCCTGTGCAACCTTTAGCGGAGAGCTGTAGGAGTTGCGGCAAGGTGATGGTAATGATATTTATAGGGGATGTCCTAACAGAAGACAGCTCACAACTTTGATCCTGCCACGAATAAAGAAAGACTGCAGGCACTGGGAGAACATCCCCTGAGGAATGTCCTCAAAGGCTGTTATTCTTCGGCTTCTCAGCAAAGGAAGTTCTGATTACATGGCAGGCAAATAGCACTGCTGCTGCTTCTCCCCGCCACCTACCCCCACAGAGTCTGTGTACAAAATGTCATTGAGTTTTAAAAACAGGAAGGCTTTTTCCTTGTGTAATCAGAAGGCAAGAGGTACTACTAATACAGCTCTGTTAATGTTTCTAAACTTTTTTTTGGAAGGTTCTATTTCGAGAACTGTTTTTAATATGTCCCAGATTTAGTTGTATGTTTCCAGAAGGTATGCCCTGTATTCAGGGGAGGTGGTGGTGGTGGTGGTGTTTAAGAAACAAACAAACAAAAAACACACACGCCAAAAAAAAAAAAAAAAAAAAAGCTGCACCTTCAAAGAAACTTTTGAATTTGTTTTAAAATTCCTTCTTCAATTACTATACCTTAAATATGTATTGCAATTTCCTGTCTCACAATCTACATGTAGGATTTTTATTAACATTGATGGTTGTGAATGCAGACGCTGTATGCATGGAACTTAAATTCAGGAAATACGTCTGACAGTTCATGAGTCTATTGAGATTACTAATATACAGATAATAGAGTAATAGATTCACTGTATTTGTATAAAAGTGTAATTTCCATATGCATATCTAAAAGAAATTTCCAACTTATCCTGATATATTGAAGAAAGAACCCAAAGTCTACAAGAATATTTCTTTTACAGAAAAAAGAAAAAAAGGTCAAATTGTATTTATTTTAAAAGGATGCGGGAACTTGGAACTTATAATCAGTATGCCCACCCTTCAGCAAGTAGTCAATAAGTATGGTGCTCAGACCTGTTGACTTCAGGTAACCTGACACGTAAAGGATATTTTAACTTTATTTTTATCTTTTTTTTTACAGGTATTTGACAGAGTCTTATGGTACTGGCCAAGACATTGATGATAGAATTGTAGAAGGTATTATATTTTGTTTTAATTCAGTTTAAGGTTCCAACTTGATATTCTTATTTTATTTTATTTTCAAATTTGATATGTCAAACAATATCAGCTAGGATGAAAATACTATCCGAGTTCCTAGGACATAACGTACCTTGATCCCAAAGTCTTAAAATATATTTTTTTATTTATGATTTCCTTTACTTTTATTTAATAAGGTGTCATACAGTACTCGATCTTGACTTTGAGTTGAACTTCACACGTGTACACTGGATTTTATGTTGTATGAATCTGCAAGGAGAATATAATATTCTCATTAATACCTCTTACTACCAGGAAGATATAATTCCTCTTTCTCAGCAGAATGTTTATCGTTTATCTCTTTTTCATTGCGTCTATCTTTATAATAGGTTCCCAAACAAGGTTAGAAGAGAGTGTTTTGTTTGTTTTTGGTCAATTGGTTGAGCATTTTTAATGGTGCATGGAATTCCTAATTAACCAGAAAATAACTTTTTGAGAAAGCATAAATATCTCAAAACCCAAACAACCACTCTAAAAATCTGTCAGTCTGTAGGTCCTACTAGATTTATTTCAGGATTTTATTACTCTTATTTTTTCCTAACCAAAATTTTTTACTTTTGCTTTAAATATTCCTGTTTACATATTTGAGCCATTGATTATTCAAGAGCAGTACTGCAGGCTTTAATCTCTTGTTGCTGAGGGTTTGCTTAAATCAATTTCTCAGTGCTAAAGGAACACAGAAAGAGGCCAAGAGTTGGATAATGCCTGATGCCGTATGCCATAAAATTAATTGGTGCTTCTAGGTATTATGATTAAAGTGTTTTTGTTTTGTTTTTAAATTTAAAATGGCATCCAGTGCATGAATTTTGAAGTTTTTTAAGCACAATTTTAATGAGCATGCTTACAAGATCTGTATTAATAGAGGATCCTTTAACCTATCTGAAGGGCCTCTTGCAATTTCTTTTTATTCTAAACAATTCTTCAAAACTATTAATATTACGTAAAGTGTTTGGATACCTGAACAAAGGTGTCTTAATAAGACAGCTATGAAAGTCACACTTGCATTTTCATAAGCTTTAAGTATGAAAAAATGAAAACCTAGCCAAAACAAAAACGATAATGCTGATGCCTCACTAAATAATGCATTACCATCCCTAATTTATCCAACCACTGCAGTTATTCCTTCATATAAAAATTTAATTTTTATAGGAGCAAACTTGTAGATGGTTGTCAGTGGAGGTTTAAATCTGAGTTTCTGCTCACTTAGTTTCCAATTAATGTGTTTTAGTTATAAGCATCAAAATACTTTGCAGATACTTTCCTTGGTTTATTGTTAGTGCAATTCAGAAAATTGTTTTTCTTTGGTCTTCGGAGGTAGCAAAATGCATTCTTTCATAAGCCTTGTGTTTCATTACTACTAAACCTTTTCAAACTGCCTAAGCTATGCATGATTTATATAAATATAAAACATACATTAGATTGCTGCCGCTCTTTCTGTATGGGTGCTTTAAGGTGCTTGAGAACTGCAGCCAGTAAAACAAAAAATAACTCATTCACTTAATTGAGCTAATACGAAAGGGCATTTTTAAGTTGTTTTTGAAATCAACACCCTTTTCTAATACGTATTTTTATTCCCTAATCAATCTAACATGCAGCATGCATGACATTTAAGTGGCATTTTTGTCTGTGGGATAAGTGGGTAGTTTAGGTTTTATGAATAACAACTCATTGGGAAATGTCAAATTGTGTATTGTATCATAGAGTTATGTATTGGTTATTTACCTGCTTGCTGTAGAAGAACGTCACTGAATCATTTCTGGTAATTGTCTCTGAATTTCTTACAGTATCGATTCAAGTATTTTGTAGCGTTATTTATTTAAGCACTTCATTGTAAATTCCATCACAGTATATCCAGTACAATTTGCAAAATTAGTTATTCCTGATAGTTAATACTTCTCCTTCAATTTTCAAACGTTATTCCTAATAAGGTCAGTGAATCATTGATATGTATTTAATCTCTCTTTCATTTTGGTAGTTTATTGATCAAATTTCAATGCTTCCTTTTTATTATTATTATTTTTTAAACAGCAAATCCACTACTGGAAGCCTTTGGAAATGCAAAGACTATTCGCAACAACAATAGTAGTCGTTTTGGGAAATTTGTGGAAATTCACTTCAATGAAAAGGTACTGGAATTTTGATACAGATACGAGTGTCGATTTTCACCATGAAGTGGAAATGTTAGATTGGAAGAAGGCTAAATAGACTTACCTATCTTGCATCAAATACCTACTGTCCTTGATTGCCACATTTGATTATCACCTTGAAAGTAAAGCTAACGACACAGTACTGTGTCATTACTGGAAAATGGTGGGTCAAGTCAATGGGAAAATTGCTTCCATCTGTAGCTAAAGAATAAAAATTGTTCCCTTCATTACAAGAAGGGGGAAAAGGCACATCTAAAGAATAACTTAATTGCTCTTAAGTATTTATGCATTTCTTTAATGTACAAATAAGCATGATTTGCATATAATATATCAACAGATATAAATCTATTTTAATGCTTTAATACTTTGTATTAATTACTGATATTTTTATTTATTGGTATGAAGTTTTGGTACCTTGCATCAATATTTTGTATGTAACAGAAAGCATGGAACATTTTTTCTTGGTCAGAAATATTACTCATTATGTAGCATTTGAAATTTTTCTTTGGATATATTTTAGCTTCCATAGCTTATATATTTGCATATAGAATTGCTGCTCATGAGTGTGAAGTAGGCCCCTGTAGGTTCAATGCCTGGGAAAAGTTATAGTGAAGGTAACAGCTTCTTTTTTAGGATTTATATATATATTAGATAAAGATACATGTTAATCTTTGGAGCTGCACCTGTTGAAAGAGCCAGGTCAGACAATTATAAATTGATGAACTCTGAATCTCAAGTAAACTAAAAACATTCAGATAATGAGAAAAATATTTCTTCTTCCTAGAACTCCGTGGTTGGTGGATTTGTATCACATTATCTTCTGGAGAAATCTAGGATCTGTGTGCAAGGCAAAGAAGAGAGGAATTACCATATCTTTTACAGGCTTTGTGCTGGTGCTCCAGAAGACATTAGGGAAAAACTGTATCTAAGTTCTCCTGACAGCTTTAGGGTGAGTATTGGAGTCAGTGTTTGTAAAGCTTTTCATTATTGCCATACATTGATTTCTCTCGTAGATCTTATTAAAATACCTGTTACCTTTGACAAACTCTTTTCTGTTACACAATTCAGAAAATAATTTATTTTCTTAAATCTATTTGATCTAGAGATCTATAGGCTCTCTGCCATATTATCTTTATTGGAAGATTTCCTGTACTTGCCTTGTGTTTTTAAAATTGAAGAATCTTTGCTTTTTCCAAAAAATACTCTTGCATACCCAGCTGCTAGTAATTTTGTTATGATCTCTTCTTGAGGTGTAAAGTGTAAATTTTTTGACTGTGATCCAACTATTCTGTGGGTAACCCATTATAAAATCTGGAAAACTGCATTTATTTCTTCCTTTTCCAGCTGTGCATTTAGGAGGACCTGGGAATTTTGTCCTGCAATTCTGTCCTTTATTTTTACCTCACACTTTGTACCAGGGATCAAACTGCAGTGACAGGGTGGTTGTGCAGTCTGTATGCTTTTATATCACTTTTCTTTCCTACACTGTTGCATCTTGTGCCTATCTTTCTCTACTGTCTAGATTTGTCATTAGTACTTCTCCAGTTCTGAGTTTCTCGCATTCCTCTCTTCATCTGACAGAAGTCTGTGTTGTTCTTCAACCCTCCAGGTTACATGATGAGACTTGACACTCCCTTAGGCTGAAAGCTTACACTTTTATCTCCATTTGACCTGAAGCCCATGCTCAACGTTTCCTGCCAGGATTATTACTTCTGTTCATTAAGCATGCTTCTGTTTCTTAAGTTTTATATCTGCTAATTTATTCTTTCTCTAGAACTACTTTTTTTTTTTTTTTTTTCCTGAGTTCTGGCTATCTTTCATCAACCTGTTACTGCTCCAGTCACTCAAGCCATGGAGTAGCCAATAAAATATGAATACAGTCAGTGTTGAATATAATACTGTTAACCATACATAAATGAAAATGAAGTCAAAATAAACTGGGAGGAAATAAGACGTGAATTATTGTACATCTTTAAAAATGTTAGCTTAATGTTCAGTGGCAGGGAAAAAGCAGAGTAGGCTTTTAGGAATTACTAGAAAAGTAAATGAGAGTGAAATGGTGTGTCATACTATTATATTTGTAAATAGGGTGCAGAGTTTTATCATCTCAGCTCAAAAAGAAATAGTAAAATACCGGGGTGAAATGCAGGTCACGGCCAAAGATAAAGCACTGGATAGTATGGACCTTTTAATTCAATATAGTGCGGCTCTTCTTATGACTCCTGATTTGTTTACTGCCTTCTCTTCTTCTCCTCATGCTTTATTTTTGACATTTTTTCCCTTTTGTGAGATCATGTGGTTTTGCCTGATAACCCTGATTGCGTGTTATGTTTCCAGTAGAAATCCCACAAGCAGGCTGGCTTTCCGTGCTACCATTAAGCTCTTGCATTCTTTTCCTCCCATCTTTTCCACTAAACAGTTCTACTACTGCAATTTAACTTTTTAACTTTTTTCTGCTTTCCTTCTTTCTCCCCCATTTCCCTTGCTTCAGATTTCACTGAATTGTTTTCAAAAACAATTGACAAATGATGCAATTTCCTATTGCTTTCTTGTCCTTCTTGCCAGTCAAAATCTTCTCTTTACTTTGCTTTCTATATTTGTGTGAGTTACTCCAACCCTATTTCCCTTATTTTAAATTGTCTTTTAATTCTCAGTTTTCCACACCTCTCTTGTTGCAGTGTTGTGGTTTAACAGGGTAGGCAGCTCAGCACCACACAGCTGCTTGCTCTCTCTCCCCAGCTGCGACGGGGGAAAGAATCGGGGAGGTGAAAGTGCAAGAACTCACGGGCTGAGATAAAGACAGTTTACTAGGCAAAGCAAAAGCTGCACGTGCAAGCAAAGTAGGGAATCCATTTGCTATCTTCCATCGGCAGGCAGGAGCTCAGCCGCTTCCAGGACAGCAGGGCTCATCACGGGTAGACGTTCCTTGGTAAGATAAATGCCATCACTCCCAGTGGTCCCCCCTTCCTCTTTCTTTACTCCAGTTTTATTGCTGAGCACTACGCCACCTGGTGTGGACCATCCCTTTGGCCAGCCTGGGCCAGCTGCCCTGCCTGTGTCCCCTCCCAGCTCCTGGGGCACCCCCAGCCTCACGGGCAGGGCAGCATGAGGAGAGGAAAGTCCTTGGCTCTGTAGGCAGTTCTCTGCAACAACTAAAACAGCTTTGTGTTATCACCACTATTTTCATCACAAGTCCAAAACATAGCATCATACAAACATCTACAAAGAAAATTATTTCTATCCCAGCCAGAACCATGGCATGCAGTTATCGTATTTTTTTCTTGCTGAACTAATACAGTTGTACAACTTTTTTCTTATTATTTTCCTGGTTGTTCTTTTCCTTTCCTATCAAAGCAGGCTTCTGTTTTCCCACTTGGGGTCCTTCTAAGCCTTCTCTCATTTTAGACTGTCATCACCAATTTTGCTAGTAAGGTGAAGACTTCAGTCACTCATTCCTGCACTTTTATTATTCATACATGATTTATACATCTATGTGTATCAAAAGGATACATGTATCCTTTTGACAAACACACTTGAACTATAAGTATCTGCAAACATCATTTTGTGCTTTGTTGACTTGTGTTGATAAGAAAAACATTGGTAAATCAAATCCTACTGGTAGACACTTGTTAGTTGTTTGCTGGAGTTGTCTCATTTGTCTCCGTCTCTCCATTGTCTCTTGGTTTATGCCTGGCTTGGAATCTTGGTGACGCAGAACTCTGTGCATTTCTAAAGCACACAGAGCAAATTGCTGCCTAGGGCTTGTAAGGGTTTTGTAACGCCAGCCTGGAGAGCGCGTGGAATTACAGACATACTAACTGACTGTCATCTCTGTAGACTTCCTTTTTCTTAAGTGAGGTGAGGAGCACTGCTAACAAAGCATTATGCTACCGTGTTAAGTTTTTTTTTGTTGGCATTTTCCCACTACTTAATTTTCTCAATAAAACTTGTTGCACTGTGCTTATCTATTACTTTACCCTATATCTTCCACACTCATTTTCATCAGAATTTAGTAGAGGGCTAGAAGCTTTAAAGATACGACGTTCCTACTACTTTTGTACAAAGCAGTAGTTACCAAGGTGAGACCTGTGTTAGCTGTGGGCACGGCAGTTGCACACCAGTCACTGAACAGGTTGCTGCTGCCTTTTCAGCCGGCCAGGTCTGTGCCTGCATGCTGATGAGCTGGGTGCAGAGCTGCAGTTCTGTACAGTACAGACTGTGCATTTCTCCATTAGTATCCAGATGATCTTGCTCCCTAAAAGCCAAAGCTTTCTTCTTTACTGTCCAACTATTACATGCAGTATTCTTTTGTATGTTTTAAATCTAAAATCTCGAGCAGTTTTTCAAAGATGTGTTTTTATTGCATAGTCACTGCTCCATTAAAAATTATTTCTTGCAGCTCCTGGATTGTTAATTCTATAGCTGGATATGTCATGTGCTCACTGTTGGGATTTTTTTCATCAAAAGCTCTGCTCATGATCTCTGCTTATGACATTCAATTGCAGATGTCAAAATTATAACCTGCTTAAAATCAGGCTGGTGCAGTGCAGTACTGAACGACACAATTGCCGGCACAGAAGGTACTCGCTGTGCCTGTTGCATTTACAAAGAGCTTACAGTGACACCTGCCTTGTCAGCTGTCTTATGATTTTTTGGACTCCTGCTGTAAGGATTATTTTTTCTGTGCTCTTCAGTCATTTGCTGCATCAGGTTTTTGTCATGAAATGTGGCTCTGAGTAATAATTCATGTTTCACTTTTTTACCACATTATTTCTTGACTATGTACCTGTCTTGTTCAAATTACTGAGGAAAGACAGTCTATCAAGCTTCTAACCATAGATGGAGATATTTTGCTAACTAGCATTTGGTGTTTGATAAATGTTTAGATATCAATGTTAATGTTTTGGAGGCCTGTCAAGAAAAACTTTCAGGAAAAGATTTTATTCTCAGATAAGTTGTTTAGAAAAATCCATCCCTAGGGCTGCAGTTTTACATTTGTTCTATTTTGCCACTTGTGGCTTTTAGCTTATCAAGCCAAAGTCCAAGTTAGACACAGCGAGGGCCTTAAGACTCAAGTGTGTTTTGCTCAGTGCTTGGTTTCTCTTAACTATATGAACTTGAAAATAGGACCCTCTCAGATCTAAGGCAGTTCTCATTTTTCACAGAAGTGAAATGACATTAAAAGACAAAGGGTAACAATGCTCTGTTCTTCTGCCAATTCCCCTGCCTGTCCTTGACTTAAGCGATCCCTTGTAAGCTCCTCCCTGTGTTTGGCTGTCTCAGCGTTGGCCGTGCCTGCTCTGGGCACTCGAACCAAGACAACTGCATTGGCTTCATCTGCCTGAACTGTCTGAATTTCAGCAGTGCCGATGGGGGCTACCTCTCCCTTAGCTCGCACTAGGAAAGTGTGAATTTACGCGGCAAAATGGCTATAAGGAGTTGCAGATTTCTCTTCTCGACCCACCTCTGAACACAGCCACACAAAAACATGCAGTCCTGGTTGCTCATCTTTTGGGTTCCCCTGCAGGACTTTCCAGAGATTCAAAGTCGTAGGTAATTCTCTGCTGAACCTTGTTGGCCCACGTGGCTTTGACTGCACCACATGGCTTTGAAAGTAAACCTGCGCAGACAATAGCTGATGGATATGAGAAGCTGAATTTTTTTCACATTTTGGTTTCCATATGGTTTCCATTAAGGTTGCCTTACGTTTGGATACATATACATATATATAAATATATATATATTTTTTTCATTTTGTATATAAATTTTAATCAAAGTGTGTAATTAACTGCATGCATTTAGTTGCAAACTTCTTTGTATGTGGGCAGACCAAGAAATCAGTTCAGTTCCTTTTGACAAAGAGCTCTTACCGTGATTTTGGACAGATTTCGTATTTTCAACTGAACAAATCAGAAAGGAAAAGTTGTTGATCCCATTTTACTGGAAATGTCAGTCTTCATGCTTGATCTGTTCCCTTTACTATACAATGTGAGATGGATATCAAAAGCCATATTCTGAATTAGGCTTTTGCTTGGACCAGATTATAAACTTTTAAGACTGTTTTTATTATGCTATGTCTCTGACTGCTTATAGAAATATATCACTCGTGAGGAAAAAAGCAATCACACAAGTACATTATAGATAGTACCACAGCTTCTTTGATCCTATCTCTCTCACCACCTCACAGCACTATCTAAGGCTTCTATATTGCAGAAAACACAAACAGTATTCTGAATTTTATCTGGTGTTATGTACAACTCGGTGGAGTAAAATTTGGTATTACAAATTGGCCATAAAATGTATTTTCTTGATTCCTGATTTTAGTTGTCTTTTATGTAGTGTAGTAAGTTTAGTAGAGCTAAACAAAGAAAAGATGGTGAGACTTAACAAATGAATATCCCATTTTGTCAAAACCTATTTCAGTTGTCAAAATTGAAAAGCTTTCAATAGAAGTTTGTTAAAGTTGCACTTCTCTCTTTTTTTTTTTGATATTATGAAAAAATGTAAAAACTTTTTCAATGAATGAATTCTGAATACCTGTAGTATTGTGGTTATTATGTGATCGAAACAAGCCATGCAAAGCGAGCCTTAAATAATAGCATAAGTTTCTCTCACTTCGGTCTTTGTGTGCATTTTTTCTGTTTTTATTGTTGCAGTATTTAAATCGGGGCTGTACCAGGTACTTTGCTAATAAAGAAACAGACAAGCAGATTTTGCAAAATCGCAAGAGTCCTGAGGTATGTTTTGTATCTTCAGTTAGTTTGCATTAACTAATTCAGAGAGCATTGAAAATGATGACAGTTTTGCAATGTGGAATGAAATGTTCATGTTACACATCTTTATAGGTCTAAATAGTTACTGTTAAGGGATTTGGAAATGAGTCCTAAAAATATATTTAAATGTGCATCTTAAAATTCTAAGTGGAACACTATAAAATTGTCTCCTTTTCATTCTTGTAATAATATAACACTTAACAATTCAGAATGTCTTTAGTGGAAAACAAAAAAAAAATCAAGACTTTTTGTCATTTTCTTTTTAAATTTTAATACTGTTAGGAATATGTGAGAAGCAGTAGTTTTCTTCCAAAGCTATTTTGACTGGATTGTTGAAGTGATGTTCCAAACTGTTTTCTAAAATATTAGCACAACTTTACAACTTTACTTCCAGAACAAGTAAATCTCCCTCCCTCTGAAATACGCCAGAAAGTGGCGTTTCCTGGAGGCAAGTGGAACTTCAGAACATTTTTTTTCTTCTTGTTCCATCTCCTGTTACATTTTTTAAAATAGCATTATCAGAATTTATATTCTTAAGCCTTTGAGCTTGTTTGCCTGAGGACACTTCAAGAAATTAATCTGAATTGATAGTATATCTGTATTGGAAGTTGTTTAAACACTTCATTATAATTCCACTCTAATCTCTAATAGAATTTTCATCTATTCATACCTAAAGGAAGAATTTTTCATTTGTATAGCTGGAAGATTTCTCTTTGCTTAAAGAAACCCTTCATACTTATGATTCAATAGCAGGGCAAGTTACATGAGGAATAATATTAAGACAAGTTGACTCAAGAGCTTCTCTCCTCCTATGATGATCTTTTACTTTTGAGAAATTGGGTTGGGGATTGTATGTAGCTTGTGCATAGTTGTGAAGGACAGAAGAGATCCTTCCTTTGCTCAGATCAGCATTGGAAAGTCCACTCCCAGTTTTCTGATGTTTATAATGTTATAATAGGATGCACATAATGCCAATTTCCTTGTCTTTAAGTTCTTTTCTGTAATCAGGGATGATGGAGAGCGAGGTACGGATGTATAGATACTTAACTCTTCGTGTATAGGCTAAGAGAGATTTAGGAGATTTTACCTCAGTTTGCCTAATTTGCCTTAAATGAAGATGTGTAGTGAAGTTGGCCATTTATGTAGGCATAAAGTATCAACATTCACTTATTCTTGCTACTCAAAGATGTGGTCACTGATGTGATTTACAATCTGGTGTTCTGTCATAAATATGTCTCTAAAGGGCTTAATTTGGCAGAAATGTTTCTCTAAAACTACAGCATGCTGAAAGAGTAATTCTGAAAATATGTTGGACATTAAATAGTGGAACGTATGCTGTAATACATTTATATTGCAGCCATGTCAATTTGAAGGAGCAATAGAGGTTCAAATTTCAATGAAGTAAAAATCTAATCTAGTCACTTAAACAGGAATACATTGTTCAGTTCAAATACATTGTTCATTTTTGAAAATCAGGTGTTAATATTTGCTTTGTCATTTAATGAAAAATATTGTTTATTTTAATAAAAATAGCTGGAATAGTCAATTAATACTTAAATTATTTTTGTGTTTTCCTTATCAGGAAGATGAGGTGATCATTTTACATAATTAAAACATGTAGTTTAATTTTATTGATGTGTTTAAATGTTGTGTGAAGTGAATTTTTCAGATGCATGTGGTGTTTTGTTTTGATAGAATTGTTAGCTTATTTGATGTTAATGAGGCTTCCACTTAAATGAGTAATTCTTAGCTGAAAACATTTTAAAGTAATTGTAAAAGCCTGCATCAATCTATGCATGTTCAGTTAGTCTTTTGATTGCATGCAGATGTTTCACTACTATTTATAACAGTTATTAAAATGACTTTTGATGTATTTAAAATAGGCAATTCTGTCAGCAAAATGTTAAATTGATATATTGTAACCTAGCTGCTATTCTTTTAGCCAGTAGAATATTGGCAAACAACTTTACTGTTTCTTTATCACCAGCAAATATTAACAAGCATATTCCTTTATGTAAGTCTGTCTGGATACTCATAGGGAATATGTTTCCAATTCTAATTTGTCCTGTACTCCTTTCCCATGACCTGTCAAAGCCATTCTGTTACCCTCTTTCAAGGACCTCCGTGGTCTTTCAATTGCTGGAGGCTAGAAATACTCCTTGGTATATGTACTTCTAAAGCTTCTTTAGCCAAACTTTTCCCTTTCCATTGCTGACCATCCTGTGCTCTCCTGTCCTAAGCTGTCAGACTCTCCAAGTTCTGCTTTCTGAAGGTAGGTTGCAGTCCTAAGGATCATGCTCTGAAATATAACCAAATTAAAACAAATCAAGATTCTTCCAAAGCCTGTATTGTGTGAAGAGCTCTAATCTCTTTATAATTAGTTTGAATATTGCATGCTTTTTAATGCTTTTTGTTATGCTATTATTGCCTGGAAATAAATGTTTACATTTATTTTTAAAATAACTTAGGGATCTTTTTGTTGTTTTTTCATCTTGTTGTTTTATAGTATCTTAAGGCAGGTTCCTTGAAGGACCCACTCTTAGATGATCACGGAGATTTCAACAGAATGTGCACAGCAATGAAGAAGATTGGACTGGATGATGCAGAAAAACTTGATCTTTTTAGAGTAGTGGCTGGTGTCCTTCATCTTGGAAATATTGATTTTGAGGAAGCTGGGAGCACTTCAGGTTAGAAGAAACAAATTGGTTTCTGTAAAAAATACTGAAAATGTCTCTTGATTATTACTTTTCATGTGAATTACTGCTTTAGAACACTCCCTTATATTGAAGGATAATTCAGCCTTTAATCGCCCCATTTTGAAGTCAAGCTTACTTGTTTTAAAGTTGTACACTTTATATGCTCTGAAAGCAAAAAGGCTCTCACTGAAATTGTTCAAGAAATTGTTAATGTGAATTTTGATATAAAGAGACGTCTTGTGTCCCAAAACTACTTGATTTTTAATAACAAAAAAATTGAACTTCTTGCTAATGTCATGAAAACATCTTGAAATTAGAAACTCCATCTGTAGTGAAAGGCAGTATGTTCTTTGGCTTCCCAAAATGTCATGTTAAGTATTTTCAAGAGATGAAGAAAAATTGCAATATTTTTTTTGGTGAATATAAACTTAATGATTTTAAGATGTTAGCTCACAAGAGGAGTTGGTACGAGTGTAGCTGGTACTTACTAGCAGAATGCCTGGGAAGGCTGGTGAAGGGGGAGTCAGTATTTTGGGAATAGTTGTTTTTGCCTTACTACTAAAATCAGCCTTTGTAAATTGAAGACTGTTGTCCATAGATTCCTAAAGAATTAAGAAACTCCTGGTCTGGACTTAGTACAAAGATGACTATAGGAGATAAAATAGCAATTCAGATCTTCATCTGTTGTGACAAGGTAAAATGAGATCAGTTCCTCTTAGTCTTACTTCATGCACATATAGCTGTTGTCAAACCTGGTAAAATTTTTAAAAAGGGCATATCAAAGAACATTTGAAAAGGTGTTTTGAATGAAGAATTAAATGAATATTAGCTTCTTAGGTTCAGTGGCTCTTGATCCAAGCACTGAATTATCACAGAATTGCAGAAACCTTCAGGTGGGAAGGGTTGTCAGGAGGTCTTTCATCCAACATTTTCTGGTCAAAGCTGGGCCAATACTGAATTCAAACCAAGTAGTTCAGGGTTGTTCATAGGGATGGGAAAAACTTCAAAGAGAAGATTCTACAACTTCTCTGGGAAACTTGTTCCACTGCCTAATTATTGTCACAGCGAAGCTATCATATCAGAACCTCCCCAGTTTCGATTTCTGATCTTGCCACCTTCATGAAGATGACAGAAAATAGGAGGACAATGAAGGTAGAGAAGGTTAGTGGCTTCATGGCTTGATAGTAAGCTGGCAGAGAGCTTCCATACTTGGGTCTTCTGTGGGTTGACAAGGATAAAACAAGGTGGACAACGTGAAAAAAATGTAAATGTGAGTGGAGAAGGAATTTTAGGAGGCCAGCAAACGAGAAGGGGAGCTATAAGTGGTGTGGAAAGTCAGGGGTGAGAGAAGGGAAGCAGACACCCTTTTTAACACCTGAAAAGTTCGTTACATTGAATGTTGAAATTCAAACCTGTATTTCCTGGAGTCAAATCTTACATTTTTTTTTTTTAAATGGTCATTGCAAATGAATGTATTTTTCTGCTCTCACCTTGTAAGTGGGCACACAGGGTGTTCATCCAAACTGCTCCAGAAGTGTATTTCTGTACCAGACATCCTTTAAAGTTTTGTTGCTGCTTCAAATATCTGGGCAACACCAAACAAAAGCAGACTGCTACAGGTTTGATGGTGTTTCAGAGCTTCCCAAATCAATCCACATAAGACTTAATCTTTTGAGCACTCCATCCTCATGTCTTTTATGTGGCGTCAGTGCAAAGTTATGGAATTCAAGCAATGTTTGACTAGCAGGACCAAGTGCACCTTCCACCTCTTTATCTAGGAAATTGTTCGTCTCATGTGTGTGACAGTGGGAATGCTGGGAGGCAGCTGTGCCAGGCGCTTCTGTGCATAGCAGGGAAGTCTGGAGGATTACAGGAACATTGGCATCCAGCAGCTTGCATCGCTGCAGTTAGTTACTAGGTGTTAGCAATGTTTTGTGCTACTTCTGTGTTTTGGGATGGCTCTTCCATTTAAAAGCAGGTTGTGAACAATGTATGTGTAGAACAATGTTCTAAAAATACAGAATTTTTGAGGCATAGCTTTTGTTTTTTATTTTTGAGAATTAAGTCTTTATCACATCTGTAGCCGCATTTAGTCATTTCATTAGTCACATCTTTAATCTGTGAATACGTTTCTAGATGCTAACTTCCATTCCTCTGAAGCTGCTCTGCCAAGATTATTGCAGTTCATTATTTCCTAGGATTTTACATAAAAATTGCAAACCCGCAGCTGTTTCGTTAACATTAGGAAGTACGCCTCAGAGCAGATTGGTTTGATATGCCTATGAAATGGGACGATTTAAAGGCAAAAACCTATCAATTACAGGTTAGTTGGCATTCTTTGTGGAAACTTTTGAGTGATAGGGAGTCAGAATTTCAAGATCTATATGAAAAAAATGGAAAGGATTTAAAAAGTGATTAGGAATACACCGCAGAGTGGCAAAACCTTGCATGTGGTGCTGTGTATTTCAACATCGGCAAAAAAATATAAAATCGGGTAACATCCTTCAATCACCTCACGTTTGTTAACAAACACTAAAAAAAAATTAAGAACGTGTGTGACACAGTGGGGGGAGCGGTGGGGCAGGGGCTGAGGGGGTAGCGGGGCAGTGGCGGCGGTTATGGCGGTTGGGCGGCGGTTACGGCGGTTGGGTAACGGCTGTGGCGGTTGCTCGCAGGGGGCTGCACGCTGAAGGCAGCGGAGCCAGACGGCGCTGGAGTGCTGCGCGGCGCTGCTGGGGCTGGACGAGGACGACCTGCGCGGCAGCCTGACCACCCGCGTCATGCTCACCACGGCGGGGGGCGCCAAAGGCACGGTCATCAAGTGAGTCGCAGTAAAAGGAAGCCAGTCAGCCTGTTAAATACGGGATCTACACAGAAAACTGGCTACGTTACCAGATTTAACAACTACACCGATTTGAGGGATGTTAACGCTGTTAATTACAGCCAAAAGCGTTTCTGAAGATACTGGGCACATCTCTTGTCATGCGGGCTTCGCAGCAGTCCCATCAGTGTGGTGTGCTCCTGTGGTATTAGGTATGAGATGCTCTAATTGGGGGGAGGAGAGAGCCCCCATCCACCTGCCTGTGTCCACGCTTCTCAAGTGTCAGGGTGATTGGTTGCCCTGTTTGTCACATCTGAGTCTGCTGAAGTTGAGTTCCAGTTTAAAAAAAAACAACAAACAGCAATCCAGAAATGTGCTGCTGCTTGCTGCTGGTGAACAAATGTTTAACCTTAACTGTGAAGTTAATGTGGTTTCATAGAAACATAAAATAATGAAACAAGATAAGAGATGATTGTATTTTTTTTTATAGCTAGACAGAATGAACCACTATTGAAGTAAATAGCAGCCTTAAAAAAAGTGTCCCTTTTTTAACAAGCTTACATTTTAACAAGAAGCTATTATCAAAGTAACTTCCTAGGTGATTTTTTTCTATCTGCACATGGAGAACAAATAATCACAAAGAATGCGTTTAGATGTGGGTACTGATGATAACATTTCAATACCATGAAAATTAGGACTTTTCTGAAACTGAGCTTCATGAAAACTCAATTTCACTACAGTTTCCATTTGCTTATGAAAAATCTCTGCTTCCACCACAGATTTTCTGCTAGTCTAATCCATCCCGATAGGGATGCTGGATGCTAGCTGAACTGCATGCAACTGAATTGTATGTTTTAACATTTGGTTTTCTAACGCTGTCTATTTGATATATGTTGTATTTTTTTTTTTTATTTCTGCAGTTGAAGAAAACTTATCAAACTAAATTTGGGCTAAGCAGTTTTGAGCAAATTAAAAGTTCTGTGTTTAGTTGAATGCATTGATTTTTTAATTAGGAAACTAATTAACATCCACTCATTGGAAGAATGAACAGGAGTTTCATATCGATTGTAGGGAAACAATCAGATTGTTTTGGGTTGACTGAATCAGAAATGTAGCTTTCTGCATGTTTTACCAGAAAGTTTAATATATGAAAGCCGTCGTTAATTAAGTGTATTAATGTGGCTTATGTAAGTTCCTTGCATATTTTATCTCTTGAAATTTCCCCCTATTATTTAAAACAGATACTTCATGCTGTAAAACAAATATTTGTTAACAGTTCATAAACTTGTGGACTTGTAAACTGGGTACATCGGTTACAGCTGACTGATAAAACCTTGGTATATATTGTCAGTGGGTCCAGTAAAAGTGATGAGTGTGAGTTAATACACCTAGTTTATGTCAAATTTATGAGGGGGAAAATTGGTCTTGGACCACTTGAGAGCTTTGGCTGTTTCAGTCCTCAATTGGTGTAATAGACTTGGAGTAATGAAGGTTTCCAGTGGTCAGGAGCTGTGCAAGAGAAGTAATCTTCATCATAAATTATAAGAAAACAAGGGCGGTGGAATTGTGTTCAGTGCCCACTGCCTGATCTCCAGGGTGCAACTGATCTTCCTGGCTGCTTTTGGACATAGTAAACCATTGGTGACAACCTTCACTGTTTGGATCTCATGTTTTCTAGGGGAACACAGAGGCTCTTCTGAAGTAATTCATATTCAAGAGGAGTCTTAAGTTTATGGGCTGTTGTTCTGGTAAATGCATTATTACCAAATAGCTGACCATGAGGTTTATTTCTAGATAGAGCAAACAGATTTTTTTTTCTTTGGTTGTGTGCCTTTTTCTATACTTGGGAAGAAGAGACATGCAAGAGTTAAAACTTAACAGTGATTACCACTGAAAAAGTTGCAGTTGCAAATGATAAATGGAACAGCAAGGTCTTTGATACCTTAATCCAGCAGAAACTTGGTCAGTATGTCAGTATTATGGATAAAGTTACAGCAGACATATATCCTACAAGACAGATGGAACTCATATTAACACATGGTGGAATGAGATTGAAAGTTTGTAACTTTTTTTTTTTTAACTTAATTCAGTCTGTGATCCACTGTAACTGCTGATGTATTTACATTTTTGAATCCTCCTAAGTATATTACCACACGTTTTTCTTTACCAAAATCTGCCTTGTGGATTTTTAGATCATGTCTTCAGTTTGTAAAAATAGTTTATGCTAATCACATTTCTGAGATTTCCTGCTTTTGTTCTTAGTTCAGTATTACCAGACTGTTTTTATGAGCATACTCATAATTTCTCCATCCAGATTAATGAAAGTGTTAACTAGAAGCAGAAGGGTTTAGAACAAAACACGTCCGTGTCAGATTCAGATGGCACCCAGCTGGAATTGCTCTCTGTGAACTATTGACTCAGTCTCTGAGAATAGATTGGTTTTGGCTTTTGTATGTGTAACATGGAGATAAACCGTGTCTGTATAGTTTTCTTTTGAGAATGTTTGGTGAGACGTATCAAGGCCTAAAACAAAGGCACATGGTGCTTCCCTTTTACCACTTCTCAAGTGACCCTGTCAAACAAGGTTTCTTAACAACTTGTCTCAAACTGATTCTTGGCTTTTTACTATCTGGTTGCATCTGAGAAGATTACACATGGCTCTGACTTGCTCTGTTCCATATTCATATATATAATTTTTGCTACAGCTTCAAGTTCACCTTGGAATATGACTGTAAAGATTTTCTGTTCAGCATATTCATCCTGATAGTCTGCAAACACAAGTAGCTGTGTTTTTGTGTCAGTAGATCTTACTTTTCCCCATTGTTTTATTTTGTGGGTGGCAGTAAAGGATTCAGAGGACTCCCTACACCAAAGGATAAATGTATTAAGCCCCTTTCCCTAGCCTTTCCTGAACTTGTGCTGCTACAAGCAAACATATGCTAATAAATGCACAGTTGTGTCTTCTTCCCATGTGGCTTACTGCATGCACAAGGAAAGTGGATTGGACTCTTAGTTATCTATTAAATAGACACCAGGTTTTGCTATGGCAGTGTGGTTTAGAAACAATCTGATTGCTATTAATATTAGAGTTTTGACAAATACATTGTTTTATTTTGTTTCGTCACCCCAAAGAGCTACTCATTTCTTTCTTTCTTTCTTAGGGCCTTTTTGTGTGGAAGCAGATCATGTGAGTTCTAGTAGGTCACAATGAATAAATAGCTCAGCTGAAATCGCTGTGCTCAGAGTATAACAAAGGCTTTGTTCAGCTGGGGACAATGGAGCCAACAAGGAACAGTAGGAGAGTGATGCTAAATGCTATCTCCGGGGATTTTATTAAATACTAATGTGCAGTGGCCTGCCAGGGAGACTTGACAGCTGCGCTACATTTCTGTGTCCTTTTTTCGTCTCCTCCCAAAAAACATAATAATCACCTTGTTGGCTGATGTCTTTGCTGTGATGTAAAGTGTATTTACAGAGAGAAATAATATGTTTGTATTCAAAGTCCAGTACACCTCTTAAGCTGTAAATGCACTGTGCTGGCTTCACTCTTTTGAAACCCGGAGGCTTTCCAACAGATCTCCATCATCACGAAGTGGATCATTTTACACTGTGAAACATTTAACCGACATCATCTCAAGTCGTCTTCCTATTTTTGAAGTAGCACATTTTCTACCAAAATGCATTTTTAGTGATAGTACTGAAGTATTCTTTAGTAAAGTAAGCCTCTCATTAGGTAGGCTTATTTCATCCGGGCCATTTTAGTTGTGAAGCAGTAATCAGACTGAAAGGAAGTGGCTTCTGGATATCATTTCACCTGCTCTCTCTCCCCCAACTGTTGATAACTATGGGCAAATTACAGATATTTAATTGTAATTTATGTGGTCTGGGTAAGTAAACTGAATGATGTTAAATATTGGAAAATGTTTGAGGACTGTGTGGAATTGTCCCAACCCATGAGAGAGCTTTGCTGTAGGCCTCAGACTCTGTGAATCACTGGGAACTGTACTGAAGAAATTAGTATGAAGATCAAGCAAGGCTTTCTTTGTTGCTGCCTTAACAATGGCTAGAAAATTGAAATAATTTCTTCCCTCTTTATGAATAGGTGATGGATAGAGGGAGAAGGGGGAGAAGGTAAAATGGAGGAAGGAAAATAATTCTTCTCTTCAGACAAGAAACAGGAGAAGAGAGACTTGGTGAGCAGAGTAGGGGAAGGAAGGATCACAGGAAGGAAAAAGCCCATGAGAAGGAAGTCACTTATTCTGAGAGGCAGTTCTGTAGTAGTGCTCTTTGGTATCTACTGAGTCAGTGAAACTGCAGCATTGTTTTGTGGTTCTGTGCTTCTTCAGCTGTGCAAAAAACACTTCTGGGTTATAGTTTCTTTCCACAAGTTTCTGCTGCATTCTGTGATAATTTAAAATAGGGTTTTGAGCAGTCTGTGGAATTCTACTTAACGATGGTAGAATTTGGTAGTTTTAAAGAATAGGGTCATTTTAGTAAGTACGTGCTCTAGGAGTTTGTCATGTTGTTTAATGTACTTTAAAGAAATGAAAGCATAAACGATTTTAGTGTATTCTCTTATGCAATAGGCCTGCGGCTGACACGTGGGCATTAGCATTCTGATCTCTTAAACGTATCAGAATGGAATGTAAAGGTATCTTCCTGCTATTTATAAGATAAGATTTCTGTCAGTACTTGTTACCCTAAGATAAGTCAGGAGATCCTTAGTGGAAGACAAGATTGTGTGTTAAAGCTAATTACTATCTAATGTAATCTAGCTGTAGGTGTCCTTAGTGAACAGAGTCTCTGGTTCCCTGACTTAGCAGTCACAATAGAAAGTGATCTCTATCAGTCTCACATTTCTGTATCTGGCGTATCATCTTTGAAAAATACAGAAATAGTAATCATGAGGTAGCTTAGTGCTTGGGCATCCTGGGAAGTCGAGGAAATGATGCAACATGGGTAAGCTGCGTAGTGTTAGTTTTCCCTTTCTCATTTGCCAGTTCTGTGTGCTCCTGTGTGAAGGAAGCTGCCTGGAGGGGGCGACAGAGCAGTTCTGTGGCTGTGGCACCTTGAACCTCATACACCTCGTGCATGGGGCTTGCTGAACAGTTCATATGAGTTATTTCTTGCATATTTGAAAAGTTCCATAGCTGGTTATCCACCGCCTTATCTAAACAGGCTGACCTTTGGTTCAATACTGAGTGTTGTTATAGCTGTAGTCATCCAAGGGTATGAGGCTAGTTATGGGGAGAAGTGAAATAGGGAGGTACCTGGGGAGAAACGCTTTGTTTTATGAAGCCGACTGACTAGAAAAAGCAGAAGAGCTCTTGCTGAAGCCATCATCTTGTAGTCTTCAAGACAAAGAGGGCTGCTGTGACGACAATCTTGACGTTCCTTCCTGCAAATTCTATCAGCAAAGGCGCTCTCCCTAAAAAATCTCTTCTTTTGATTTACTTTAACATTGGATATGTCAGTATGTCATAATACAGTGTTGTGCAAAACCTTTGGGTACCCATATTTATTAGAAATTTTAGGCCTTCTTTCCATGAATGAAATTTTTATACTGTCAGGATTTCAAACTTTTTTTTTTTTTTTCCCCTTTTTGCTTTTTATATTTTTTTTTTTTGACATGTAAAAATCCTTTGGAGAGTTTTTGATCTTTGTCAGTCTGATTGTGTTCTGGTTTGCTTCTGTTCAGCTTGTTGGGAATTCTTATTTTGAATTCTTTGGTAACATGATTAGGATGTAAGTACAATTTGCGATCATACCATAACGCTATAAGTTCATTTTCATATTTCTCTCATTTATTTCTTAAAAATTTCCATAACGTTTTTTTTTTTCTATTAATTGTCTTATTCTGAAGACTTCTACAAGTACTTCCTGAGCTGCATAGAGTAAAAGAGTTTTTATTTTTTGGTGCACCTGTCTGTTATTCTGAAACCTATTTAAAAGCAAGTCTTGTAGAATGTATTTATTCAGAAAGTAAAATAGGTAAACGTGCTTGCTTTTAAGCATATGCATTTAGGCAAGTCACTGTCATACTGACTTCATGGAATAGGTAAATACATGTATGTATAGCTAGAGTATGTATTTATATTTCTGATATTCCCACAGTTCTTTGTCATGCATTTAATAGTCTTTAAACTTGTGACTTAAAGAAACAAAACCACAAAAACCGTAGACAGTGATAACTGCTAAATTGCAGTGTAAATGTAAACTTTCAATAAATTGCCATAATATAGAATAAACCTTTATAAAAAGGGATGGAAAAAGGTAAATTCTCACTGTTTTTCCAGTGTTAGAAAAAAATCCTCCTATTTGGGATCGCATCTATGTTTTGCAACAAGATTGCATGCCCTGTCTGTGCATTTTTTTCTGTTTTTGTTACTGATTATTTTACAGTCCTATAGTTTCAATTATAGCCTTTATGAAAACATAGGGGTCACAGATGTCATAGGAAAATTGAACTATAGCTTTCATTGTAATAAGCAGCTCATAATAAATAGTTGAAATGTTTATGTTGATAAGAATATGTATTTCAAATGTCTTTCTCTGGCTATTTTCAATATAGCTTCTATTAAACGAATGAGAAAGAAGTAATCTGTATCTTATTGCTAATGAGGATAGTAAAACATTATTTTTTTTAACAGATAATGTACTTAGTCTAACTGAGCAAGATTGTTTCTTGGCACCTAAGTTTACAGCCCAGCCTTTTTGTGTCCTGACTTACAAAGATGGGAAAGGTTCTTTTTAAGTTTACAGCCTAATCTCAGTATTTTCAAGTGAGAAATTCTGAAACATAAGATCTCTCCTTTATTTATTTATTTTTAATAGGGTACCCTTGAAAGTAGAACAAGCAAACAATGCTCGTGATGCCTTGGCTAAAACGGTGTATAGTCATCTCTTTGACCATGTGGTGAACAGGGTAAACCAGTGTTTTCCATTTGAGACTTCTTCTTTCTTCATTGGAGTTCTAGATATAGCTGGTTTTGGTAAGTATTCTTAACAAATAAAATATTTTTTTTTCTAGTAATCTATTATTACCACTGTAATAATACACACGTATGGTTTCATTGTATGGGACCTAGCTTTGGTTTGCTGCCAGATATAGCTGTCTGTTATTTGTCATAGAAATATGATCTGCCATGGCATTTTTTTCTCTGTCTAACATGCAACTTGAAAATCTGTAACAGCTTTTATTTTATTGAAAGAAACACACATATATCAAAAAACATCTTTAAATATTAGCACAGTGAAACTTCTCTTACTTATCAGTAATGTAATTGCTGGAATGCTGGTTTATCACAGAAGTTTAACTTCTGTTTTTCAGAATACTTTGAACACAACAGTTTTGAACAATTCTGTATCAACTACTGTAATGAAAAACTGCAGCAATTTTTTAATGAAAGAATTCTGAAAGAGGTATGTTGTATGTGTAATTTTTTTTTTCAGTAAAAAGATACTAAAGATAACATTATTTTCCCTAAGATTGCTCATTATGCTCATATTAAAAAAATTAGTCAACCACAAGTGGTCTTGCTGTGTGACGTGATTGTGCTAGAAAAGAACATGATTTTCAAAAAGATACATCTTCCTTTCTTCTTCTTAAAAAAAAAATCAACGAAGAATTCTTACTCTAAATATCATTAATTAAAATGGGGTATCCAAATATCAGGCAATATATTGTACATAATGGGAGTATCTAAAAGCGCATTGGTATATCATTAAGGAGGTGAGGTTGGAATATATTAAGCTGCACAAGGGAATTCTAAAATGTGTGTTCGTTCTTGCCCAGTTTCGGTGGGTAAAAAATATGTGGTGAATCATAGTTTTTCTTTTACTATTATTCCTTATTTTTCCTTTTAAAGGAACAAGAACTTTACCAGAAAGAAGGCCTGGGGGTTAATGAAGTGCGCTATGTAGATAATCAGGACTGTATAGGTATGTACTTTTGAAATGTCAAGCTATTCATTAGCATCTTGGAGAAAAAAGCTTAATCTACTTTAAGCAGTTAGAGGCAAAATAATAAGCGGTGCTAGTAATTTCATGCTTTTAATTGAAACCTTGTGATTTCTTTCATTTTTTTTCTAAATTCCATTTCCAGTTGGTAATGGATCCATGTTGTCCTACAGTGTGTTATAAGTGCAGGTGGGACTTGTGAATTTCTTGGCATTTTCACAGAAAACTAATCAGAATGTCTAAATATAACAAGAGAAATAAAAAGAAGGGTGTGGGGGTGTCTGAGGGAAAAAGTTCCATTATTTGAAACACCCACCCACCGTTTTTGTTTGTGTCAGCCAATTGGCAAAGAAGCAAAATGAATTATAGGCAATAGGCTGTAGAGATTCCTGTTGCTGTTAGGTTTGCGCAGACTGATAGGCCAAGGGCTTACTTGTTTTACTGTTCAACTTGTGTTCTCCAAATCGGTGTATTATGAACAGAATTTGACCTTGCTGTTGCATTTACAGCAATTTATTTATGGTAACTAGTCAGTTAGTTCTGGCTGGATTGAGGATTCATAGTGGCAGAATTCAACATCTGTTGCAAAACGTCTGCTGCTCCGAGTTTCTGTAGCTCTGCTGAAGAAGTTTTCACTTTGTTGGATAGGACTGTGCAGTTGGTAACTGACTTAACTAAAGATGATAGCTCTAGTCAATCAGGGCTCTTAGCCATCTCGTGAAAAAGCAATAGAAAAGTATCTGAAAGAGGGAAGTAAAAACATAGCAACAGAAAATATGATTTCTGTGAATGCAAACCATACCTCTTTGGTGATTTACTGAAGCATGTGCATGAGCCTGTTCCCCAAAATGTTATCATATAGAGACCATCATGTTTCTGTAAAAAGGGTTGTTCCCCCTGCCATCCCATACCTAGTTGTTTTGAAACAAAATCTCAGAATCAAAAAGGGTTCCCTGATGCCTATTGAAAGAGAAGGTCTCTCTCTGACTCATAGTGGGAAAAGGGGTCAGGTTGTAAAGACTGTAGATGAGTTGTCTTTTACCAGCCATAGAAATGGCGTGAGCAGCTTACATAAGCATACAAGTAGTAGTCCCTAAGCCATGACCCCTTTTACTATTCCATGTGACACCCCACTGCAGATTTTACACGTTTCTTCATTGTATGAGGTATTCTTAGGTAAGTTAGTAAAATCATGGCCTGATTAAACCATTTAAGCCTTTTTTGTGTTTTTGAGTAGTCAGGAGAAAAGGATTTTCTACTGCTTTTAGAAGTGAGTGACAAAAATAATGTTGCTTTCTGTAGAAATATGATTTTGCTTTAAGGTGTTGGGCCAGGCCAGTGACAGCAGTTACCTGAAACAAGCAATTATCTATTAAATCAACAAATAAAATTTATAGAATTAGTTTACAGTGACTTTCTGTGTTAACAGCTTTCCCAAGATAGTTACACAAAACTAGATCAGTAGTACTTTACACTTTTAATGTTCAATTCTGGTATGTGATTATATATTTAATTTTTGTGTTTTGTTATTTTTAATAGATTTGATTGAAGCAAAATTAATAGGTGTGCTGGATATTTTGGATGAAGAAAATCGTCTTCCCCAGCCAAGCGACCAGCATTTTACTTCAGTTGTGCACCAAAAACACAAGGACCATTTCAGACTCTCTGTAGGTTTATTTGTGTTGGCTGTCTTTTTTTTTAATAAAACAGTTCTTGGAACTGTTGATAGTAACACTGAATTTAATGAAAACCTTTTCCAAGAAATCTCATACCACACCTGTTTGTATGATCTGTATGCTTTTGTTAAGGACAAGTTCAGTTATTAGGTTTGTTTTGAAAAGTTCACTAAAGGCTTGTTAAGTCTTCTAGCAATTCTAATATCCTGTTGAAAGTATAGCCATATTCTTCACTTCTCTTTGAAGACTATTAGTGTGTAGAGCAAGAAAAGGAAAAAAAAAAAAAAAGCAGACATTTTAATTTAGTTTATTTCATATCAGATTAGCTATTTTGTTAATTTCCAAAACTGCTTGCTTTGGAGAATATTTCACTTGCATGAAGTATCTAGCTAACACTTCAGCAGTGAAAGTACGTAACACACCAGGTGAATTTATTTGTCAATAATACTTTAACATACAGCACTCTGTGGAAGGTTAATGAAAACCATTGCAACTTTTATACATGACTTCTGTTGAAATACAAAACAAACAATCAAACAAAATCCCTGCTGAAAAAATGCAAGTAAAAGGAGCCAAATAAAATTGCCATCTGCTTACTTTTCTTAAAGTTTCCTCTTAAGCTTGTTTGATTAGGTTCCTGTGCAATGAAACATTCTTGTCAGTATGTATATGATCAACAAGGTCGTTGCCTTTTAAAAACGTTTTAAGCTTCTATCTAATCCTATTTATATGACAAGGCTATTTGTCAGCTTGTCATCAGCTGTGCAATAAATGGAATAGAAATTGTTGACAAAAAGCAAAAAGAAAGTCAGCTAGGTAGACTTAGCAATCCTGGACAATTTTATTTTGAAGGGTGTGAATGAGAATGAAAATAGTTTTTTCAAATATCCTGGTTTGAATTGAAATAGTAGTGGTCTTCACAACTGTATTGCAGGCAATGTCACTTTCAACATCCTGGCAAAATCATGGTGATGTCCTAGGAATACATTTTTCTCACCCTCCAATGTAATTCTTCTTTGTAATTCAAATTTTTATTTCCAGATCCCTAGAAAGTCTAAACTGGCTGTTCACAGAAATATCAGAGATGATGAAGGCTTTATTATCCGGCATTTTGCGGGAGCAGTATGCTACGAGACGGTAATGTTACTTAAGTGAAAAAAGTCAGCTGTTTCTGTTACACTTTATAATATACTTTTCAGTGTATGTTCTCTTTCAATTAACAAAATTTGTTAATTGGAAGAGAAATGGCAAAGTTGTTATGTTTTAACTTTGAAATTAGTTTTGTGAATGTGTGACAGAATTGATGTTTTAATTTCTTTTAACTTATCAGATGACAAGACTTCTGTTGACATGTTTTGTGTGTCAAATCTGTAGGTAACAGTGTCAACATTAAAGATATTGAGCCACATTCTGCTACAAATCGTATGTCAACAGAGGTCTGCATCTCCAACAGGAGAATGTACCACATAACACGGAAGTGTTACTAGGCTTAAGCACAACTTTTCAGAAAGCATGCTTGTTCTTCTATGCAATATCAGTTTATTATGTTAAAACTCACATTTTATACTTTTTCTTTTCCATTTCTACTGTTGGTAGAAATGTAAGAATATGAATATCTGAAATTCATATCTGAAATTGTTACCCTCAAATACATGCTGAATGCATGTACTTTTTTATGACTGTTAATCATACAAAAATATTGAAACAGTCTTCCTAGGGCAACATCTAAAACACAATTTTTGAAAAAAAATATTAAATAAAAAAAAGTGAGGGTAAAGGATAAATGAAAGATCCATAACACTTTATTGTTCTCATCTGATACTCCAGTGTGTAAAAGGGAAGCTAATTCCAAAGACGTGTTTTGTCATTTGAAAATGCAGACTCCCAGGGTGTGTGCTTACTTCAAAGTACCCCAAGAATAACAATGATTGCTATAGTGTTTTGAGATAGATGCATTCAGTAGATAATTTAAAAAAAAAAAAAAAAAAAAAAAAAAAGAAAGCTGAAGTCTGTGTATTACAAAAAACAAGGTCACACAGATTCAATATCAAAATAACACATAACATTGGAATGCATTTATGTTCACATGGTCTATGTTTGCTGTTTTTTACCTCCTCATCCTGTGTTAATACCTAATGGTTTCTTCAGGAACAGAGCCAGATACTTGCACATAAGCTATGCTCTCTGAGCTAACCAGGTATGAGACAGCTTTGGTCCAGAAGCCATGCTAACATGCTTGACTTCATTTATTCCCTTCTTCAGAGGGTCTGACTTAGTTTGGGCCTTAGCTGGACTACAGCTGCCTTGTATGTTGTTCATAGTTTCTTTCTCACTGGTCTTGTGGCAGCTTTCACAAGCTAATTTCTGGTGAGGGCATTCAACTGTCTACATTTATGTTCCTGTTATGTTCTCATAGTCCAAGGGAATTTGGGAGGCCTGTGTTTGTCCTTTGACCCATCACCTTTAAATCCTTTTATGGGATATGTTGGCAAATTCATATTTTCTCAATCAAATTAAATTTGCCTTCTTCTGTTCATAAATGTCAAAGCAACTATTGAATGTGCATCACAAATTCTTGATAGAGAATTTTGTTAGTGTGAAATTGGATACAAGTGTCTTGATCTTTGAGTTTCAGTTTAATACACAGCTCTTAACGTTTAAAAGTGAGTCAACTTAAATCAAACAGAGGCATAGGGCTTGTAGGAAGGGACGATACCTGTGGTTAAATCAACTGTGCTTCCATGGTTGCAGTACTACTAAGATAACTGTTCTTAATTTCATTTTCCCGACTTTAGTTCCACCAGTTAAAGTGTGCATGCTAGTTCCTATTTCACAACAGAGCTCTTCGCTGCTTGTCATATTATTTAAGTGTCTCAGAACTAGCAAATTGATGCCCCATCCTGGAGGTGTTCAAGGCCAGGCTGGATGGGGCATTGGCCAACCTGATCTTGTGGGTGGCACCCCTGCCTATGGAAGGGGTGTTGGAATTAGATGATCTTTAAGGTCCCTTCCAACCCAAGCCATTCTATGATATGCTGAGTACTGGAAGTGGAAACGAGTGTAATCACTGACAAAAGCACAACTGGTCTCATAACAGGCGCTAAACCTTACCTTGGGTTTCATAATTCCTACAATATCCTTCAAATTTAACAATATCTTTCCTGTCTGTCATTAATGTTTTGTATGTCCAGATGAAAAGTTTGAAGTAACATGAAAATATTTATCCTACATACTGTTTCTGATCTTTGAATAAAGTGTGGAATTCAGCTTTTCATTAATTTTAACTTAATTTTTACTTAAGTAATTGGATCAGTGAAACAAGTGTGCTATTATTTATTGGCTTTTATTTTCAGACACAATTTGTGGAAAAAAATAATGATGCTTTGCACATGTCCCTTGAATCTCTAATATGTGAATCCAAGGACAAGTTTGTTCGACAGCTGTTTGAATCTAACACTAACAACAACAAGGATCCCAAACAAAAAGCTGGAAAACTTAGTTTCATCAGTGTGGGAAACAAATTCAAGGTAACATAACCTAATAGTCTATTTTCTTGTAATATGCGCCATTTCTAAGTTATATGAAATAAGTAGAACTTAAGGATGGGAGAACTAGTGGTTACTTGACATTCATGCAGCAAAAATGTTGTTAAATAGATGTTTTTTTTTCTATTAGATTGTAAGAAACCAGTATATTCAACTTGTGCTATACATTTCTGTCAAAATATGTTTGATAATTGTTCTTACTGAGATTGTGCAGGAATTCATAAGTCAGGATTTTGCAAGGCCACGTGGAAGTCTTTTATTTAAAAGGTTTAATCTCTTGATCTAAATTTGAATTTTGTAGACTTTCAGGAGTTCTAAATGTGACAAAATGTGTTCTTCCATCCTATCTTAATTCTTTGCTGTGTAAGATATATCAATTAGTTGCAGTTTACCATTCTCAAAATTCAACATTTAACCTAACCACTGTTTTTCCTCTTAAAAGTATCAATAGTCATGGCTTTCACAGAAATATGTTCATTGTGCTGAATGTTTCCTTTCTTAATACCTGAATCTGATGCTTCTCCTCATTTTCTCCTTTCTTCTGCTTGTTGTAAAGCTGACCTTCAAACCTTGTCTTCTCCAAATATTTTCTGCATCCTTTTCTCATTCAGCAGTTTTATTTTAGCTGGACTATTCCAGCTCAGGATGGCTAGAAAAAAGAACTATAGGGGAATTAAGAGAGGAAAAGCAGGCACAACCATGGGCTGCAGGTAACTTTTTCAATCTCATGGATTTACTGTTGATAGAGCTGCTGCAATTTCAGTAAGAGCTCTTCTCAACACATCTGGGCCAGATCCAATGAAGGATTTACATGCCTTCAAATTAAGTGCTGTGACATATTTGGTATGTTACCTTGCTTAAGGCACCTAAAACCCCAATTCACATGTCTAGACCCCTTATGCAGTCCCTGGTGAAAGCAAGTACCTTAGAGAATTCCACAATCTCCAAGTAGAGTGGGCTCTAGCCAATAGCAAAAGAGTTTCTGCATTTCTACTCTGTGTTAAGGTTATGTGCTAAATTAGGACTGCAAGATAAATTCCTTCTTGCGTAAGTGTATCCTGTGGCTTAGTGATCTGTAAAAATGCAAAGGCTGGAAGAAAGGGAGGGATATAGTACCAGCACTTGCTTTTTGTATAGCAACTGTATTCTGGTTCTGGTCTATACTATATTCAGTGTTTTAACTCTAAGCGTATGACCCTTGGCACCAAGTTACTGCTCAATCTGGCAGAGGGAATTCCTCATACCCTTTTGGAGATGTGCTGTTATGTAGCAAAAAATAAATTTTGTTTGGGCAGGAAGCATAAGAGAGAGAGTCTGACTTGTAAAGTAGTGTTTCTGGAATTTAGCTGGGAATTGGCCATTCTGCTGTCTTGAGTTTTGCTATGATACTTATTTCCTCCTCTTTCTTATTATATAGCAGTTGTAGAATTAAGCTGTAGCGATTGGTTTAATATAAACTACATGAACAGAAGACAGAATGAAAAATGGAATTACATGCAGATATGTGACCTCTAGGGCAAGCCCTGCAACCACGAAGCTGTTGTAGGTGAAGCTGAGATCCATTGTTTTTTATAATTGCATTTTCAAAATGAAAGCAACTGGGATCTTTTGAGATAATTTCCACATTCTTCCATCTGGGTGTATAGTTCCTCTTGGATTTAGCATTCCATGTGCAGTAAATGTGGAAATGTGAAAGATACAGTTGTCCAAGAAGGGTTAAGTAAAAAAGGAGGCATAAGTTAAGCAGCAATTGAATGGGAACATTTTGGATTTTATTTTGGACCTTTGTGTTCACCTCTGCACCTAGAACATGACTAGAAGTCCTTTTTGGATCTGGCCCATCAATCTATAGTTCTTTCAGTGTTTTCAACTTTCATGGCATTTTGAATGTATGTGTTAATTTCAGTAATTCATTTAGTGTTACCTTCCCAGACACAACATGTACTATTGATGAGCACTAATACCCTTGAAAATTTCAATTTAGATGCCGTCAAAATACTTTGTTATTTGAGTAGAAATTTCATCTCTTTAAGAATAAGAATTCTCAACCTATCAATATGTCAGTCGGTCTTAAATTCTTCTAATTACATCAATTATTAGATGATGCAAGGAGTTGTTTTTACAAAGCTCTTCACACGTCCCATCCTTACAACTAATTAAAATTGATTCATATAAATCAGTTGAGGAAATGAAGATGAATTAGTAGAGGAAATGAAGATGAAGACTCTACACAAAAGTCTTTGGGATAGTTTTACCTTAATGTAGTAATGATGGATTAAATTGTGATAATTCCAAGAGCAATAGTTTCAGCAATATGCCTTATTCATATGATCATTAGTGAAATTTACCTGAGAGAGTCTCTTATTTCTTGTCAAGTTATGACTGTAAAGAAGGGGCATTTTTCCTCTAGCAGAACCATATTTTGTTGATGGAAATTAGGTTTTCCTCTCCAAGATAAAGCATTTCCTACTTAAGAAAAGATAAAAGTTATATTCAAAGTAGATGCAAACTGTATGTGAGATCCAAGCAGGAGGTTATCAATGTTTGTCATACTTCTTGTGGAACTCTTTGTCTTTCTAACTATATCCATGAAACATAAAAAATACAATTGCATCTACTGGTAGGAAGACTGACAGTGTAGGTGATTCATATTGCTGATACAAATCTGTTTGCCTGTACTTAAGGTAGTTGAAAGATCTGGTTTAAAAAAAAATCAATCAAAAGTAAGATCCTTTCCATCTTGGGCCAGTACAGAAAATGTGGAGTATGATAGGACATTCAGAATTTTGTCTTACTTGAGTCTATATACCTAACGGTTGCTAGTAAACTAGAAAGGCTAGCACAACAATCATCTGTGTGGTAGAACAGACAGATCCATAAAGTGAAAGTATAATTCTGTTTTTCTGATATGGTCCTGGAATATTGAAGTTCCTACCAATTTATATCTCTAACAATGGCAGCTGTTTCCTAATATCCTACATATCTGGTAGTTCTCTAGTCTTCTCCCCAAATAAGTGCAGATTTGTGATATTATTACAGTATGTTTAAATATACCCATAGTAAATGTAGTTTAAAACCACAGTCTATTGTCATCAATGCAGAATTAAAAATTTGGAAGTTTAGAATTAAAAATACATTATGAAGATTCATTTACTGAAATGACGTGACTTAGACTCTCAAGCCAATACAGCTTCCCCCCCCCCCAAGAAAAGCTGAGTATATCTCATATACTTCTGGTGTTATTTAACATACAAATAGGCTCGTTAAAGATTAAATCTGGACTTTCACAAATTTTCAGTGTATTTTTTGGATTATTGCTGCTCAGTCTCATTTCCTTTATAACTTTATTGCATCTTTCGTTTATTTTCCCAAACGTGCATGCACTTTTTTGATAACTATGTTGTTGTAAGTAACTGGTCACACATGGTGTTGTTGTACAGTTGAACATAAGTAATTTCTTCAGGACCATTCATGCACTCTTACATGATTTTGTCTGTTAAAATATGTGGATGTTTGATTTATCAATTCTGTTTGATTCACTAACAATAAAACGTGCATGCAGTAATGCTGTATCACTATTTTGTGTGTATACTTGTGGTTGTTAAGACTACTGAAATGCCTTTTCTTTTACAGACTCAGTTAAATTTGCTTCTTGAGAAGCTTCACAGTACTGTAAGTATATACAGAGATGCAGGCTTACCAGTTTTCTGAAATAAATCATAATTCGTTTTCTCGTGTTTAGTGATAAATAATTGCTACAGAGTTTGCAGTTATATGGTACCTTTGAAATGTCCTGCTCTGCAGGTGATGAATATTAATTTGCTTTTCAAAACAAAAAAAAAGCAAAACTTGGAAAAAAATGTTGTAGAATGGAAGTTACACAATTTAGTTTAAAAAAAAACAAACAAACAAAAACTAAAACTGTCCAAGCTGCAGTCTCCATTCTTGTCAGTTTCATTTCCGTCTATTCACTGGTAATCACTGGTGACTAATTTTCAAAAGATTCAGAGATGTTACTTAGAAGTAAGAAAATAAATTATTAATTTCTGTTTTCAGATTCCATAAGCTAGTTAGAACTAGAATGTCTTATTTCACTTTTGCGGTAGGCTGCAGATACACAGATGCTCAAAGAACCTGCTTCCCCTAACAAGAATTTGCTGTTTTAGCTGATGTAATTCAATAGCTTGCAGAATTCTCCATGTAATTTGACATACTGATTTTTTTAGAAGATGCATTTGTAGGAACACATTCTTGTTTCTCTTGACAGCATGTTCTAACCGATTCTGAATAGGAGATTATGCTCTGTCAAAATAAGGGGGAAAACAAGGCAAATGATTGGGACAGGTGCTGGAGCATAGTTAAAGTTTTACAGAAATCATGAGGATAGTCTGAAAGAAAGATAACCTCCATCATTCACAGCACAGTGGAATCAAGAGTCAGTCCAGGGAAAAAAGTGTGGCTGGAGGTGCTCTGCTCTGACTTCAGCTAACACATGGTTGAGAATATGTTGTTACTAGACAGATTCCTTGATGGGCTGTCTTTCACTCTTGTCTGTAAAAAACATTGCAAACAAGTAGTAGAAATACGTTTTATTAGTCTCAGTTTCATTTTAGTTTATAAGGTAGGAGGTTATCACTGGCTACCTGTTAACAGAAAAATTTGAATGATCAACGTTGCCTCACAAAAAAAAAAAAAAATCATCCTTAAATAGAGGATGACTATGAAGTGACTAGAGAAAGCAGCAGTCAAAACTGTAGAGGTAATATATTTGGGGATGAGAGCAGGCTGGAACCATGTGAGGGAAGGGAGAGTGAAGACATAAGCCAAAAGAAATTGTAAGAAGTGAAAGCTAGAAAAAAGGATGGTCAAGTTAAGTTCATCTAGCATGATTCCGGTGTCAGGAGACTGGTAGCATGTGAACTCTGGAGAAATGAGGCATTTAGGTGATATTACTGCAGAGATGATGAGTGTAGTATAATCTAGACTGCTAAACCTTAGTTAGGTTGTAAGCAAAACAGTTCACTGAAAACCCAAAAGTTCAGGTTCCAATTAAATAAATGGCTTGAGCATTGAGATCAGTTACCTCAATACCAAGGCTGGACTGAAAAAAAAAGGGTATATGAGAGCGAAAGAATGTCTTTTTCTTTTTAAAAAGGTATTTTTCTTCCCTTTCCCCTGCCCCCAGTAATTCTTAAATGACTAACATGTTTCAGGAGGTTTCAAAATGTACAGATTCTGCTAACTCATTGTTTTGGTAACAGGGATCTAGCTTTATTCGCTGCATCAAACCTAACTTAAAGATGACAAGTCACCATTTTGAAGGGGGGCAGATCCTCTCTCAGCTTCAATGTTCAGGTAGTGTATGCCTCTGATACTTTTCCCTGTTATGTGTTTTTTTTTTTTTATTTTTATTTATTTACTAGGCCATTGTATCTTGATCTAAGTTTGAAATATATGAGATGGAATTGATATTTCCTTCCTTGAACCCTTGCTTTCTAGGAGGTAGCTTATTTATGCCTTATGAACAGTTACTTAGGTGCTTTGTAACTTCTCATTTTAGTCAATAGAACACAGAAGTGATTAATTTGAACAGCGATAAGGTCTCATCTGTATAAGAAGATTCATTCTACTTTCCATCACCTGTTTATTCCCTTGCTTTTAATGAGAGTTTAGACACCTGGTGCATGTGTAAGGAGTCATGTACTGGCACTTAAACTGCATCAAAAGAAGCAGAAGTGATTCTCCCCTTCTATTCTGCTCTTGTGAGACACCACTGCAATACTGCGTTCAGCTCTGGGGCGCCCAACACAAAAAGGGCGTGAATGTATTAGAATGAATCCAGAGGAGGGCCACGAGGATGATAAGGGGCTGGAGCACCCCTCTCTCCTATGAAGACAGGCTGAAGGAGTTGGGGTTTGTTCATCCTGGAGGGGAGAAGGCTCTAGGGAGACCTTATAGCAGCCTTCTAGTATCTGAAGAGGGCCTACAGGAAAGCTGGGGAGGGACTCTTTGTCAAGGAGTGGATGGGATAGGAGGACAAGGGGGAATAGGTTTAAACCAAACAAGGATAGGTTTAGATCGGATATTAGGAAGAAATTGTTTACTGCAAATGTGATGAAGCCCTGGCACAGGTTGCCCAGAGAAGCTGTGGATGCCCTGTCCCTGGAGGAGTTCAAGGCCAGGCTGGATGGGGCTTTGAGGAACCTAGCCTGGTGGGAGGTGTCCCTGCCCATAGCAGGGGGGTTGGATCTAGATGGTCTTTAAGGTCCCTTCCAATCCAAACCATTCTGTGATTCTGTGAAACTTAGATTTCCTGATCTGGAGCTGAATCCTATCTTGTTGTGTTGCCCAGAATGTTAATAGGGCAAAAGCTCAGTCCAGAGCAACAGAAATTCCTTTACATTGTTGTGGGAATTTGTGTGAGAAACCCCTTTGTGCATTTAAAGCAGTATTTATTATCTGAGATATATAATCATTGATGCCTGTTTGCTTTGATTCTTATATATAGTATGCTAGAGTTGAATAGTCTGTTTTACTTTTTCAGCATCTCTTTATACTATTGTTAATTTATTTGGGAGCTGAGTTTCCAACTCCAGTGCTTTTTCCTGTTACTTTACATATTACAAATTGTGACGCCATGTTTTCGTTATTCTTGAAATAGGCGCTTTCAGATTTTACATCTTTATTTTAAAGGACAAATACTAGCAGGTTTGCTCATTCCCCACTGAACAGAGCAATGAAAGGCTTCCATGGGAATTACAGCATTGTTATTGTTGTTCTTCATAGGGTGTTTATTCACAAAACGACTTCAATATTTATTTTTACTCTTTTCTGTATATTTGTATATTTAGTAGCTTGTGCTTTTTGCTTTTTTTTTTTTTTTTTTCTCTTTTTGAAGTTGAGATATTTCTAGGTTCTGGAACTGATGTTTTAGCAAGCCTACCTGTGTTTCATGTTATGTCACCATTGCAAAACCTTAATAAGGTTTTCTCACAAATTAGAATTCCATTAAGAACATTTAGCCGTGGATTTCTTCAGGTTAATAGCATGTCAGAGAGACAAAAAAAAAAAAAAAAAAAGAACCTTTTTTGCTACCATAACAATTGCAATGTCTTACAAGCTCACTTTCCATGTGTGCTTACTTAAACTGCAGTAAATGAAGCTTAATTTAGTAAAAAATAAAAGAAGTCATAATAAGTAAAGTTTAGAAGTAGCAGTGAGATGCAATGCTATAAAAGACGTTCTATAAAGACAGAGACCACGAGTCACAGGTAAACTTCTAAGTAAGTCTTTAAGCTTATATGGAAAATATGGTGTTGTAGAATTATGTAAAGCAATGGGCAAAATCTGGCAGAGTCTTGAAGTAATGTTTGAAGTAATTTGAACCTTTTCCTGACTTTGTGTCTGTGCTTCACAGATGCCCTAGTTACAGATAAAATATAGTAACAGCATTACATCTTATCAGCTGATACCTAGTGCTGCAGGAACACAAAATGTTCTAGCGCTGCATTTGCATTTTACCCTGCATCTGTACCACAACTCACAAATATCTTTTGCATGCTAAAAATAAAAGCCTGGCTGGGCGTTGTTTGTTTCTTTCTTTAAAAATGAAGTACAAAATGTCAACTCTTCTAAAAAGAAAGAATGACAAGGAGAAAAAAAAAATGCTCTGCATGACTAGATGTTAGTTTTGTCTCAAATAGGGAGAAGATACAAGTTCTTCTCATCTGTTTCGTATTAACTTTTTGGGAATGATCACATGATCAAGAAGTTTTAGAGGCTAAATCAAGCCCCAGCTGAAATTTGTGGTTTGGCCTCTGAACAATGTCTGTGAGGCCTATGCCATAAGTTATCATAAAAATCACTGCTTTATTTGCATTTTGCTGATTCTACCTTTTGTGCATGTGTTTCTGTGAATTTAGGAATGGTGTCTGTTCTGGACTTGATGCAAGGTGGTTTCCCTTCGCGAGCTTCATTTCATGAACTGTATAACATGTACAAGAAATACTTGCCTGAAAAATTGGCACGACTGGATCCTAGACTCTTCTGCAAGGTAAGAGAGAAATCTGAAAATGTATTATTGTTGTTTTATTTTGAAGGGGGAAAAATATCAACCTAACTGTTTTCTGTGTTTCAGGCACTGTTTAAAGCTTTGGGACTGAATGAAGTTGATTACAAATTTGGATTAACCAAGGTGTTTTTCAGACCCGGCAAGGTAATGTTTCTTGAACTACATGAATATGAATCATAGAATAAGTTGGGTTGAAAGGTCCCTTTGAAAGAGCTTTGTTCAACACCCTGTTGAAAATGTGACCAACTTCAATAAGGTTGCCCAGGGTTTTTCATAAGCACTGTTCATAATCTGTGGGGAAAAAACAAATCAACGCTGACATTGATAAAATTGATTTCATAGTATTGTTGCTAATGCTGCTGTATTCCTGAAGCAATAATCGTGTTCCACAAATTGCCCAGATGTTGCACCAGTCACTTAAGACTATTTTGTTGAATATTAAGAAGAGCAAGTCAGAGCAAATAAATAAATATTTTCTACTAAACTCTAGTTGAAGCTGAAATCTCTTTCTATGATTCTGAGCATTGCTGCTGCTATGCAGAGAAAGAAGTAGGGAGCTGTTGTGACTAGGAAGGAAAATTATTCTAGTCATTGAAAACATATAATTATTAAAAAATAGAAGTGCAGGATTTTCAGAAAGGATTTCTTTTAATTGGATTTCTTACAGGAAGATTAAAATTTAAGAAGAGTTTTCAGGTTTTTTTTTCCCCTAGATACAGAATTAGAGGTGTCATGAAATTGTAGAAGATCAGAGTGAGTATTCAGGATGTGGAGAAACAAATAATTCTTAAAAATTTTGGCAATACATTTTCAGTGTTTAATAAATGGTTGGATTATGCAAAATGCTAAGTGTTGCACATCAATTTAAAAATAAAACAGTGGTCATTCTTGTTGTCATCAAATATCCCAGATGTACATGCTCACTGGAATTAATTGAAAGCCAGTATAATGGTGACATAGTTTACATTAATAATATTTAACTTTTTGTTTTTTACCTCAGCGTGCTCTTAAATAGGAATATAGTCTAACACTCTGTTCTCCTCATTTGTAAATCTGGTTTTGCATTTAGTTTGCAGAGTTTGACCAGATAATGAAGTCTGATCCGGATCACTTAGCAGAGCTAGTTAAACGAGTGAATCACTGGCTTATCTGCAGTCGTTGGAAAAAAGTTCAATGGTGTTCACTCTCAGTGATCAAATGTATGTATTTTATGCTTTATTAAATATTTGTTAAAAAATATAGCAAACCAATTATTAGCACCTTGAAATGTGGCCAAGGACACGTATAGCAGATGCTTCCATACTGAACTCCAAGTAATTACTTTCTGGGTTGGTGAAATTTCTTAGGCTTTTGTTAGGGATTTATATGAGGGCTTAAAGCTAAGGTTTGTAAAAGTGGTGGTAGACTGTGTCTCCCTGCCTTCTGTATGTTTGGGTGCTTACCAATGCCTGGATAAACACCTGCTCAGAAATAGCTAGCAAGCACAAGGATTGTGGGGGAAGAGACAGCAGGAAAAGACAGTAGTTCAACTCTCAGCTGACACCATGGAGTTATTTAAACCTGAGAAGTGCCTGCACAGAGGTTCTCTCCAGGTGAAATCTGCATATTTGGAAGCACTGACATGAGAAACAGGGCAGACATCTCCACTCCAGTTATTACTGCTGATAAGCAGATAGGTGCCTGTCACTATCAAAATATTATTTCTAATTGCAAACACTGCCCAGCTTGATGTAGAAACAAAGCAGTGTAGAATAGAGATTCGTGGTGATAGGGGTTTTGATTTTTTTTTTTCTTTTTGGTGTGTGTGTGCTGGGTGCTGAATTCTGCCTATTTGTTTTGTGGGGTAGCCTTTAAGCCTAGCACAGGGTTGTGAATATTCTGTCTTTTATATCTTACGTGTTTGTTTTTCAGTGCGGACCTAGCTCTCAATGCATGCTATTTATATACAGTAGCCATCAGGTGTGTGAGAAATATAAAAGTTATGTTAAATTGTTTAAACCATTGAGACTCAGTATCTTTTGTGTGTTTACAGTGAAAAATAAGATAAAATATAGAGCCAGTGCCTGCATCAAAATACAAAAGACTATTCGTATGTGGCTTTGCAAGAGAAAACACAAACCACGGTAAGAGGATATTTCTTTCTTGAAGAAAATGGATATTTCTATAATACTTTCTTGTGAATGTAAAGAGATGTACAATGCTGAATTAAATGTATCTGCAGTCACTGAAGTGTGCTAAATATGATTGAAAGGTATGATTTGAGAGGTACCATATTTTACCTCTCTTTCCTAAGGATGAATAGCCTGACAAACACTATGGCCTAAATTACATATAAGAAAGACCTTTTTTTTTCTTCTTCTTAATGATGAGGATGGTGAGGCCCTGGTACAGGCTGCCCAGAGAACCTGTGGATGCCCCATCCCTGGAGGTGTTCAAGGCCAGGCTGGATGGGGCTTTGAGCAACCTGGTCTTGGTGGGCAGGTGGGGAGGGGATGTAGAATTGGGTGGGCTTTGGAGGTCCCTTCCAACTCAAACTGTTCTGTGATTCTATAAATCTGAGCATTTCCAAAGAGGTTTGTTAATCTCTGTTCATAAAATCCTTCAGTGATAGCTTAGGTATTAGGCATTCTTAGTTATGTCTCTAACTGCAATTTAAGCTCAATAATTTTTGTCCTTTACTCATTCACACCTTCCATTATAGGCCCCCTTTCTTCTGTAGCTTAATAATTATTTGTTCTGTCTGTCTTGCCTCTTCTAGAAATCAAGTAATGTCACTAGGTTTACTCTGATTGCATGGAATATTGATGGAAAAGCCACACACACACACACATATATAAGAATATACATATATTTATTTTACATCCTTTTGATAGTTATGTTTCATTGTGGTCCTTGACGTTTTTGATTTCAGTGATTTCTTTTTAGGAAGACTGTCTGCAGCATTGTAATTTGTGTGCATGGCCTTCAGTATTGGTTCTTTAAGAAGCTGCAGGTTTTCCTGGACTCCTTTTGTTTTCTCCCAGATTTTTTTTCCTGTGGGGTCTAATGATCGGATTCCATATTGTATAGTTAAGTTTTACCTGATTCAGACCTGTGATTGATCTTTCAATGTCACATCTCGAATTTATCACTCCAGTCAAAATCTTCAGGTGGTGGTGATTCTAATGATTTGTTACTGAGACAAAAGCATTGATTATCAAAATAAAAATCCATTTATCCATTTTAAGTCACCATATGCTCAGAGACCTGGTCACTGATGATTGGTATTAACAGTGGTTGTTAGTAAAAGGCTGTTCAATTAGTTCATGTTGATAATTTTTGAATTTCAAAAAGATGGTGAGATTTATCTGAGGGCATAGTTTGTCTCCCCTGTCTACCTCTGTAATGTGAATGGTAGCTATAGTTTTAGATATGTCACCTTCTAAAAATAGCTCAAATAACATGTCTTAAATTCACAGCATTGATGGTCTGATAAAGGTGCGTACACTGAAAAAGAGACTTGATAAGTTCAATGAAGTAGTAAGTGCTCTGAAGGAGGGAAAAGCAGAAACAAGCAAGCAGATCAAGGAGCTGGAATATTCTATTGATGCTTCGATGAACAAAATTAAGGTATGAGAGAAACAGTTTCTTTCTACTGGAATCTTTTAAAGCCTTAATCTAAAGTAGAAGGTCAAAGTATTTTCTTTTTTATAGGAAAACATTTAAATATAGAAGTCTCATTTTTCAGAGACACCACTTACATCCTGTTCAAAATTATTTGTGAATGTAGCTGAAGTAAATCTGGATTTTGGAATTATTATCTGTGTTTCAAAATCGGCACTAGAGAGTATAAAGCAAAAATGTGTCTTGATCTTGTGAGATGGGTGTTGCTAGTCAGTTGCTTGTTGCTTTTATTATTAATCAGGGCTGAAACTTACAAGCATTTATCACAGAATGAGGAGATTGATATTCCAGTTATGAAGGGTTTTTTTAAGACCTGGTCATGAAGGAAATCAGTTGTTGAACTTGTATCAAGGCTTATAGTTCTTAGTCTCTTACAAGAAAAGCACACAGACAAAATGAAAATTCACCGGAATTTATCAGTGTTAGGAAAAAAATGTTGAGTTCTGTGTTTCATACCATGTTAATAGCCTTCTAAATGTCCTGTATTAAGATTTTGTTGTTTAAAATCACTGTTGGAGAAGTAACAGAGTTAGCCTGTCAACCTATACTTCTTTTTTTTCCTAATAAAAATTATACAACTTGATTCTCATCACGATACATCCTTATAAAAGGTTAGGAGAGACCCCATGTCACAGTTTTAGTGGTATACCTCATTGTAAATTGTAAAATTCAAATAAATTAAATCATCGCTATCAACGAAATTTGAAAACACATAGTGAAGGCAATTGCATTATTTTTTCTTTTAACACATTATTTGCTACTGATGCCTTTTTTAATCTGTTACTTACAATGTGCTCCATATTAAGACGTATAAGATTGTGTGGTGGCATAAAAGGCACAGCTGTAAATAACCACTATAAGAGCTAAGAACATGACACAAAATGCACCTACTTGGCTCTCAGTTTTCGTCTTAGGATGGTAAGCATTAATTTCTGTTGCATAACTGTGGAGCTTCAGAATTGAAGGCATGTTTTAAAGGAAAATCATGTCTAGTTTCAGTGATAAAATGGAGACTACTTCCTACAGTTATATAAGAGAGAGGAGAATAAAGGATCCAGAGTTCAAGCTCCCCAGTTCTGGAGTGTAATTTAATATAAGTAGAATTTAATTACAGCACTCAGTGCTTTCAGTTCTCAAATAGATTTTTCAAATATACATTTTTAAAAAGTGAATTACAAGTGTAAAGGAATATTAACCCCTCTTGTTATATCATTTTGCAGACCACAATGATGACTAGAGAACAGATCATGAAAGAATATGATGCTCTAGTTAGAAGCTCAGAGCAGCTTCTGAGTGCGCTGCAAAAGAAGAAACAGCAAGAGGAGGAAGCAGAGAGGCTACGACGCATCCAAGAGGAAATGGAAAAAGAACGAAAAAGACGTGAAGAGGAAGAGCAGCGCCGAAGGAAGGAAGAAGAAGAAAGGCGTCTGTGAGTGTCAGACAAGTTGCTGGTTTTAGAATGAGAAGAAAATAGGGAAGGCACTTTAATGAGGTTACTTTTAATAAGTGCTTAAAGAGAGTCACTTGGATTGTACTTGCAGTGTGCTATCCACTGTTAAAATACTTCTTTTTCCCTGATGACAATTTCTAATTTAGATGTAATCAGAACAGGTGATGAAAGATATTTTATGATTCAGCTGGCAATAAAGATGGATTTAGAAAGGCCCTTGACTTTACATACAGGACCTTGTCATGAGGACTATACAGACTCTTGGATTACCACTTAATTTTATGGAGCCCGATTTCATATCTCTTGTTCGCTTGCTTTGCAATAACTTTGCAATAACTAAAAATTTTAATTTCCTCTTCCTCTTTTGTAATAGGAAATCTGAGATTGAGGCAAAGAGAAAACAGGAAGAGGAAGAAAGGAAAAAGAGGGAAGAGGAAGAAAAGCGTATTCAGGTAATGTTTTAGCTGTTCTCTTGTTGTTGTTGTTTGTTTTGTTTTTGTTGTTTTTAAAATCTTTTTCACAGTGTAGGACCTCCATGCTGTCTAATGGCTTATAAATGAGTCTTAAAATTATACAGCAGTATTACATTAGGCACCCTTAATATTATCTGTCTAGAATTACTGCTATTATTGAATTACAACTACAAAAGGAGGAAAAGATGCATAAGGTAATCTGAGTTTTCAGGTAGGAAGGAATGTGCATGTGAATGAGAGGCATAAAGAAGCTTCTGCTGAAGCTGCAGAGATTTTTGGATTAAGAATGTATATTTTATCTGAGACAAAAGACAGAAAGGACCAAAAAAGGTAATATTTAAAAGTATTAATATTTCTAAAAATTCTTCTGATAGTGTTTGTAACTGAATGGGAATAGAGAGCAGAATGAGATGCCAGATTTTTTTTAGCTTCTTGCAGTTTTAATAATGAAGAAAGATGCCGGGCTCAAAGGGCTGTGATTAGCAGCTCAGTGTCTAGCTGGAGGCCTATTGTTTGGGCTGTACCCCTGGCATAAATATGCACTTAATAATAAAATATAATTATACACTTGTCTGTGTGTAGAAGTACCTGCTTGGGGAAGTGTAAAGCAGACAAGACAGAAGCAGACTCTTCTCAGTGTTATCCAGAGAAAGTACAAGAAGTAGTGGCAAGTTTGGGGCACTTTTTTTTTTTTTTTTTTCTGGAAAAGTCATATGCAGACTCAGGCCATGTCAAGTATCAGCTTCCTTGTAAACATTTTCAGAATACTGGTAATATTGAGAGGCTACAAGTACCCCTCTTAACTACAACTGTGTAGAATACATGCAGTTCAAACTCTGCTCCTTCTCCATCTGCCTTGATTTTTGACGCCTCTTACTGATTCCACCATGAGCTCCCTGAATTGCGTCAGGACCCAGATCTTGTTTTCCTGTTTTCTCGGAGATTCTCTGTGTCCTGGGTAGAGAGGAGTCTCAGAAAGAATAAGCTTCCCTTTAGGGGCTGTTGCCATAAGCACAAGGCAGCGTGCTTGTCTGTCTCTGATTACAGACTTCTAAAGTCCCCTCTGTGATTAATCAGAAACAGATTTTTCCTTTTCTATATTTTGTTATCCTTAGAGTTAGTCTAACACTGATTTTCCTCATTGTTTTTGCATGCCCTTTTCTATCACCTCACCATTATTAATGATAAGCAAGCACCTGACACTAATGCCAAGATTAGAGCCTAACTGATGAAAAATAGATCTTTCCAGTGTTGTTGTCTATCACTTGTACTAGAGTAGTAAGCAATTCTGGCTTACAGAAGTTAAATGTAAAAAGAGTAAGCTGCTCTTTGACTAGTCTCTGAATCATTGCTTGGATACCACCATTGCAGGTATGCCTAGTGTTCTGGGAGAAGCTGGTAGGAAAAGTTTCCATTCAGGGACAGTTTAAATATATTAAATAGTGTCCACTCAGGAAGTGAACTGGACGCTTGCCAGAAGGTTTTAAACCATAGTCTGCCAGGACTGGGAGCATCTCTAGAGATGGTATTTATTTGTGTTTCTGGGATGTGAACATCTGCAGTGCAGAATGTAATTTACACTTTCACTTAAAAACACTTGCTGCATTTGGATACAAGGCAAGATACGTAATCCAGTAGGGCACTTTTTTCTTTTATGTAGTTAATTATTTGTTATCTGTTTTTCTGGTGGTAGCCCCTGTCAGCTAATCTGCAATGGAATTCAAAGGAAAAAGTCACTGGTGTTGCACTCTGGTGCAAATTCATGATGATGAGTGGGAAGTGACTTTGTCTCCAGTGTTGGCTTTTGGACACCAAGAAAGGCACTGCTAAGAGTTTGCATGTATGACTTGCAGAGGTTTGAACTGAATGGTCACATTTTACTTACTGTGTTTGCAAGTCTCGTTGTTAAATAATGATGGTAAGCTGGAATTGCAGCTTTGTTCTGCAGAGGCATTATATTTGGATTATTTTTCTGTTGCACTAAGTAGGAATTTTGAAATGTATTTAAATTCAAACCCAGAGCAGGTTCACAGAAGATTTCAGTGTTCATCTTCACCCCCTTTCAAAATACACAACAAAGCTAAGTACAAAGCAGTGCCTTTTGTAAAATCTTGTAATGCTAAGTGCAGAATATCAAGGGAGTATCGTGTTAGTGTTGTGGAGAATAATCATATTGCTCTGTGTCATCAGAGTTTTAATGAAGTTAGACAAAATTTAAGTCTATATTTCATAATAAAATAGATTTTAAAAAGCTATAAATATTTGTGTATTTTTTGCTAATTTTTGCTAATGTACTATTTTGTTTTTTATAGATTAAAGCTAAATGCATTTTTTACACATATATTTGTGATGCAGGCTGAAATTGAGGCTCAGCTAGCTAGAGAACGAGAAGAGGAAACCCAGCACCAGGCAGTTCTTGAACAGGAACGTCGTGATCGTGAACTTGCAATGAGAATTGCCCAGACTGGAGCAGAACTCAGCACTGAAGAGACAAAGTTTGATGTAGGATTGTGCAGGTACAGACTTAAAAGCTTAAATTTCTCTCTTTTGTTTCTCTCACCCCTTTGTGAAAACTAAACTCTTGTTTGTTTTATGTATTTTTCTATTAATTAAATAGTATCTTCATTTTATGTCTTGCTACATCAGTAATTTAGTAGATGTTTATGAATATGACTGCAGTTCTCTTGTCTGATTTCTGGCAAGAATGGCAACCATTTTAAGTTATGATTTTTATGACTGGCTTAAAGTAGGGAATGGAATTTCTTCAGTGGTAAGTAGTAATAAAATGTACCCTTTTTTATATACTTTATGGTTCCAATAGTATATTATGAATTCATGTGTTTTATTTTGCTTTGTTTTGTTTGAACAAAAAGACCTCTTTAAAGGCAGAAATCAGTTCTTTCTGTGTCCTGACAGATAATTTTTTTTTTAGAATTAATTATATGGGGCCAGTACCGTAAGCGTATACGAACTTGGATAGCCACCAAAGGCTTATTCCTTTGGTCGGCAGAAGGAAGAACTTGGTAAAGAACCTTAGGAAGAACTTGGGAAAGCACCGATATGTTGTTTTTGTAATATAAGTCCTATCATGTGCTTGCTTAACCTTGGGCAGGGAGGGAGTAACAAAGTGCAGGTAGGCTGCGTTTTGCTGCTAGGAAGTTGCCATGGTATTGTGCTATCTTGGGATGGGTATAAAAGAGCAGAAGTAGAGGTAAGAGAAGGTTTTTTGCTTCACTTGCAACTTGCATCGGAGTCCGTACATTCATTGCCACGGAATTAATGTATTTAACACAGATGGGTTTGAAAATCAAATGTCTTAAACTTTTGTTGTCTTTGCATTTTTGTTGTTTTCTAGAAGTGCCTGCTTTTGCTGTACAGATCCACACTGCCTGCAAAGCAGGAGCTCTCTTCTCCTCTAAAGAAATTTTATAGCCAGTGAATGTTCACATAGTTGGTGTATTTTCTGTGTGGGTTTGTTTCTTCCCTAGAAAGTATCTTTAAGATGTGCTCTCTATGTAGTTCTCTGAAAGAGCTAACATAAAAAGATATATTTGAGTGACATCTCAGCAATTAGCAGTTCATTCAAAATAGGTGTTTTTTCTTTCTTTTACTAGAAGCAGTTCTAATTTCAGATTACCCAGTTCAGATAAGAACAAGACAGAGACAATACTTAGCAAAGCTTTGGTACCCAGTCAGGGTATTTTCTAAAGGATCTGTCCATTAACCAGGATTGGCTTTCTTTTTCTTTATCAAGAACACAGCAGTATTAGGATAAGTTATGGTGAGAATTTGGCATAAATGTCCAATAAAAGTAGTACTTACTGGTCAAATTGTATGCAGGACATGATCATGTCACTGGCCTAGTGATGTGAGTATTCATTAGATATTTGTTGTTGAAAGAAGACTGTGTAGGAAAATCTCAAGTGTTTCTGTGGAATTTCAAGCTCCCAGATGTGTTCTCTTTACTACTCTGATTTCATATACTTTTAGTAGCTCTGTGCCTGCGTGCCATAGCTAGGTAACTTTTTTGTCATGTACAATATTAATCTGGAGACACTTCAACTCAGATTAGTGTGTTTTTGTCCTCAGTTTTTATACAATTGCTATTGTATAGGCTCAGATGTGATTTTAATACGCTCAATTGAACATCCAAATTAATTGCTTCACAGACAGTATTCTGGGTATTTTCTTGCTTTCCCTGTTTGTATTTTGGTGCAATATAGTACTTTGAAGGTAAACCCAAAGTCGTGTAGCGTCACCTGGCAAATTTCCCTCAAAGATGGAAGAAGGGAGGGATTAGACAAGACGTGGTCAGAGAACTCAATAACTTTCCCATGTTAGTGAAGCTCAGTGTTTCCTGCTGCTCACAGTTGGTCCTGGTCTTTTTCTTGTGAAGTCCAGAAATGAATGGTAACGTAACCATCCTGATAGGTATAACTGCAAGGTTCTCTCTGCTGCGTACTGGTCAGAGAATGAAGACTCTTCTGACTGATGAGAAAGTACAGAATGGTCTGAACAAATTAACACAGCAATGTAAATCCTTTCTTAAAAAGATAAGATTTAAATCTAGAAGAAAATAGTAGAGACTTTTCTGCCCAAATGAGATTTCTTCTTAGCCTTGTAAGAACAATCCAAGTTCTAATTTGTAGCATATTTGATACTGGCGCTTTTGTAGGGATATGTGTGTGTCTTCACCATGGCATTTAGATGCAGTGTCTTTTAACAGCTTGCGTAAAGAAGCTATCTGTCCTGTTCCTAGAGAAGCTAAATGAATGAGGACTTTTTTTACTTCTTGTGATGGGCTTATCCAAGCATAAAACATATCAGTAACATGTCTCTAAATCTTTGATTTGGAAAAATTTTTTAATGGAAAAATAGGAGTTTTCAAGATTTCACTTCTATTTTTTTCTGAATTAACTTAACTTCTTAAAACAGTAGTTTAAAAAAAAGAGATAACAAATTATTGTAGAGGAAGAAATGTTAATATGACCTACCTTTTCCTGCTTCTGATTATTAGAATCAGACTAAGGAAGTAGTCTACCTAACGTAAATATCTTCTGTTTACAGAGCCAATGGAACAGAGCCTCGAATGACGGAGTATGACACTTTTTTCTATTTGAGTACTCTAATAGAAAAAATGTAATATTAATCAGTTCAAAGGAAATTTATTCTATCCTCTTATTTACTAATGCCCCATCTGTAATTTTGAAATCAATTTATAATATACCCTTACGTCTAATAAATTAATATCCTAATATATCTAATAATATCTATTTAAAGATGGTTATAATTAGTGTAAAATTTTTCATATATGATCAGTTTTTCACTGCCTTATATGATTAATTTAGTCTTAACAAAGAATCATATTGATATACATATTGGGATGGATACTTTTAAAAAATCAGTAGCTGTTTATTTTCTGTACTTTAATTTGTACTCAATTGGCAAGAGACTATCACCGTTAGAAAGGCTGTTTTTATTTTAATGTATTTGTTTTATGCTTACATACCATTTTTTTGTAGGCAACAAATGGCCAATGAAGTGTCACAAATATTGCCTAGGTAGGTGAGACAACAATATTGAAGGAATCAATCATTTCCTGTAAAGAAATCACACATGAAATCAGTTGGGGAAAAAAAGGCAGGGGGAGGGGCTTTGTTTTTAAGTGCTAAGCAAATAAGTAAATGATCTATTTCAGATAAATTTCCCTTTTCAACACCTTTTTCATTACCTGTCATCATGTGATTTTACAGGAAATATTTTTTTGCTGTTATAATTACATAAAAACCAGTAAGAACAGTTTCTCTACGTTGGTATTTTGTGTAATTTTGATAGATAACATTCTTCGAGGTTTCTCCTCTTTTCACCATTCTTATGATGAAAAGTGGGGCTCCACATCTGTGGAAGAAGAATTTCTACAAATTCAAGAGTGTTAATTTAAATAATTTATGTTAATATAACTGTTTGTTTAATAAGGATATATTTCACTTTTCATTCACTGTTTCCATTCAAATAAAAAGTTTTGAAAATTGCTCTGTTTAAAAGCATGTAAAAAACAACTCAAGGCATGTAAACAAAATTTTCTTCTGAGATTGCTTGTGTGAAATAATGAAAGATTTTGTGTACAATGCAGAAGTAAGGGAGAAGCAGGGTTAGATCTGAATACAGTACTACTGTAACAGTCTCATAGTTGTTTGTTAGAATATATTTTCTGTTGAAAGAAATGTTATAGTGTCCTCCATACCAGTGAGTAATTAGGTGTTTGGGTGCCACCTGAAGACAAAGACAACATTTTGACATTCATTGTCTGAAGATTCGCATCAGAAGTTAAACTGTTTGAAGTTTTTAAAAGCGAATCTTGTAAAACACAGCACTCTGCTGTGCAGTCTGAACATGGCTGGTGTTACATGATTGATGTCTAGATACAGCATTGATAATTGTGAACACACCTGTTGCCTAAATTTGTTACTTGCAAAGGTATTTTAAAAATAGAAGTAAACAATGCTGCTTATAATTGTTAGTCTGTGAATCTAGATGGCCAGATTATACTACGTATATTGACAAAGTTCCAATGACAATGGCCAAGTCTTAATATGCAAAACCCACAAAACTTTGACTAAAATCAGAAGTTGTTATGGTTGAATTTAAAATGCAGTACTTCTTCCTACGTGCTTGTTTGACAATTTTTTTTTTTTTCACTATTCATATACTTGAAACTTTCAACTTGAGACCTTTTTGGTTGGTTTGTTGTTTTTTTTTGTTTGTTTGTTTTTTTTTGTTTGTTTTTTATTAAGTCTGAAAATACTGTTTATGATGGAGATCATTGCCAAATTGAGTGGTAAGAGTGACTGTCAAGGATGATACTTCTCAGAGTAGCACTGCAATGGAACAGCTAAGCTGTTCAATTGGATTAGCATTCTTGAAGATTACTACTTTGACCAGAGGTCTTATGGCCTCGTTCTGCTGCTCTAAATTATGTAGCGAACTCTTAGAGTGGTAGGTGGTGTTGCTAAATAAGGAAAATCCTCCAGATTTGTCAAATTAAAGTTCAGCAAGGTTAGACACCAGATAGCGGAACTTACATTTAGTAGCAATCCTTCAATGTTCCTACTGGCATTCTATTGATAACAATGTTAAAATTAATATGTTGAATTGAATTCTCCATTTCATGATATAGATATATTTTTATACTTACCATCAAAAAAAATGGGCAAGCACCAAGATGTTGTTTTTGTAATATAAGTCTTACCATGTGCTTGCTTGACCTTGGGCAGGGAGGGAGTAACAAAGTGCAGGTAGGCTGTATTCTGTCGCTAGGAAGTTGCCATGGTATTGTGCTATCTTGGGATGGGTATAAAAGAGCAGAAGTAGAGGTAAGAGAAGGTTTTTTGCTTCACTTGCAACTTGCATCGGAGTCCGTACATTCATTGCCACAGAATTAATGTATTTAACACAGATGGGTTTGAAAATCAAATGTCTTAAACTTTTGTTGTCTTTGAATTTTTTGTTGTTTTGTAGAAGTGCCTGCTTTTGCTGTACAGATCCACACTGCCTGCAAAGCAGGAGCTCTCTTCTCCTCTAAAGGAATTTTATAGCCAGCGAATGTTCACATAGTTGGTGTATTTTCTGTGTGGGTTTGTTTCTTCCCTAGAAAGTATCTTTAAGATGTGCTTTCTATGTAGTTCTCCGAAAGAGCTAACATAAAAAGATATATTTGAGTGACATCTCAGCAATTACCAGTTCATTCAAAATAGGTGTTTTTTCTTTCTTTTACTAGGAACAGTTCTAATTTCAGATTACCCAGTTCAGATAAGAACAAGACAGAGACAATACTTAGCAAAACTTTGGTACCCAGTCAGGGTACTTTCTAAAGGATCTGTCCATTAACCAGGATTGGCTTTCTTTTTCTTTATCAAGAACACAGCAGTATTAGGATAAGTTATGGTGAGAATTTGGCATAAATGTCCAATAAAAGTAGTACTTACTGGTCAAATTGTATGCAGGACATGATCATGTCACTGGCCTAGTGATGTGAGTATTCATTAGATATTTGTTGTTGAAAGAAGACTGTGTAGGAAAATCTCAAGTGTTTCTGTGGAATTTCAAGCTCCCAGATGTGTTCTCTTTACTACTCTGATTTCATATAGCTGTGTACTTTTAGTAGCTCTGTGCCTGCGTGCCATAGCTAGGTAACTTCTTTTGTCATGTACAATATTAATCTGTAGACACTTCAACTCAGATTAGTGTGTTTTTGTCCTCAGTTTTTATACAATTGCTATTGTATAGGCTCAGATGTGATTTTAATAAGCTCAATTGAATGTCCAAATTAATTGCTTCACAGACAGTATTCTGGGTATTTTCTTGCTTTCCCTGTTTGTATTTTGGTGCAATATAGTACTTTGAAGGTAAACCCAAAGTCGTGTAGCGTCACCTGGCAAATTTCCCTCAAAGATGGAAGAAGGGAGGGATTAGACAAGACGTGGTCAGAGAACTCAATAACTTTCCCATGTTAGTGAAGCTCAGTGTTTCCTGCTGCTCACAGTTGGTCCTGGTCTTTTTCTTGTGAAGTCCAGAAATGGATGGTTAGGTAGCCACCCTGACAGGTATAACTGCAAGTTTCTCTCTGCTGCGTACTGGTCAGAGAATGAAGACTCTTCTGACTGATGAGAAAGTACAGAATGGTCTGAACAAATTAACACAGCAATGTAAATTCTTTCTTAAAAAGATAAGATTTAAATCTAGAAGAAAATAGTAGAGACTTTTCTGCCCAAATGAGATTTCTTCTTAGCCTTGTAAGAATAATCCAAGTTCTAATTTATAGCATATTAGATACTGGCGCTTTTGTAGGGATATGTGTGTGTCTTCACCATGGCATTTAGATGCAGTGTCTTTTAACAGCTTGCGTAAAGAAGCTCTCTGTGCTGTTCCTAGAGAAGCTAAATGAACGAGGACTGTTGTTGCTTCTTGTGATGGGCTTATCCAAGCACAAAACATATCAGTAACATGTCTCTAAATCTTTGATTTGGAAAGATTTTTTAATGGAAAAGTAGGAGTTTTCAAGATTTCACTTCTATTTTTTTCTGAATTAACTTAACTTCTTAAAACAGTAGTTTAAAAAAAAGAGATAACAAATTATTGTAGAGGAAGAAATGCTAATATGACCTACCTTTTCCTGCTTCAGATTATTAGAAAGATAACTAAGGAAGTAGTCTACCTAACGTAAATATCTTCTGTTTACAGAGCCAATGGAACAGAGCCTCGAATGACAGAGTATGACACTTTTTTCTATTTGAGTACTCTAATAGAAAAAATGTAATATTAATCAATTCAAAGGAAATTTATTCTATCCTCTTATTTACTAATACCCCATCTGTAAATGTGAAATCAGTTTATAATATACCCTTACGTCTAATAAATTAATATCCTAATATATCTAATAATATCTATTTAAAGACGGTTATAATTAGTGTAAAATTTTTCATATATGATCAGTTTTTCACTGCCTTATATGATTAATTTAGTCTTAACAAAGAATCATGTTGATATACATATTGGGATGGATACTTTTAAAAAATCAGTAGCTGTTTATTTTCTGTACTTTAATTTGTACTCAATTGGCAAGAGACTATCACCGTTAGAAAGGCTGCTTTTATTTTAATGTATTTGTTTTATGCTTACATGCCATTTTTTTTGTAGGCAACAAATGTTCAGTGAAATGTCAGAAGTATTGTCTAGGTAGGTGAGACAACAATATTGAAGGAATCAATCATTTCCTGTAAAGAAGTCACACATGAAATCAGTTGGGGAAAAAAAGGCGGGGGGCGGGGTCTTTGTTTTTTAAGTGCTAAGCAAATAAGTAAATGATCTATTTCAGATAAATTTCCCTTTTCAACACCTTTTTCATTACCAGTCATCATCTGATTTTGCAGTAAATATTTTTTTGCTGATTTAATTGATTACGTAAAAATCAGCAAGAACAGTTTCTCTACGTTGGTATTTTGTGTAATTTTGATAGATAACATTCTTCGAGGTTTCTCCTCTTTTCACCATTCTTATGATGAAAAGTGGGGCTCCACATCTGTGGAAGAAGAATTTCTACAAATTCAAGAGTGTTAATTTAAATAATTTATGTTAATATAACTGTTTGTTTAAAAAGGATATATTTCACTTTTCATTCACTGTTTCCATTCAAATAAAAAGTTTTGAAAATTGCTTTGTTTAAAAGCATGTAAAAAACAACTCAAGGCATGTAAACAAAATTTTCTTCTGAGATTGCTTGTGTGAAATATTTTAAATTTAATTTTAATTAATTAATTTTATATTAAATAATTTAAAAAAATATTTTAAAAATAGAAGTAAACAATGCTGCTTATAATTGTTAGTCTGTGAATCTAGATGGCCAGATTATACCACGTATATTGACAAAGTTCCAATGACAATGGCCAAGTCTTAATATGCAAAACCCACAAAACTTTGACTTAAATCAGAAGTTGTTATGGTTGAATTTAAAATGCAGTACTTCTTTCTACATGCTTGTTTGACAATTTTTTTTTTCACTATTCATATACTTGACACTTTCAACTTGAGACCCTTTTTGGTTGGTTTGTTGTTGGTGGTGGTGTTTTTTTTGTTTGTTTGTTTGTTTTCTGTTTTTTTTTTTTATTAAGTCGAAAATACTGTTTATGATGCAGAGCATTGCCAAATTGAGTGGCGAAGAGTGACTGTCAAGGATGATACTCCTCAGAGTAGCACTGTAATGGAACAGCTAAGCCGTTCAATTGGATTAGCATTCTTGAAGATTACTACTTTAACCAGAGGTCTTATGGCCTCGTTTTGCTGCTCTAAATTATGTAGCAAACTCTTAGAGTGGTAGGTGGTGTTGCTAAATAAGGAAAATCCTCCGGACTTGTCAAATTAAAGTTCAGCAAGGTTAGACACCAGATAGCGGAACTTACATTTAGTAGCAATCCTTCAATGTCCTACTGGCATTCTATTGATAACAATGTTAAAATTAATATTTTGAATTGAATTCTCCATTTTATGATATATATATATATATATATATATATATATATATATTATACTTACCATGAATAATGCTAAGGGTGATGAAGAGTTACTTTCCTTAGTACTGATCAAAAGGCAGAGGTAATTTTTCAGTCAGATTTCTCATGTACCATAACTGGAAGCTGTGTGTTTACTCAAATTAGTAACATGAGGAAGAATAATTAAACTGAGGCTGCAATAAACAGTAAGATTCTGTAGTTTTAATTACACTAGAAGAGATGGTGCTGTTGCTATTAAGAACATTTGGCTAAACAGATTGCTTTTATTCTATCAAATTTAACAAATGCTATTTATTTTTATCTCTGCTTTCAGAAATGCTGCATCTATACAGAGAAAACTTTCATAGAAAATATATTTATATCTTCTTAACTAAAAAAGGAAAATATGTAATCTAACAACTTATTCGTACTGTTAAAGAAATTGGAGATTTTAGTAATAGTTTCTCATATGCTGTTGACTTCACTGCACGCTACTTATATGATAAAAGCCTTTTGCCTTTGAAAAGAACTGTTTCTGGTTAGGTCTTTTAGTACTGGTCAATGTGATTTTTGTTCCTTGTTATCTACTGTAATAATGACTTTTTTCCCCTCTCCAGACTAGCTATTGCTGTTCTCAGGTAGCCGCTATAAAATTAATGTAGAGTTATATTGCTTTCTTCTCTCAAATTAGACTTCTGTCAGAAGCATGGAATGTTTTCTCTAGTGTTGAAAAAAAGATTTTGTTCATCTTTTAAATAGCAGAAGAAACACCATTTCTCCCTTCAGAAATATTTTCCCTTTTTGTCTGTTTTTCTAATGGAACTGAAAATGTGTATAGCCACTCTTTGTGTTCTGCATATTGACTAGTACCAAGAAAAAACTGGAGTGGGGTACACACAGAGACATTGAGTATGTGTCTTCTCACACATAAGCACTCAATATTTCATGGTGATTCCTTTTTACCTTTAAGCAGCTCATCAGATTATTCGTTTAGAAAGATTTTGGACCTAAAAGATGCTTTCCTATTTTTTTTCTTAATCATGAGAGCATCTTGAAGTAATTTGTTATTTTGCTTTTGAATTCAGTCCTGCTATTCATTTTCGTTGTGATAAGTGTGCTGCAGTGTTGATTGTAATACCTGTTCCTTCTGTTGTAAAAATCCCTATTCCTTACCTGTCCCTTAAGAAATATGTATATATTTTAATATATATTATTTTTTGAACAATTATAGAGGTCCTCAAGTTCAAGCTACAAAAGCTGCTGCTGGTAATAAGAAGTATGATCTGAGTAAATGGAAATATGCAGAGCTTCGTGACACCATCAATACATCTTGTGGTAAGTTTTATTTTCTTATTTCTGAGAGAAGGAAGTCAGGCTCACATATACAAGACTGCAACAATATGTTTCAGCTAAATAGTTGGTCCAATACATGGTGCTAACGTGTGTTCATCCTTAATGCAGTTCAGATCCTCTTATGTGTCTAATGAAGAAACATGGGAATCAGTCTCTTAGTATCGTGAAATTCAGCAAAATTAAAGTGTGTTTAATAAAGTGGACGAATAATTTGGATCTCAAAGTGGAAGAACCATGTATATCTAAGTCAAATTAGCTTAATTAACTCCGTCAGGCTTGGTGCCACATTTGGAGAGATGTATCCTTGGAGAGCCTGTCCCAGTGCCCAACCGCACTCTCAGTGAAGAACCTTTTCCTAATACCCAACCTATCCATTCTTCCCTGATGCAGCTACATGCTGTTCCCTCGGGTCCTATCACTGGTCACCAGAGAGAAGAGATCAGCACCTGCTCCTCCACTCCCCTCCTGAGGAAGCTGTAGACATTGGGAAAGACTTTGCATTGTTGCATTGGGAAAGATTTTTGTCTGCACCTTAAAAACAAGCACACGGTCCCCAAAAGCATTTTTGCTTTCTGTTCAATTGTTCTGTTGAATTACAACAGAGGTTTGTGCAACTGCTGAACAACAAATCAAAATACCAAATCAACAGAACGTATATAAGCTTTTAGTTGTCTTTGAAAGTACTTCATTATTTTTAACTCCTTCTTCAAAGAACTGCTCAGTTACAAAATTTCAATTTCCTGCTAATTTAATGTAACAACTTGATGTACCTATCAATACAGAAAAACATAAATATAAATGACATACCATAAATCATCCTTCTGATTTTCTCACTCCTCCCTTCTTTTCTTATTTTTGAGACAGATATCGAACTGCTCGCGGCTTGCAGGGAAGAGTTTCATAGAAGGCTAAAGGTGTATCATGCTTGGAAATCCAAGAACAAGAAACGCAATGCAGAAACAGAACAACGTGCTCCCAAATCAGTCACAGACTATGGTGAGGAGAGAGAATTTCATATTTACATTAATTTTGATGAAAGTATTCCAGAGAAAACATTTCTAGAACAAATTTTGTTGTTATGTTGAAGGAAATTGTTTTTTCAAGAGAATTTTCATATTAATTAAGGTAAATATTTTGAAAAGATTGGAACTGGCGAATACTTTGCAGAAAGTAGAATATGTTCATAATAGATATATTGAATAGCTCTTCCTAAAGCTTTTTTTCTTCATACCAACTCATATAACAACAACATTTCCATACTCATACCAATTCATATACCATACCAAAATTTGTTGGAAATTAAAATTGGTTCTTGATTTGGTAGTGTATTTACAGACATCTTTATTAAATGTTTATTGCTATGCTGCTTAAGACTAAGGAAGATTGTTTTCCATTTATAAAGCCTTGGTTTGCATTTTGAGACTTCTGAGACTTTATTTTTAAGATAGTTCATACTAGTTCTGACCTCTGTAGTTAAAATATTGCAAGAGTACTGTTAGGTGTAATTCTCTGCACTGAACTATCACTAAGACTGGAATAGAGATTCTAAACAGTTCTCACAAATAGTCTGGAGAACTGTGTATGCATTTTTTGGTGCTAGGAAAAACATTTGGAGTCCAGGCAAAACAAAAAGCCTTGGGTGGTTTCTCTTGCTTTCACCCTTCCTTAAGATACAGATATGTAGATGCCAATGCTCTTAAAGAGAGTTAATCATTTCCTCATTTAAGTTGCCTTATATATTTCAGGTTACTTTTTTCCTTTTATGAATTCTACGAGTGTTGATACCGCAATTTTTGATTATGGGATTACAAATTTTGCAGAGTGTCTGCTTTCATATTAGATAGTTATTCAGCTGATTTCACAGATGGGTGCTTATTGCCAAAGCAATGCACTAATGAAAATCAGTGACTGACATTTAAATTCAATGAGAAGGTGTAGGAGTTACTGTGTTACCTACTGCCAAACCTGAAAATGAGGTGCCCAGTTTCTGGAGGTATATAGATTTGGTAGTGGTGGTTTTGTTTGGTCCAGTGATCATCTGATAAAACAAGAGTCTACCAGATGAACAGAATCACAGCAAACTGATACAATGATTCAGACTTCCTGTCCTCTGGTCCTGGCTGCAATGGGAAGAGGCAGAGGAAAGGGCAGATGAGGACAGGATGTTTCCACCAACATCCCATTAGCCTGGGCTTAGTGCACAGTCCAGGGACATGGGAAAAGTAGATCCCAGGTGCTCTTTTCTCAGTGTCAGTTGTTATACAAAGGTGTCTACCTTCTATTGATTCATTTACAGAGTTAGGCATTGCTTGAGCATTACCTGAGAATTTGAGCTTTTCAGGCATCTTTTATTCAGATATGTGGGCAGGGGAGATCAGGACTCATAGAAAAAACCTCATCAAAGACTGGGGTCTTGTGGCCATGCCTTGTGATGTTGCCTTCAGTGCTTAAGAAAGCTTATGAATAAAACAACGTGAAAAGGCATTTCAAGCATTTCTGCAAAGTAGTAAGTTGTTTTGAATTAGAGCTCTCAAATTTTGTTTGGAGCTAAATAGCTAAAATAAATATTCATGTATTTTATTGCTGATGGGAAATATTAAAGAGCAGAAAATCTTTGGAATTCTGCAAGTAAAGCTTAGAATATTCATGTTCTCATCACATTTAGCTAAAATGAGAAATTTGCAGCATTCTCTCCAGTATTTTTCAGTGCTTCTTTTCTTTTAACTTGAAATATGGCTTCATATTTCTGAAGACAAGTCAGAATATAGCAGTTCATAAGAAAGTCACTGAAACTTTAGGTATTCTTGATAACGTCAGAACTAATTCTTTTTAATGCAAATAATTATACTATATGAGCATTTCACATTTATGTGCTGTAATTATCCAAGAAGGTAGTGGGAAGGAACTCTGATTTCTTAGATGTGTAAGCTAAAATTCTTCTAGGTGTCAGTGGATATGTGCTTCAAATGATGATGTTTTCTCTTTCCATCTTTTCACTTATATCATATGATTTTAGAGTTATCCTTTGATTAAAGTCATACATGCAGTACAGGATTTAAACAGGTTTGTGTGCTATTGTTAGAATAGGCAGTTTTGATATTAGTAGAGGTCTGGGAATTAAAGATGTTTTTGATAACAAATACGAAAAATTAAAAGTATTACAATAACTATGAAGACACTTTTTGCAGCCTGTACTTAGCATGTGTACAACTGAGATTTTGAAACATTTATTGTAAAATAATCAGTTTCAAAATCAAATCCAGAAAAAAATAGAAGCAATTGGGAATCTGTAAAAGCTGAGGAAAGGAGACATTATATTTATGTCAATGAGAAGGAAATGAATAGAAATAATTAGCTCAACACCTATGTCTCTCTATTTTTCTGTCTTCAACATTGGTGAAAAACAAGGTAAAGAAATTGTAACTTTAAAAAAGATCAGCACTTTTATGCTTTGTTCAATATGTAATATTTGTTTACAGATTTTGCACCATTTTTGAACAACTCACGTAAGTGGGGAGATGGTTATTTAAGCTAACTTTGAAGATTAGGAACACTCAGGAGCTCTGTACTAATTTTATTTAATCCACTGTTTTGCTACATATGTACATGGAATTTAATGTTCAAATAAAATGCTATTTTACTAGCATTTTGCAGTTTTTGTCAACCAAAGGTTATTATATGTCACTCTTCTAATTTATTAATGTACATTACTGTTTATTTTCCTGAACTCCTTCCCATTTGAGCCATCATGGGAAGGGTGAATAAAATAATCTTCTGATGTAGGTTATTTGAAGGGATAATCTCCATCCCCCTCCAAAATTGTATTTCTTCTAACTACCATACTTTAATATCATTACATGTTTTGTTGTTGTTGTTGTTGTTATTGTAGCAAAACTGTGGAATCAACTTAAATTAACAGCTCTTTTCCTAGCACACAAACTAACATTCAGGTGGTGGTTTCTTTTAAGTAAATAGCAACTTTCAGTAGTGCTGAAAGTTAGAGGCTGTATTGGCTGCTTAGCATTCCCATCATCTAGATTTACTCTTGAATTTAGGTATGCATAGGATTAGAAATGTCTTAGCAGCTGCCATTACAGTACAGAAAGTGTTTGACAATACTAAAACACTGATTGGCTCTGATAGATGCTCAGACAATTCACAGATCATAGAAGTAATGTCCTATGAACTGTAGGCTATATTTCGGTATGAAACACATGCTTTGTCAGATCTGATGTATAAATGTAGTGTTCATCTATTAAAATCTATTTTGTTTTTCTTGGTTTTGTAAATGTGGACATGGGACATGATTTATAAAATACATTTTTTTTCAAGATCCCACTCTTCACATTTAAAATACTATCTTTGCTTGAATATAAGTAGAACTAGTTTCAGGGTACATATGTAGTCCATTAGTCTTGTTCATAACTGAAAAAATAAATTATTAGAAGTGATTGTCATTTTTCATCTATTAAATCTTAGTTCAACAATTAGTTTTACTGCTTTATAGGCAATGGACAAAAAAGGAAGCACTGAGCTGGTAATACTGATGTTCTTTTGTACAAACGTTATAGGTTGACATTCAGAATTTCTTAAACAGGGTACTCATTATAAAACACTAAAACAAGATCAATATCTTTTTTTGCAGGAGACATTTAAATAAGGGATCTTGTTTATAAGAGCATTAACTATTTAAAACTGATTGTAATACTGTATATATAACAGTAAGAAAGTTGATCAGTTGATGAGTTGATGAGAGTATTTGTTTTGATTCAAAAGAAGGTACTTCTCCAAAGCCTGAAATAAATGTGTGCGACTCCAAGGGAGTCAAAAAACGCACGAGAAGCGATCATCCGAAAATGAAACTTTAACAGGTTTCATATAACTGTCTCCTGGAGAAGTTTGGTCAATTGACTTTAATGGTCTGGTATAAATACTTTGCAAAAGAAAGTGGCCAGAAAGTAGTCCTAATGCTGGAGTTTAGTACACAGCAATTTAGGCAGACAGTGATTTTTGAAGGCTGCTTTGTGGTAAGCAGTTATTTGTCAACATTTTTATTAACAAGTTAGTGATTTCTAACAGTATTGCATATCCTTGTTTGTCAAAAGAAAAATCTCTGTGTGGTGCTTTGTATTACTATAACTGAAAATGCTGCTTTGCACAGTAACCTTGTTTTACAAAGAGACTAAACTGGAGCAGTTACTGATTAATACTTCTGGTTGGTAAGAAATTTTATATAGAAAGTTATACTTAAAATACTAATTTAAAGAAAATTGTGATATTTTATTTGCTTCTGTCTAAACTTACTTTAGGGATGCCATTTACAAATTATATATAGATACAATAGTTAACATGAACCTTTTCTCACCAGTGTTTTAGCACCCACATTGTATGAGATTGCAATACATTCAGGCTTGATGAGCCTTGTATTTAGAGTCTCTCAGTTGTGTTTTTTGTTGTTGTTGTTTTTAGTTTGGTGATCAATCAAGCAAATCATAATATGCATTTTTTTGTTTGTTTTTGTTGTATAATAGCTCAACAGAACCTGACAACCCTACAAGCCAGGCAGAAGGAGATCGAAATAAACAGACAACAGCGTTACTTTCGCATTCCCTTCATTCGTCCCATGGACCAATACAAAGACCCCCAGAACAAGAAGAAGGGTTGGTGGTATGCACACTTTGATGGGCCATGGATTGCTCGACAAATGGAACTTCATCCTGACAAGGCACCCATTCTCCTTGTAGCTGGTTGGTATTGAAAGCAGAATTTGGATGTTGGAAGAGTTCAGAGCTTATGACTTCCTTTTAGAAAGGAGGCTGATGATACAAATTTCGCAAGTTGTATCCTCTTTCATCAGCAGTTCAAGTCTAGGCAGAATTTGAGGATTTGGAACTGCTGTTGATGGTGGCCAGATGTCATGGAGCATCATTTGGAGGTGTAACTAGTCACATGGTTTACTTTTGCATGTACTTTAATCTAGGAAGTCATTGACAGAGAATCCTATTTGGGAATCTACATGTAAATGGTTTTATTATTAACTTTTTTTCAAATTATTCACAGAACTGGAGACAGCATCAAAACATGGTCAAATCTTAACTGAGAAACTTAAACTCACCATTGGACTGGTTTTTAGTTAGATTTGACTGCCCTCATAGTGAAGCATTTCTTCTGAATATCTAATTTAAATCTGCCCTTCTAGTTTACAGACATTCCCCCTTGTCCTATCACTACACTCCCTGACAAAGAGTCCCTCCCCATCTTTCCTGTAGGCCCTCTAAGTATTGGAGGGCCTCCCTAGAGCCTTCTCTTAACGTCTTCTTAGAGCCTTCTCTTAACGTCTAAGAAGACATTAAGAGACACCTTCTCTTCTTCAGACTGAACAACCCCAACTTTCTCGACCTGTCTTCATAGGAGGTGGTCCATCCCTCTGATCATCCTTGTAGCCCTTCTCAGGGCTCACTCCAATACACCCATGTCCTTCTTATGGCCCCAGGGCTGAATGCAGCATTCCAGGTGGGGTCTCCTGAGAGCAGATTAGAGGGAGAGAATCACCTCCTTGCCTGCTGGTCGCACTTCTGCTGATGTAGCTCAGGATATGGTTGGCTTTCTAGTATCCCCCTTTTCTGGTGGATAATGAAAAGGGGAAGAGAAATGATCTGTTCAGTGTTTTGAGTTTGTCTTTAATTCGACAAGAAGGTTGGAATACATGTTTCACAGAGTGATGCTTTACTAGCAGCTAAAGTTCCTTAGTTTTCTGCTAATTATTTTAAATAGAATTAATTGTACCATTTCCTGTCTGTTCAATGTCTAAGCACCTAGCTAAAAGTAACATAGCTGTTGTGAATAACACATTCAATAGATCACCTATTAAAAATAAGATTGAAATAAGTGAACTGCACCCTTTGTTTCATTGGATTCCACGTGGGCAATACTGTTCATCAGTTTGTTTAGCATGGGAGGCTGACAGATTAGGAGTACTGGTGATTTGATCAGAAGTCTCAAGTTCTTAGTCACATTGCTACGTCTAAAAAAATATAACAGTGGTTGTCTGTAAAACTGTATATATGTCTAAAACAGATTTGGTGGGTTTCAGGAGAATAGATAGAGATACTGATCTTTATGGCATCTTCCCTTTTGTTCCTTCTTGCTCGCTTTTAAACACTTTTTTAAATTTTGTCTGTTTCATCATCTGGTTTTAGTTTATTCTGACACTGCTTTTCTACAATGTGTGTAGAAATCCTTCCAAACACTTCTTCCCTCATAAGCTCTGAAGTCTATCAACAAGCCAGAGCTTGAGAGAGGAAATCTAATTAACAAAGATCTAATCTTTGTTAATGGGACCTTTGCATGATGTGAAAATGTTACAAAGTTTTTTCTTTGTCCCTCTATGATTTCAGGTAAGGATGATATGGATATGTGCGAGCTTAATCTTGAAGAGACTGGCTTAACTCGAAAGCGAGGTGCTGAAATTTTGTCAAGACAGTTTGAAGAAATTTGGGAGCGCTGTGGAGGTATCCAGTATCTTCAAAAAGCAATTGCAAGCAGACAAGCTCGTCCTACGTATGCTACAGCTATGCTGCAGAACCTATTGGAATAAGTGGTCATTTTGCACAGTAGTATTTGAGATGAGAACCCTTGTCCGTGATACAAAGGGAAGAGTTCCTCTATGCAGCAGAGGACGTAAACGTTCTATAATCATATTAGAGATGTTTAATATAAAGTGAACAGATTTTATTAATCATGTGGTTTGTTAATTTGTAATGTATGATGTTTAATTTGGGTAGAGAGCCTTACTAGGTATGAGGACCCTGAAGAATTTTCAGTCAGTGTAGTTGTTGCATTTTGTTTATACGTTGCATTTTCTTTAACAGTTTCTGTTACTACTCTTAACACTTCTAAGTAATCTATCTGTACTTGAGTACATAGCACAAAGAACTGCATTGCAACCACCTTTTGATAAAATCTCTTATTCAAAACACTAAATAGTTGGTTTTAGGTGGTGGCTTACTAAAGAGGATATGCTGTATCTCTTAACTGGAATTGTGAGGCCTTAGCTTTGACTTCTGTTCTGGAGAAGTTGGAGTATTCTTTTATATAATCTGAGACATTTTATGTCCTGATTTTGAAAACTGGTTAGTGTCTGTATTTACTGACTTCTTCTGAAACTGATGGGAAATCCTCCTACACTTGAGACTCATAAATTCCTACTTAATGCACTCTCTGTCTTGGGTTAAAAGAAATGTTTTTCTATATGTTCTGAGAAGAGCATTATATATGTCAATATTATGTAATATTGTACACAAAGAATGTACTGCTCATTAGGGCTTATACCACTTCTCTCAGTTTCTTTTCCTTTTCTTTCTTTCTTACCTTTTTTTTCCTTCTTCTTCTTTTTTTTTTTTTTTTTTTTCTTTTTCAAGTACAGGTCTCCTTTAGACTTTTATTTTTCTGACCAAATTTGTATTAGGAAATTTGTCCGTTCTTGGACAATTCACTTAGCCATGTAGTGTAATTTAAATATTGTATGCAAAATTGTCCAAGATTTATATCTGGAGGCATATAAGATTAAGGATAGCATAAGGGAAATATGTTCAGCTTATGGGTGGTGATATAATTTAATTAAACATTGAGACCTGATCCTCAGATGTCCTGTATATTATAACTGTAATGAGATGCACAAGGTCTGTACCTTTTGTTAGACTGTATAAAAATTTGGTCCAGTAACATAATGCATCATTTATATGCCATGTGCTGCTGAATTAGCTACAATTTTTAGTATTCTGGAATATTGTAGTGATTCAGGCACTGATCTTTATCTCAATTTTCTCTGTCAAGTGTCCTAGCTTATAACAGTTCCTTAATCAAGCAATTAGAGATTTTGTGGATAGAAATTATTAATTTCCTACAGTTTTAAGGTGTGTCTTGTTCACTTATGTGAGTGTTTCAGCGTGCTGGCCATTATTTCAACAAATTAAGCTTGATTATGTATTTTATCTCTCTGATAAGAATTGCAAATACAAGTAACTTGATGTCTAATTACTTATTCAACCTGGTTTAAAAATGAGGGCTTGAGATATAAATTGGCAAAGATTTCTCACACTGCAAAATTATTTCCTTTCATTTTACTATGTTTGAAACTTTTTGGAAAAAGTTAAAAAAATTAGTTTTTAAATACATAAATATACGTAGTAACTTCCAAGTTATTAACAGTTTGTACATAGAGAAAACTCATGATGCATACATTCTTTCTGACCATAGATTGTGCTTACATGCCTTTGTCTAAGTTCACTCCTTGCTGGAATACACGTGAAGATGTGTGAGTAGTACATTAACTTGGTATGAATTAGCTACATCAGGGAATCTCAGCTTCCACTGCATACCCACTCTGCTTTTTGGTCTTGCGATTCCGAACTGGAAAACGTTTTCATTTTACCCAAAAAAAGCCCTCTTCACCGAAGCAGTAATTTTTGCCTGGAAGATGAAAGAAGTGCATCATACTGCTGGCTAGCTAGCTGTGTGCAGACCTATTCAACATGTAAAGGTGATGTTACGAAATTTAGGTTACTGGTTTAACGTGTTAGTGGATTGGAATAAAGGTTTCAGAAATCCTGGTCTCCAGAAACTTAGCACTGCAGAAAGCTTTGGCCATTTATGTGATACAAGGAAAAGAAAATCACTGAACTGATAGTGGTGAGAAGCCCTACTCTATATTTATTACTGTCTGGATTTAAATTCTTGACTTACCATGTTTGGTCTCAGTTTATATATGTAAAGCAGATCTTATGAGACTGAACACTAAGCAAAGAACCTCATACTTAAGTGTATGTGTGTACGGGTGTATGTATATACACATATATATACTTATGTATGTGTGTATATATATATGTATGTAAACATAACTGTGGGGAACTTAAAATAAATAAAATCATTAATGTAATTTTTCCATTTTTTCCTTTCATTATGCCAGTGTTTCCTTGATGCAGGCTGTTCTGAGACACTAAGTTATCTACAGACTGGTATCAGAAGGAAACTTTATTTTTCACATTGGGTTCTCTGGGAAGTCTTGTTAGCTAAATGGGAAATATTAGCTGTGAGGGAAATTAAAATTTGAAATAGTGGAAGAGGAACTGGTGGCTGGATATTTTCAACTGACATGTTCCCACTTTTCTGCATTGCTCCAGCAGTATGCCTGAGGCAACCAGAAGACACATTCCAAAAATCAGGGTATTCTAGTTTGCACAGTAGCATACCTTTTTTCTTCTATATCAAAACCATCTGATTGTAGTTTTGCTGATCTTTTTGTGCAACAAAAGTAATTTTTGGTTCACTTCAGAACTATTTTTTTTTTTTTACGTGTGGCAATATTCATCTGCTTTTACAGATTTTCTCCATTGTCTCATCTACTGTGTCAGTGATACTGTTGGTTGATTTGGAGTCAATCTCTGATCTCAGGGATTGTGGTATTATCTTAATGCCCTTCTGATCTACAATTACACAGAAAAAAAATATGTTTCTGAAGCAAAATGCTAAACTCTTTGTCTTAGTTCTGTGTTTTTTGTTTTTTTTTTTTTTTTTTTGTAAACATTTCTTCCTGCCTCTCGGTGTAGCTCTTCATTGTAGTTGAGATCTTCTCCATGAAACACTCCAGAATTAAAAGGAGAGAAAGAGAATCACCATGCTAGGCTACATTCCTGACTAGCTGACCAGTAATATAAATTTTCTAGAGAATGCTACTCAAGGTTCATAAGGTCTTTCACCCACTGATGAGACCGGTTTCCTTTTTGTAGTAGAAGCCTGTTTTTGTTTGTTTTTTTTCCCCGAAAATATTTTTAAAGTATTTAAATGACCTTCTAATACTGTACTGAAAATTTAAATAAATAAATACATTCCATGTTGAAATCTCAGTTGCATCTCTTGTACTGTTTTGTCTTTAAAAATTTAAAGAATAAGGTAAGGGTAAGTTAAGTTATGAGAAGGATTTGGTGCTAGAACTACGTGCTGCCTTTTTATCAGATGTATGTGGTGCTTAAAGCTGCTCTAGAAAAGATTTCGTCTTTACTCTTTGAGTGTTTCTCTGAAATAACATTCTGATATTAAGAATGTTGTTACCATTGTCTCAATTCTGAGGATTTTTTAAAACATATTTTCTTCCTTGTATTGCTATTTATTTAAACCACGAGAGTTTTACTTTAACCAATGCATTTATTGTTTGCTGTGCTGTTTACTGTTTGCATCTCCTTCATTTTAGATCATAACAATCAGTGACTAATGAAACCACTTAAAATATTCTGAGCTTATGTGCTGCAACAAAAGCTTTGTTTGAGCAGGTTGTTGTTTTGTTTTGTTTTGTTTTAAAAAGTTATCAAACTGTTTCAAGGGCCAAATCAGAGTAGTATTTTCAATTTAAGACAATTGAAGTAATTCAGACTTTATTAGGTATAATTTTGTCTCAATTTCCTTGTGGTTTTCATTTCCAGCTATTGTTAGAACTACAGTTAAACATCACCTTTAAGATAATGTGCTACATTGTAGTGTGAGATTAAATAATAATTCAATTCCCTGTGTAATTTTCAAGTAATAGTTTTATTATATTTTATTGAAATACAAAAGGCTTACATCCAGCAAATATATTTGGTAATTAATAATTGGGAGTAATAAATACAATCATGAATAATCATTTTTAAAGTACACAATTTAAAATTACTCATTTTTTAACCTAATGGTAATGGGTATGAATGCAAATACGCTAAACACATACAAAAATACATTTGTAATGGAAAAAAAGAATGCTTTCAGCATTCTTAATGCATCTTAACTTACATGAGCAATTGTAAAAAGCTAATGCTGTTGACAGGGATGACATCCAGTGCCCTGCAAGCACTATTTTTAAAGTGAAGTTTTATTCTGAAGTGTTACTGTGTAAAACAGCATCTTGGTGTTTTGTTTTAAAGTATTTTCTAGTTAAATAGACTAAGTAAAAATATGGTTTCTGCTGTAGAAACTTAAACTTGTGTCCTTGGTACATTGCCTTCATTTGTACACAATCATCAGTTTTTGTTTTTGTTTTTTTTTTTTTTTCTTTCTTTTTTTCAAGGAGCCCTGTTTGTGCAGTTAATTGTTTATATTAACTGAATTTATAGATGTATATAATAATGTAAACTAAAGTTCAGTCTTTGCTGTGGTAATCATGTGGTACTAACAGTTAAAAAGAGTTATAACTACAATCAGCCACTATCCTGAATATGTGAAAGTTTCACATCTGAATGAGGAGCTGTCATCCAGTATAGTCATGAACTTTGTAGAAGCTCACTTTGAGCTGTAAATACAACTTGTGGTGTGTGCCAAGCAGCAAACAGTGCCTAAATGTTATACAACACAGGCATGGCACATATATATATGTTTATATATATATATATATATGTATTCAAGAAAAAGATGTTCAAGGTAAAGTAATGCTCGTATTTGAATCAGGATTGTGAGTCCATAGGGCGTAAATTGCTAAGCCTATAAGTAATTAATGGCCACCCATTGTCTGCCCATTGTTTCTTCTAGAAAAACTAATAGTAACCTTTCAAAATTATACACCGAATTTAAAGTACATTTGTGCATGGCTTTGTAATCTACTTGCTACTAGGAAGGTAGTTGTGAATGTGAATTTCATGTTCTTAAAGGATTAAGAAAACTGCAAATAGTTTTTCTCTTCAAAAATTTTGAAGGAGAAGACGGTTTGAGAAGTTTGAGGAGAAGACAGTTTAACTCTGTTGGAGATGTTCAGCAGCCACTTGGACGTGGTCCTGAGCAACCTGCTCCGGGTGACCCTGCTTGAGCAGGGGTTGGAGCAGATGGCCTCCAGAGGGCCCTGCCAACTCAAATCATGGTGATTCTGTCACCAGGAATTAAGCAGTGAAGCGTATATGTACATATGTATATACATCATGCTTTTATTAACAGAAAAACAGGAATCTGATTTTCAGGGAAGCCATTAAAAAATAATTCCAACTTCTATGTGATTTGCAGTGTGAGCATAGTAAGGAGAGAAAGGAGAAGTTCCCAAACACTTTAAATGTAGCCTGTGGAAAGAGGTAAAACCCTCACTAATGACAGCTCATAAATTTCCATGTTTGCTGCTTACTCTGCTCTAGTGTAGGTAAGAAAAGTTAATAAAATGGTGTAGGTCTGCTTGAAAGCTTCATCTGCGTTTTTACCAGAGTGGTTGTACAGTATTAGCCAATACAGTATTGCAAAAAATGCCACTTTTGAGCAAAATCCATTTCTAGCACAAGAATGTGAAATAAAAATATGATTAAGATATATATACACAGTGTATGCTTAGTGCAGGCATCTTAACACTGGTGATCTCTTACCAGACAACTTTTGGGCATGGTCAGATAGTTGATAAACTTGATAGTGTTGTTTTTCTTTAATAATATGATATGTTAAATGTGTACTGATTTTTGAAGAGAAAGTCTTTAGGAATCATCGATTTTTCTTCATACGCATTGTCAACCTGAACTGCTGTCTTGAATAATGCAGACTTTGTTATTCTGAATACCTGTAAGAGAAATTCTCGTAAGACATTTAAAAAGCATTTTTCATTTTGAAAATTTATTATTTATCCACTGCTAATAGTCAAGAGCTCACTAAAATCTTTTGAGATAGTCTCCAGTTCATTCCAAGGAGAATTGAAATAATCCTGCTCCTGAAGCTATTTTACATACTAAATCATGGAGTTTAGAGAAGAATTATTATTTCTGTCCCTGGTGTAACAATGTTGTGTATCCGTTTGAAATAACAAAGAAGTGCTATCTATACCTTCATAATTTGAAGAGCGTGTTTTTGACTGTAAAATAATAACTATGCAATTTGCTGCAAAAGAAGCCGTAACTAAAATATCTACAGGAGATTACCAGCACACCAGGGATAAATTAGACTTTGGGATGTTTGGTTCCTCAGCACTGTTTTGATGTAAGAGCAGCAACAGTGCCAAGCAAACTTAAAATCTGTAAAGCCTAATGCCATAAATTTTGAACTAAGAGTAAAGCCCTTCCATCTCAATAGTATTTTAGAACATCTTTCCCTTGTGATTGTGGTAATGAAACACTAAATCTGTGATATTGGTGGGGGAGCTCTAACAGGCTATCTTGCATTGCTTTTGTATTATTTTAATCCAAAATACTGTTTGCTTGATAATCCAAGTGACTGACACGAGGATGAAACAAATCGCAGTCTTTTGTTTTCCGTCAAATATAATTGCAGTCATTTTGGTGACTGAAAGTCACTTTTTCAGAAGATGATGCTAAATGGCAGTCACTAACTTTGATGAATGACATTTTAGGTATTTCTGAGGGATAATCTATAACAACTTTTAGGCTGCATCTGCAATACATCAAAATAAGTGATCTGTGTCTGTGCCAATTAGATTTAGCATCATGAAATGAATTATTCTACCATCCTCCCGTATCCAGTGGTTTATTGCCTGTGCTTCTGGGTTATTTTATGTCAAATACTTCTGGGTCTTCCAAGGTTTTGCTTAAATTTGTTGCAACCAATTTTCTGTGTCAGTATATGTCTTTTGCAAGCTTAGAAATGTTTGTGAAGACCCTCTAGATGAGATCCTTTTTCTCTTTAAGAATTAGATCCATTACTGATTTTTGCCAGATAACATTTTGAAGATGAAGCCCACTCACTAAATGCTACGTACAAGCACAAATGTTATTCTATAAATTTGTCATTTATCTGTTAGATCAACTGCAAAATAATAGACTTTAGAGACAGCTTGATGTAATACCCTAGCAGTTGAAAGCAATGTCTTATTTTTCAGCACCCTTTTCACTGAGTAGAGAACATCCAGCTGAGTCACTGATAGGGACAGGGGATATTACAAGAGAAACGATGCATTTTGAATGAGCTCGTGTTTTGAACTTCCATCTGTAAGGAGGAGAAAACATGTCAGGATGAGGTAGGCCAGCAGAGAATCAGATCAGCAGGATTGTTTTTAGAGAACTTAGTCATGTTTGACTCAACCGTAGTAGGTCATCTAGACGTGGTCTTGTTGGCCTTGTAGTCTCAGTCTGAAGGGGCCTGCCCACTCCAATGTGTACATGCTGGCTCGGTCACGTTCTGCATTGCCCAAAGAAAGATGAATCTCACAATCATTTTATTTCCTATATTAGTACTTGCTGAGCAAGATGTACTGTTCCCACAGATCTAACTATGTAGAGCCCTGACTGTGGTAGTCAGTGGCTTGCACGAACTTAAGTTTTCTGCTGAGCTCAGAAAGAAGGAAGAACAAGTTCTTCATCTGGACACAAAGCGCATATTAATTCCTGTATGATACAGCAGATAAAAAACAGCCTCTGAGAACTAGGTTTTGCAATCGTTTTCCATGTAGGGCCCCTATAACATAAACTGAAAACATTTTTCATGCTTAGGAAAACATCGAAAACTTGTTTTGGTTTCTACCAGAATTTCATGCCTATTTTCCTAAACTCCTTTATAAACACAGATGTATACTTATTGTAAGTAGTGTGTCCTAAAAAGTTGTAACTGCTGTCATTACACATGGCAAAACAAAGCAAAACAAACAAATTGGAATTTTCAATTTGGCTTAAAAATTTTAGATAGCCAACTGCTTCTGAATATTCAATTGAAATGCCATATTCTGGCCCCAAAGGAGTTTTCCAGATTGTGACATGGAAGCGTTGCTCTTGGAACACAGCTTTCATTAGCTGAAACTATGTATGCGTCCCCTCCTTCTTCTCTCTCATCTTTTTCCAAATTACTTATAGCATATTCAACATAAAGCCTCTGAAGTGAGCACTCATTTTCTCATTTTGAGCTGTACTTATGGTGAAAAATTATCAACTACTTTTTTTTTTTTTTTTTTTAATCCAATTTCTACTTTGTGGTTGCCTCACTTCTCAAGATCTAGCTAAGAAAACAAATTGAGGTGAGAAGAGCTTTGTCAGTATACTCCTGCCAATTCAAATATAGTTCAGACGTCATAGGCCCAGCTTTCTCCCACAGATGTTGTGCCATTTTATACCTTTCATAAAATATTTAACACTTTTGTAAATAGTGATTTTAAGTAGTTCAGCCAATATAAAAGTAACATTTATTATTTAGGTCTACCCACAGACAAATTTTTTTGAAGATGGGTGTACCAAAATACTTCCTTCTATGACTGGAACACAATTGCCAGTGTCTGTGTTCTTGTTTTTATCAGCAGCAAAGCCAATTTGTTCTTGAGCTTTTCTGAACAGCTCCTCCCTGCTGTCTTGTAGATCTCTATCATTGTGTTCCTGTCTCCCCACTTGTTAGCTCAGTCTGTACCTGTCACCTTAAGTGCCCGAAGACATCAGACCTGGGCAGGAATCCTGTGTGATGAAGATAGGCAAAAATAATCAGCTTCTCTCTGGTATCAGCACTTCTTCCTTTATTTACGTAAAACTAGCTGTGTGGGCTCAAACCAAAGATTCTCGTAGCCCAGTATCCTGTCTCCAGTAGTGTATGTCTAGTGATTGATTGGGCACTGATATTCCCCTCAGTGATAACTGCTAGCAGCTGTAGTCGAAATTCTTTAGTTCTAAGTTGGGCTGCGATTCAGGAAAATGAAACAGCAAAGTAAAAGCTTTTGTCTACTTTTCAAGAGATCACAATCAGATACATCAGAATTAAGAGAGTTTGATGATTTTAGAGAAAGTCTTGACTCAGCTTTTCTCCTTTCTGTCCTTTTTTCCCCCCCTAAAGATACAAGATACCCTGTACTTGAAATAATGTCTGGATATGAGAGGTACTTGAAATAATGTCTGAGATATGAGTGGTAATCTGCTCAAGCTGGAATTCCTGTTTGCTTCAACTCTACATAGTTTAAACAGGCTCTATGTATTTTCAAAGAATCAGTCATTCCTATGCAAGCCTCCCCTTTGCTTTGCATTCTGTGTTGAACTTTCATTTCAGATTTTCCTTCTTTCTTTGTGTGTTTAAGTGACTGCTGCATCAGCAAATATATACATAGAACTGAACCCTGTTGCATAAAAGCACTTCAGAGTGGATTGTGGTTGTCATATCAAACATCCAAAGAAAATGAGTTTTTCTTTGGATGGAACTAGTACAGAGAGGCTTCCTGGTAACATTTACAAAGAGGAAACTCGTTGGAATTTTAAAGCTCTCAAAAGTAGTCACAAACCTTGTTTTTGTCTGGCTGATGCTGGAAATGCAGAATTTCAGAGACTAACTTGTCAGTCCTGGCTTTGTAAACTGGTCTGGTGACCTGCAGCAGTTTAAAACAAACAAAAAACACCACCAGATTAGTTATTTCACTAAATTACAAAAGGCACTTGGACAGAATGGAACACCAAAGCCATGCAAAAGAGCTGTAAGAAAAGTAGTTCTACACTGTGTTATGAAACCAAGTAAAGAAGTAAAACCAAGAAGTAAATGTAGAAAGTAAATATAGGAATTAGTATTTTTAGTCATGCAGTTGCTGAGGAAGAGCTTAGAATCAAATTTAGTTTAGTCAGAGAGCTACAACACGAAGATGGACCTGTTATTTGAGGAGGGACTGTGTGTTGAATAACAAGGAAGAATTTCCATGCATTTTTACCTCCATACTGAATTGTGTTTTCAAGATTGCGTAATGCTTCTTGATCAGTGACCTCTGAAGAACTGGCACAAGCACTTACGCTACAAGCCGAATGGCAAAAGCTAGTTATGGGTTCATCGTATTCAAAAGCAGGATTAATCCTTACAGCATTTTCTGAAGTGCGGCTGTTGAGAGTAGGACTTCTACAATGCAGAACATTTTTGTTTAGGTAAGACTTTAAATTACAAAATAAAAAAGAGGATTTTTTTTTTTTTTAATGTGAAGAATTGAGCCGCTTACTCCAAATTAAAGTTTCTTTGTCTTTTTCTTCTCAGCTTAATAATTAAAATGGTGAAAAGAAAAACAAAGCTTAGCAAGCCAAAAATGAGAGGTTTAAAAGTGAAGGGATGTGTGGGTTCTGGAGCAAATTTTGCACAGCGTTGTCCTTGGTGGAACGTGTGTCTGCGTACAGGGCATCTAAAATGGGGAGAGGAAGAGAAAAATATACGGAACTTGAGGGCAGAAAATACAGAGTACCTCAAATGAAAACAAAAGCAAATATGCAGTTTAAGTATAAGCACAGTGTTCACAGTATAATTGATTGTTATGTATCTGTAAGGAATAATGTGATTCATAACAGAAGAAGGAAAATTATATTCATGAAAATGAGTGTTAAGCAAAAAAAAAAAAGATACATTCTTTACCTAATTTACGAAGTTGAAATAATATTTGTGTTTTAGCACCTTAAAAGTTCAGGTGTGTTTTGGAGTAATTCCTAAACACATCTCTGAAGCCTATATTGTGTTTGTTGGTGACTTTAATCTAACTAGTGAGGTCTGAAATGGGAGCTCTACTTTAAGGCGAGGGATAAGGTTCTCATATTGTATGAGAATCACAGGGTTTCCAGTTGATGGAAAACTAGTGCAGTTCTGAGTAAATTCACAAGTAAAACAAGTGCTTGACTAAAGCAAATGCTCCCTTCGTAGACCATAATTTAGTATAGATACTGCACAAGTTTGCTCAAGTCTGAGACTAGTATTAAGTTTGTATGTAATTTGTTGTAATTCATGGAAGTTTCATGTATTATTTTTAATATTTTTATCATACTAAATAAAGGTTTTGTAATTTCTGTACATTAATCCAGGTTTTTCTGAAATGGAAAGAGGTTATTTTTCATAGTGGGTTGGTTTTGGAGCAGTAAACTGGTTCAGTAAAGTTTTTAGGAGGACCCATTTAAATTGGAGGCTGACTATTAGTTAAAATTCTGCCACTACACTGCTCTGACTCTTGCAAGTCATTGTGCTGGATTCAAAATAATTTTCTGCTGTCTTTTCTGTGATGCCCACTGCAGAAAATGAATTGTGACAGTTGTGTTCTTGCAGTGAAATTATCATATGAATAATTTGCTTGGTAGTCTAATTTTTTGACATTAATCCTAAGTATTCTAAAAGACATGTCATTAACCTAATTCTAAAGTCAGTATTAAGAGAGAATGAATAACGGTTAGTGTTCATAGGTGTGCTTGTAAGAAAACAGATTTCGTTTTTAATATGACTTAGAAAACTTAATTTCTTAAAATACTACTAGGTAATTAATAGTGAAAAATGTGAATGTGTTATTTTTCCATGATATATCTGGAAGTCTGAAAAGAATGCATGGTTGTGTGCTTGTCATCTCTGCCAATGATGCTGAATTTCTCATAACTTTCAAATGCATTTCTGATAAACAGCTAGATCATGGTGTTCTGTGCGTTCCATCTAATAGGTCAAACAGGATTTATCCACAGTGAAACTGTTTGTATTAAAGAAGGGTATTGCAATGTAGTTTAAAGTATCTGAATAGTGAGTTCTTGGCTTATTAGCATAGTTTATGCTGTTGAAAAGTACGTACTCGGCCCTGTTTGTTCATGGAATAGAACCAGGGGTCTGTGAGCAGAATTCACGTCAAGAATCATTTATTTACCTGCAGACAGCTCCTTTTCCTGGAACTAATTCACAGTTCCCACCATTGACACAAAGATGCGGTTCCATCTCACACAGGCTCCGGCAGGGTAATCCGTCTTGGCTTGTGTAACCAGGTTTACAAAGGCAGTCAGCCTCTTTTGTCCACTCGTTCATTACGCATTCAGAAAATTCATCACATGCCATGAATTTGCATGGGTCTGCCTGATCAGCTGTAAAGGATGGGTAAATCATTAATTGAGGCATTGAGGCATTACCCCCAAAGTATTTGGCAAGCTCTGTGGCAGCTAGCGAAAACAGTACACATTTACTGGCCTGCTACTTGTGCATGTTAATGGCAGGGTATAGTCTGGCATAAAAGGACCCGCATTTTTCTCTCTCTAGATGTACACAGCAAGCATGCAAGCTTATATTTACTTGTACATTTGTTTACCCCTGTCCTTATTAAGCTGTGATTTTATTTTTATCTTACTGACAAGAATTTTCACACTTGAATATTGTTGATCTTTTTTTTTACTATAAAGCACTGGTTTTGTACTCAGGGATATAGTCGTGCCATGCTATAGTCTTGCCTATGTGCAAGAAGCAGCTTTTGCTGTAATCACCTTAAACACATGCTTTTAGGCCATGACTAGGGGAGGGAATTAGTTTAGTGAGTACTGCACAACACTATGAGGACTGCAACACAGGAATAATGGCACTGTCAGTGGAAAATACAAGTTTGTGGGGCTTTGTCAGAAGAGCAAAAAACTCTTTGGGAAAAACTGCTGTGCTTTTGTTTGTTTCTTTGTTTTTAAGTATTAGTAAGGGATGCCTTTGTGAGATGAAGGGAAAACAAGTCTGTTGATGTTCATAGGAAGGCCCAAGTCAGAGACAGCGTAAAGTCCTGACTTCACCTGTCACACAAGTCTAGTTCTTTCCCATTCCTTACTTCTACCTAGACATGACTAAAAGGATCAGAAAGCGTCATATTAACACCCAACTCTATGCTGATTGAGTAATAAGGAGGAAGGCTGCAACCACCAGTCTTGTCTGCTGGAGGCAGTTTCTTGTGTATCAGAAGTTAAAACCATAAATAGAAGACAAAAGATGAGAAGCAGGGCAGGGAATACAAATTCTGTTTTTATCAGCACACAGTCTCAGTAAGATGTGTGAATCAAGAAAAGCAAAAAATAATGAGTGTGTAAAGAAGAGGGAGGAGAGAAGGAAAGGAGAGCAGATGTACAGATTGGAGCTGAGCAACACAGGACAGCAGGTCCTGAGTGACCTGAACTCTCCAAAGGACAGTTTGCACACACAGCCTTAGCCCTAGAGAGGAACTTGATTTCAAGTCTAGTCTAGAGAAATCAAAATCACTTTAAAACACCAGCACAGAAGAAAAGTGTCCACTCCTAGTTATGTGGGCTTCAAATTTCTTAAGAAGAAAAATCTGCAGTTTTAAAAGATTGGTACTGCGTATTTCAGCTAATACTATAGTTACTACCTGGGCTGAAAATTTTCTTCCAGAGCTAATTCATGGCCCTAGATTCTCAATAATATTAATTTCAATGAAAAATAAGCATCACTTTATTTACAATACTAGTGGAAATCTCAGACACACACCAGGATGTGCTTAACTGCTGGAAATTAATCTAGCAGAGCCATTTATTTCTAACCCCTCTACAGTTCTGTAGCTATTTTTTTTTTAACTATTATTTTTATTTCTGAATTTAAGATCAACAAAAGCAGTTTTAGCTTGCTTGATTTCCTTTTGCTATATAAAACGTACTTGTTGATTTGTGAGCTGCTTTGCTCCTGGACTGTAAATATATGTACACATAAAGTCTAACAATTGGGCACCAAAGAAGTACAATAAATCACAAGGCAACTTTACTGTCAGTCAAACCTTTACCTATATAAAAACTGAACAAAACAGCAAAGCAAAACAGTTTATTTCAAGTACTTTGATCTGGTCAGTTGTATTATTGGAAATTACAAAGTTTGGACAAAACCAGGTGGCACACAAAAGGAGACAGTAGTTCCTACAGATTCTTTTCTTAGCCCGTGCAAAAAAAATGCTTGACAAACAAAACCAGAACAGTCCCACAGGAGGAAAAAACAAACAAACAAACAAAAAAAAACCCACAGAGGAGTTAGTATGACTGAATAGCTGATTAAGTATTAACTGCATGTCTCATCTACTCTCTCCCCAGATTTGATGATCACAGTTTACCTTCACACTAGTGGACATAAAGATTGATTGTGTTACTAAGGAAAAACATTCTCTATCTGAGCATTACCTACGGTTGTACATTATGGTGTACAGTGTTGAAAAGCTGAAAGGTATCAGTGTGTTTCTGTGTCATTAGGAGAGCTAGGCATGAGCAGCCCACTGTGTTAGAGTCATTTTTTTGTGATGGTGTTTTTTTTTTTTGTTTGTTTTTTTAATGAAAAAGTTTTGGGCTATGCACCTGCCATGATTTATCACTTTCTCTGTGTTTTCACTTGTTTAGATATACAACAACAACAACAATGCTCGCAGGTAATTTAAAAATCCTTTTATGTCACTATTTATATATGTATATTATATGTTTTTATACATATACTAATGTAGTTAGCCCTTTACAGCTGTTTCTCATGAAAGTTGATGAGTCTTGCAACTGATTTTGGGCTGTCAGTTCTCATCAGTGTTTCATTGTGGGATAACACTGTTACCACTAGATGGCTCTTATTTTCACACTAAATAGAAATTTGCTTGCATTACCTTAATTTACTAAACTTTTTCTTTTTCTTTTTTTTTTTTTCCCCCCCCTCCCTTGAAATAAAAAGAAAGTGGGGCTGTATGGATATATGTTCTAAACATGATTTAATCCACTTTTATATCTTACTACTACTCATGAGCCATGAAAGTTTTGTTCTAAGAACAGCTGTCATACAAATCTATTGTGATATGTTTTCTTGAATTAAAGTTGAAATACCATGTCAGTAGAGAAGAAGATATAGATGAAGATGACAGATTTTTTCCTTTTTTTTAATTTTTTTTTTTTTTTTTTTATTTTAGCAACACTTTCAATTTAATTTGTATTAAATGAAAATTTACTACCAAAGCAGAGAATCTGTGGCGGCACAAAGTTAAGTGTTTGTAGGAATCCTTTATTCTTTATTCAACAGAACATCAGGTTAACATGGCAGTATTTGAGAGTTTTTTTTGAGAGATTATTTGAGGTTTTGTTAAGAGAGTATTTGAAAGTTTTGTTAACTTTTTTGGCCTGCTTCCAATTCTCTTACTTGTCACAAGGAGATACCTAAAATAAAGATGGTCTAGAAACTGCCTGCAGGAAATATAAATGGACATTTTGTTCTCGAGTTGTCAGAGATCTGTACAGCTGTACCCAGCTTAATCAAAACCCCTAAAGGTATCTGCATGCTAATGTATTGGCATCTTCTTTCTCCATACCAACAAAAATTCAACTCTGAAATAATTACCAAAATCTGAAAATAAATCCAGGCTTCAGTTTTATAAAACAATATAAGAAAAAGGTGGAAGTCAAACATGATAGGGATACAGTAAATGGTCTCAAGTTGCACAAGAAGACATTTAGAATGGATTTGAGGAATAATTTCCTCATGGAAAGGGTGGTAGCATTGGAATAGGCTGCCCAGATTTCCCATCCCTGGAGGTATTTAAGAGAGGTGTGGACATGGCACTAAAGGTCCTGTGAAGGGACTTGGTGGGTCAGGGACTTGGTGATCTTGAAGGTCTTTTCCAACCTAGATGATTCTATGACTCTAAGAAAAGTACTAAATCAGGAGAGATTCTAGAATTACAAAGCCATGGGGCACTATACATGCTAATGCTTTGGTCAGTGAGAATCTGTAGAATCCTAGCATTCCTACAAACTCTCTCCTTCTGTTCTGAACTCTTTAGTCCTCTAAAGATAGTCTTAATGATGTCCTGAGCAATGATTTCTTTACAACATTGTAAAAGTCATCAGAAATGGTGTTTTACCTACTCAGATGTGTAGGTAAAACATCATGCCTATGGATGAGTCGCTCCTGTAAACTATATGTGAGCATTTTTTATCCCTGTCTTCACCCACCCATTGTTCTAGAGTATTTTTGCTTCCCTGTACTTGGCTTTTGAACTGAAAAGCAGTTGGTGTACATGGATAGACCAACACCTCCACCCCACTATTGTATGGAAATGTGTCTGCAGATAGCTGAGTCTGAGTCTGCAAACATTGTTTTATTTTTTTTTGTATATTGCTAATGTTCACTGGGAGGCAATTAATTATACAATTATTTCCAAAATGGTAATATTTCTGAAGCTTAAGGAAAAGATGATCTACATGTTTTTAATTTTGTGTAAATATTGATCACACAGTCTTACCTGGCTCAATATCCAGGGAATAGCTGTCAATCTCCAAATTGAGGCGTTGGGCAGCAGCATCACAGAAATCTTCCAAGACGCAGTGAACTGCTTCCGTGATATTATATGGCACTGTTCTGGCAAATTTCATTTTACTGTTGACAATCACACTTCCATTCCTGAAGTTAAGTATTTCTAGTTGCTTAAAGCCTGTAAGGTTGGACTGCAGGTATGGAAGTAGCTGCAAAACAGAAAGTTGCTTTTATTTTGACTTACTGTCAATGCCTAGCCCCTATTAGTTTTTCTTATAGTTGCTTTTAGTTATCAATATATATATATATATATATATATATATATATATATATATATATATAGTGGAGTCTCTTGAACAAGTAAACACTTTGATCACTGACTTCATGGAGTGTTTCTTTGCACCCTGAGAGCATTTCAGGCTTATGGGTCCTTTAAAAATGCATCTTATCATGCTGAATTGTAGTAGGGTTTGATATTGCCAAAATATTGAGCTCTCCAACGCTGAGCGAGCCAACTGGCATGAATCAGAATTTCCTAGCCAAAACTTCTATGTACAGCTCTCACAGAAGATTGTTGCTGTTTATTCCTGATTTATGGAGCAATAATTAATATAATTTAGAGATGGGGGGGTGTGTATTTTTTTAAGCCATGCCTCACTTCTGCTGACGTTGCTCAAGCCCACCAACTGTGTTGTTTCACCCACCAGTTGCATGAACTGTTGTTCCAGTGCTTTGTATTCTGTCGAGCTCCTATTGAAGAGGTCATCAGAAAAGTGCATGTTGGTCACCCTCAGGCTGAAGAAAACCACCAGCTCTTTGCCTTTGGCTGCAGTCGTCATGGAGCTGGTGGTTACATACTTCAGTGTAGGAGCTGGGGTGGCTTCTGCTGGCTCACTTGTCAGCACTGAGATGTAACCACTGCCGTGCTCTGCGTCATCCAGAGCTGCTGTGCTCACCACACTGATGCCATCCAACTCAGCAGCGATATCCTGCACTTCTGTCCCAGCAATGTCGGGGGGAATGGTGTCGGCTGCTGGCACTGAGGAATCTGGTGCTTCGGGGGACTGGTCGATGATGACGGACTGGCTGTAGGTTGGGCTGGTCACTGCAGGCAGCAGTGTTGTTTGCTCTGGTGGCAGCACGTAATCTACAATAAGCTCTCCAGGCTGCGTGACAGAGAGATCACTTGCACCAATAAAGAAAGGCAATGATGTTTTATAAGTGCTGGTTGTAAATAAAAGGTCATCACCCGATGATTCTAGTTCATCCATGATCTTCACTGCTGCAGAAAAACAGGGGAAAAACAAATGCCTATTTTGAAAAACAAGCATAAAAAACCTCAAGCATGGAAACAACATACATCTTGTTTTTCCACTGAAGCATTTTTAAAAACAAGCTTTAGCCCTATTTAAACATGAAAACATTATTTCCATCAGCAAAGAACTACAGGAATAAAACACCTCATCTGTGTGTTTGAGTGATGAAATTTCTGTAGGAGATGTGTTTAAATAATAATTATACTTGGTAAGTATTTCCTGAGCAATTCCTAAAGCTCAGTCTTGTTTTGAAGGTACATAATTGCACTGTCAGTTTATATTGACTGAAAGAGTAGATTGTAGCTTTGAGTTGTCTGCTTGGATCAGTTCTATGCCAGAGTCATTCTGTTGCTTCCCCCTCCATTAGAGGTTAAGGCTATTACCTGCCAGTAATCATAAATTGTGGTTAAGGAAAATGGTACTATAATCTTTTCTGATTTACCTAGAAGACGGCAGCAGCAGTGAAATCAAATTCAAACCCTAAGAAATCATCTGCTGCACTTAAAGCAGCCATTTGACCCTGATGTTAAAATTTTATGAGGCCCCCACTGGGCTTGGCATCGGCCTAGGTTTTGTGATAGATATAGCTGAAATCCAAATCTGAAGTGTGATGAGACGCTGAATTTGGCTTGCAGCTTCCTGCTGTGATGTCTCAACAACAGACATCTACCCCATCTGATAACTTTGTCCTTCAACAACATACTTAAGCATGTTCCTCATGCTGGACTTTTAGCAGCCCCCTACAGGCAGAATCACTTATCAACTGATAGGATGGGAACTTTTCTGCAATTAATTCATTTATCTAAGCTCTAATTCCCTCTTTGTGGCCAGTGAAAGTACAATAATCCCCCCCTGAACAAGATGGCAGCTAAACGGCATAGGAGTTGCCCATAGATGGTCTTTGTGTCTCCTTTTCCTTGCTTCTACGTGAATTAGGACCAATCTTCTGCTGTATTGCTGTTTTTAGAAAAAAAAAAAAAAAAAAAAAAAGTATATTTTCAACAAAGAAAACCTTAGCACAAGATAACTATTTTCTTGACACTGTTAATTTAACATGCTCTTTGCTTCCTCCCTGCAGATACAATGTATTGGCCGAAACATTAATCTGCCTAAAGTGGATTATTTTCTATAGAACCACAAATAAAGCATTGCTTTGCTGATATTGTTCTTTTCTTTACTAATATAACATATATTTTTGTACACTAGGTGAAGCTAGTGTGCTTTAGTAGGAATGCATAGCCCCATTTTGCTAAACTGACCACACCTCTCAAAGTAGGAAAGAATTATTCTAAATCAAGGTATGTGTGTTTTTTTTTTTTTTTTTTTTTTTTTTCACTAGAATTAACTATTTGCATGAACCTATGTTCAGAGCTGCTTGATTTTTCCTTTGCTGTTTGTTTTATTTTACCTGTTTATCTATCATGCATATATGGTGATTCATTGGTAGCAGTGTGTTTAGCTAAGACATATGTTTAAACTGTTGGAGTAGGTTGTGAGAAAGCCAGAATTACTTTTTGCTTCTGCTGTAGACTCCTTGGGAGTCTTGAGAATATACTGTTGTGTGGTATTGATCTCACTTCTAGATGATGCATCTAACTTTTAAATGCCTGCTAAGCCAGTCATCTTTTACATCTTTTTCAACAGAGAGACATTTATCTCAGATCAAGATAACCATCCAAAATATGTTGGATCTTTTGAAGTGCCTGTATCTTTGTAGACTTCCAAACATATGCAACTAATTTATGTAAGATGCCTGATTTTTCTCCTCCATAGTTTCTGTTATTCTGTAGCATTATTGAGGTTCACTGGCTTCTTTGAGGTGCTCAAGTACTAGAGTAATAAGAACTATGAATGTTTTTTGAAAAAGGAAAACACTTTACACTGACTTACAGTTTGACTCTACCAGCAGGGAAATGTAATTCTGGCACTTCTGAAGATTCAGTGAATTTTACTCCAGAATACCAGAAACAAGCTCAAATGTCAAGTGTTCCTCCTCCCAGTCTCAGTTCAGTTCTAAGTTTTTACTAGGTTTTTATATCCATTACAAGTGTTTTACAAGCCTTCAATAAGGGAAGATCATTTTTGTTTGTTTTTCTTTTTTTCTTTTCTTTCTCTGCTTTTCTCTGCAGAAAAGTGCAGAGCACTTTCTCTGGATACTCTGAAGCAGAACTTCTCAGATAAAGCATTCTGGAAAGATCATTACAGCATCTGTTTCTATTTGTGCAGTCAACACATCAGTAACTTGTGCAAATGTTATTCCATTACAAAAATATCAGTCTGAAAGCACAATGTATTTAAGATTGCTTTTAACAAGTATTGAACAATAGATGCTAACATTGTATTCCAGCAAATTGATGAGAAATATTGGACAATTTTTAGTTAGAACAGAGTTTATCACAGGAGCAGCACAGGTTTTCATAGGTATACACCAAAAAGCATTCTAGATACAAAAATATGTAGACTACCCTGGATAGAGATAGCCAAGAAATAGACTCCTTTCACATTTGCTGCTTTCTAGATGTGCAAAATATTTCAAGTTTATAAGGCAGTGGCTTCCAAGATGTTCTCCACATTTTGAAGAAAATTGTAGTAGCTAGTTACAGGTTATTTCAGGATTCTCCTGCTATCCTGCAGCTGACTGTAGTGAAGTCACCAGACACTTCCAAACCGTTCACAAACTGACTTTTATGGCTGTTGCTGATGGACAAACATGTTATTCTTTGGTGCATTAGAGCAAACCAGTAGGAGCTGAGCGCTGCCAAGGTTTTCCAGAGATCAGGTTTTAGGGAGGCAACCGCAAATCAGTACCATGCCACAAAAGATACCTGTTTTGCCCTTAACACTAACTGGTTGATGGTAAGTTAGTTTACCAAATGTTAATTCAAATGGCAAAGTTGGACACTGCACGTGACTGTAAGTGGAAAGAGGCAAAAACACATCTCATACTTAGCTTCTCTAAAGTGTTCCCTGCCTTTTAGGTATCAGGAGATGAGAGTTTTGTACCCTTTGCAGACGATCTGTTTCCAAAGCATGCTGACCACAGTGGTTTTCTGACCACTTTCAGGGAACAGAATTCGAGGCCTATATTTTCTTACATAGTTGCTGGGTTTTAGATTCGGTATTACCATTTATTCTCTTCTTTCCCCTTCTCCTTTAATCTGTTGCTTAATTCAGCCAGGAAAGAAGTTCTCAAATTTTCCTCTGTGATGCCCAGTTTTTTGGGTAAATTATAAACTTAATGTAACTTGACACTTAAATTTTCAGAGTTTCTGTTGTAGTGGAAGACCTAAAGATGAATTCTCTGTGACTTGTGTGCTTAGAACGAGTAGAGGTTATTGAAGATAATGCATCCCTGTCAATATTTAGTATCCCTTTCCTGTATTAGATAAGGGAAAGTTTTATAGTCAGTTTGTTGCCTTCATCTGCGTGCATGAAGATGTGTGTCCCCCAGGTGCCTCAGTTTTATTGGCAGTATATTTGGAAACCTGAATGATTTAAGTGACAGTTTACCACTTGATGGGAGACTATTTCACCTATTTTTGGTTTTATATTTAGGGTTGAGTTCTAATCACATCTGTGTCCACAGTGAACTCACTGAAATTGATGAATTATGGTAGCCTAAAACCAAAGTAAGTGGGATAAGGAAATCTGCATTTGCCCTGAGGATCAGGAGTGCCCAGTTCTATAGCCCTCAGAGGAATTGTGTTCTGCCAGATTATCAAAATGTTGCTTACCTTTCATGTGATTATCTCTTTCCTCTCTCATGCGTCACGACCGACACATGTACACTCTACAAGTGATCTTACAGTACTGGTGATTCAGAAAAAGCCACTGAAGTTCACTGCTAATAGGAAACATCTTTGCTGGATGGGATGGAGAAAAAGACCAAGTGCTGCATTCTCATTTACTGTGAGACCTAACTGTGGAGACCTGGAAGCACAACAGGACCATGAAATGGGTGCAGTAAAACCCACTTAAACTAGCACAGTTACACAATCTTCTTTTATTTGTTGAGATACGTTATTTGCATTGCTGATGGTATAATAGTATAATGCAAGAGCTACAGCCCTTGTCCTCGCAACTGTAGAGAGCAACCCAAAGAAAATAGCAAAGTGCTGTACAGAGCCATGGTTGTGCATGCAGCATGCACCAAATGCTGCACCACAGCTTGAGGTCCTAATGCTTCATCAAGAACTTGAGATGCTTTTCTCTTGTCACGTCCTCATGTTTCTTGTGTAATCAAGGATACAGACAGATTAGAAAAACAAATCCAAACTGAGCTTAGCAATGTTCTCTGTTTACAAAGCTCTTGGTGTTACGTGTTATGCTGATAAGGAGTGAGAGTGCCTTACTAGTTAAGGAACACAGAAAAGATTTCTTAGCATTAGTGCTTGAGGTATTAACGCAGGATGATCTACTGATGGGATGAACCCATAACTCCACAGGGTGATGACAGCGTGACAACATACACCCAAGCCTACAATTGTGATGGTATTTTCTAGATT